GAGTATAGAGTCAAGGATGAATTATAGGTTGTGATGCTAGGTGACTAGAAGAATGGTGGTGCACTTGACAGAAAGAGAGAAATTAGGGACAGACTTCATGCTCCATTGGTATCTTGACAAAATCAGAACTTAAAGAAGCTTCCAAGCATGTTAAGTAAATCTGTGGGAACACATAAATAAAAATCACACAGGACAGAAAGGCACCAAGAAGTTGTGATCTGTGTCACTGGTGGGAACATACATACTATGATAAGATCATGGCTCAGAGAATCCACCATAAAACACTAAAAAGGTAAGTTATTTCCTATGTTATAGGAAATAATCATTGGTCTTCTTAACCATGATAGCTTCATATATTAAAGTTAAACAATAAAGTTAAATCAACATAGAGAAATGTGAATCTGCTGATCTCTTTTGTTTTAAGACTGAAAATGACATTCTGATGTAAAGTTACCCTTTATTCTACTTTGATCTTTGTCATTTATTTTAAGTGGGATGCTTTTGGACAAGATTTGTGATTTAATTGGCAAAAGGAACTCATGATGAGGAAACTCCCTCTACCAGTATAGACCAGCACCTGCTCTGCAACTTCTAGTTTTAGAGAGTGGCCCAGGGAATCAAGATGTTAAGTGATTTGCAAAGAATTGTAATGCCAGCATATATCAGAAACAAGACTTGAATTGGGCCTTCCTGACTCAGAGCCTGCTCATTAGAGACATACTAAACTATAACAGAGACTCTTATGTTAAATACTATTTAGTATTTACTTCTTGCCTTACAGGTTTTGAAATGGCCTTTGATATTCTGACCTAGACCTGAACTTATTTTCAAATATAGTATATTATATATGCGTAAGAAATGTGACTTCCCTTGCCTTGATAAGCTAAATAATATTGGTACACTTACCCTTTAATCAAAATGTAGTACAGCATTTTTAGCCTTAGTATCTTATACATGCCAAAGATGGCTCATTAGTGGTGGAGACAAAGCACCTCTGTTTAAAGCATTTGTCCAATGAAGCTTCTAATTCTGTTCATATGAAAACTGATGAAAAGTTTATAAGCATTTTTAGTACAGTAACATAGAGATTCGACAGGTTCAAAGGTTTGCTTTAAACTTTTTCTGTATAGACAACAGCTTGAATCAAGAAAAGAATTTGAATAAGCAAAAATCAATAATAATTTAAGTTAGGTATAAAAGTATATACTGAAGTCTCTTGGTAATAATGGTCAGTAGCAAAGCTGTCTACAGTTTCACAGAGAGACTGGAATTAAAAACAGAAGTTTTCTGCTATTTAGACAAAATGTACACAATAGTAAAAAAACAATAATTCTCACAGTATTTTGCCTTCTTAGGGAGAACAAAAAGATCTCATTAGATATGTGATTTTCCATGTTGAGGGGTAATGGTGAGTATTGGATCTTTCTTTGATAAAGTAACACTATAACAGTTTTCATCCTCCCTATCAAAAGCAGATTTGGTGTCCTGACGGATTATAAAACAATAGAATGTGAGCTGTGGTAAATAGAAGGTATAAAAAGTGTTCATAATTGACTAACAGTGGAAAATATGGGATAGGAAGAAGTCCTACAGTTTCTCTGAGCTCCAAATATTAATATTTACAAATCAATTCCCTTTTTCTGAATCTCAGAGAGTTGTGACATTTCTTTCAAACAAATTTAGAATTATTAATTCAAGTGAGTGTGAACCAAAAATTGAAATCACATCAAATATAGTATTATAATATACAGGTCCACAGGAAAAAAAATGGATGCTGATTCTTTTTAAAATGAGATCTTCTCTAGAAGAACATCCTCATGGTATACTACAATTTGGAGTGAGGGTTTGGGCATCCTTTGTGTTTGATTGGTAAGTGAGTATCTATTCATTAAACTCATAGGTTAGAAGCACTTCAGACATGGAAGGGATCTTAGCAAACCCCTGGTCCAACCCAATAATTTTACAGATGAGGAAACTGAATATCAGAAAGAATATATTACTTGCCTAGGGTCACAAAGAATTAGTAAGCAAGACTAAAAGGCAGATCTCTTAACATCTAGCTTTCTACTACATTACTGCCCCTTACTTGAATGTTTCAAAAATATACCACCATGAGATATAAAGAAGAGAGGAGGATAACCAAAAAAAGAGAAATTTTTGTTTTCCCTTTCTATTAAATGACAATCCAAGTCCAGGATAAGGTTCCTAAAAGGCCAGAATGACTTTACAAAGAACAGGTTAGGACAGACAAAGTTTAATTAGGTTGGAAGATCAAGGAAATGCTGTAGGTACAATTTGCCTAGCCTTAGCAAAGCATTTGTTGAAAATTTTCCTTGCTATTTTGGTGGACACTATGGATAGATGTGTAGTAATCTATCTAGTAATACAATTAGGTAGATTCAGAACTGGTTGAGTGGCCAGACCCAAAGAGGTGGCATTAATGATTTGATGTCATCTTGGAAGGAGTTTGGTAGTGTGGGCCAGGAATCTGGTTTGGCCTTGTGATACTGAACATTTTCATCAATGACTTGGATAAAGTTATATTTGGCAAATTTGCAGATGGCCCAAAGCTAGGAGAGATTACAAGAATCAGGATTCAAAAAATCTTGACAGGCTACACAGAAAGAGTTTTAGTCTCAAAATAGGAAACAAGGACTATACCTACAATTTTATGGGGAGGGAGAGAATAAGCATTTATCATGTACTGACAATGTGCTAGTCACTGTATTAAGTGCTTTACAATTATTATCTCACTTGATGCTCACAACCCTGGGATGTAGGTGCTATTTTCCCCATTTTATAGTTGAGGAAACTGAGGCAGAGGTTAAGTGACTTGCCCAAGGTCACACAGCTTGTAAGTGTCTGAGACCTGATTTCAGTTCAGGTCTTCCTGACTCTAGGACCAGAGATTTATTTATCCACTGTGCCTCTCTATAGCATAGGAAACTCCCACGTAAGAAAACTCCTTCTACCAATATGGATTGGTACCTTCTCTGCCTCAAAAAGTTGCCTTGAACACTAGGAGATTAAGTGACTTGTCCAGGGTTAAAAAGCTGGTATGTGTCAGAGGTGAGACTTCAACCCAGATTCAAGGCTTCCTGGCTTCAAGTCTAACTTTCTATCTACTACATCACAGTACTTCTCATATATTCTAATAATATATAATTGAATAGCTATCAATGTAAAGTCTTATACTTAGATTCAAAGTCCTGCCTCTGGAATATATGTATTACCATGGATAAGTTATTAAACTTTCAGTGCCCTAGAGCAAATCTTTAAGACAATAAGTTATAGATGAGCTGCTGATCTGCATCAAGGCAGTTTCCATACCAGGAGTTCCCATAGCGATAAAAGTACAGGTCTGGATTACCTACTATGGGTTTATTATAGTACAGTACTACTTTTCATTTTTATTTACAAAGAACAATGTGACAACATTAAAATTACTTAAAATGACAAAAATACTACCATACTAGGTTGCTCAAAATTTTCTAAAATAACTGTAACCATTTCATTAGAAATTAAAGTTTGTATTTGTTCTGATAGTGTCATAATAGAACTAGTGCTATGATTATGCCCTGAAACTTTTATCCTATAAAGAACAATCAGACTGTTCTCTGGCAAAGTGGTGAAATTATGACATCTAGTGGATTGAGGATAACTTACTTTTCTGAGTAATGGTCCACATCTTTTCAAAAATTCTATCCGAAACTATTAACTTTTAATTAATATCAAGAAATACTTTCAAAATGAAACTTTACCTTTGTAAAGAAATAACATTAAAACTTAAGTTTACAAAGACCAATCAATAATCACTACTAGAAATTAAACAAATGCGCAACTATTATGCTAATTTTCATTTTGACTAATTTCCGGTAAATGTAATTCTCAGCAGATAAATGAAATAAACTGCCATATATCAGTATTCTACAAATAATTCAAAAAATTTGTTACCATGTACTTTCTAAAGTTTGTTAACACACTAACTCAAAAACACGCTAACTCCTCTAATGCTAGTTAATCCATTCATAAAAAAAAGGTATAAATCCACTTCCAAGCATAATTTGAAAATATGCTAATGTATAAAATGTATAATTGAATTACAAAGAATCATTCTATAAAGAAATAGACACATGAATATAAGAAGACCTTTTTATAGAAGGTTTTTTTACTCTATGCTACTCGAAACAATATGAAAGATATTTCTGGCATAATGATTTTGAATAAAATATCCATAAAAGAAATATAATGAAGCAACAAACTGATTGTGTGTTATGTGGGAGATATAATTTGTAAGATCAAGTTCCTGCTCCTGAAAAGCTTAAAATAGGTGTGTGTGCGTTTTTAAGAGTAAATTAGTTAAATACGTTATCCAGCCCACCAGCAAGCTCTCCTCTGAGTACAAGTATTATTTATGGCCTACACAACTCATTTACTGTCTAATTATTTGTTCTGTGGGTTTTTTCCCTTAATTAAATCAATCATCAGTTATTTCCCAACTATACTTCAGTTTTCATCACTAATGACTGGCTTCCCTGACTTGCTTGAAGTCTCAGCTAAAATCACATCTTCTTCAAGAAGCCTTTCTCAATGCCCCTTGATGCTACTGCCATCCCTCTGACATTATATCCAATATATACTGTATGTATCTTATTTGTACACAGTTGTTTGCATATTATCTCCTCCATTAGACTGGGAACTCTGAGTGAAGGGACTGTTTTTCCCTTTCTTTTTCGAATATAGGGCCTGATACAGTATGTGCTTAATAAATAAAATACTTTATCTTTCTGGTGTAATGCTGAGAGTTACTATTACAATGTGGAGTACATAATACTTTTTCAATAAATGCTTGTTGAAATAAATATTTTTACCTTGAAGTTAATTTTTAAAAGTACAGCATGCAATTTCCTTTGTTCCCCTACCCAATTATGAAAAATCAGAGTCATTAGCAATTTCTTTATAGGTTAAAAGGGGAGGATTTATGGGTTTTTAGAACTTACCACTGTCTCTACTGTTGAAGGAGAACTTGGACCTTGACTTTGTTGGATGGACTGTGCTGTCCCCTCCCAAAATGTACTGAGTCATCAAAATCTGTAGTAAATGTAAAATAGTTATTGGTTCTATTGAAATTATTATAATAACATTTTGAAAATGCATACTCTTAATTCTTTCCTTGAGAAAAAAAATGTTTATATGTGAATTACAACAACAAAAATGCCATCAATTTTATGGGAACAAATAACTAATCAGGATGGTTATGCTAGCTAATGTGTCAAGAGGAAATAATTAACTAATTTTGTTTACTTCAAGGCAGCTGGCAACAAATTATTGTGTTTGAGGATTAAATATGACATATACAAGGATGATTCATTCATCTTGTTTATTATTCATCCCTATTCAGTTTATGCAATGACCAAGCAACTATATCTATAAATCATAAATGCTATGAATAGGGAAGCATTCTGGTATATACACAACATACAAAGAGTAAAGGTAAAATATGTACTTTCTTTATGTTAAAAATTAAAGATTGACAGGGCTGATAAATTAATCTCAGAAATTTATTCAATTTTAGGAAGGGTCTTTTTCTATTTTGCTTTTAAATCTGCAAAGAAATTTAGTAAAGTGGCAAGAAAGCAGCAGATGATGATTACCTATACTAAATTATAGATTAAATCATGCTTTACCTCAAAAATGATGCCAAGTCACCATCTGGATGGTTGGACAATTATTATCATAATATATCAAACACAAAATAACAAATTCCACAGAGACTATACTATGTATCTTAAGTGAACATAAAAACTAAAGGCACAGAGCAGGCTAATTAATGGAAAGGCTTCCTAATTTCCTTTATAAAAGGTTACTTTGTATAACAGAACACAATTAAATTAATCTTTCACTTCAACACAGGCTTTTCTTTTTCCTTCCCCACCTCCCTTTATGGCCCTCATCCAAACTTTTTGAAAAAGCCCTAAGGAAAGAAATTTCCTTCAATTAATATCATAGTAAAAATAAAAGATTAGGAGTCAGAGAATCTGGTTTCTGATCTAGCTCCACCATTCACTACCTGTGTGACCTTAGGTAAGTCATTTGACCTCTGAATCTAAACTTATTCATACATAAAGTGCCTGAGAATCAAATGAGATAATACACAGAAAAACATTCTGTGAACTGCAAAGTATAATATAAATATATCATTGAATTGATGTTTAAATTGTTTTTCTGAAGCAATAATGATAGTTAATATACTTGTAAAATCAATTTTTACTTCTTTTGTGTTTCATCAAAATAACATGCAATAGAGTGGTCAGTTTCTTGGGCTTGCTTTGTGCTGTGTGCATCAACTATCTCAGGATGTGAGCTGACAATGTTACCTTTCTTTGAAAAATTTTTATATAGAAGCATGTTAAAAGGTGTTACACACACAAATAAGCAATAACTATTAGTTGTTTAGAATAAGAACACATACAAGTAACACTTAGATTTTACATCACAAACTGCTGGAATGAATAAATATGGAAAAAATATAATCGCCAAACTTAAATGCTAGAAGATATATCAGAGGCTGTCTAATTTGTATGTGACAGAGAATCTCCTCTTTACTATTCCCCCAAAAGAGGTAATTTACTTTTTGCTAATGACCTATAATAAAGGGGAACCCACTATTTCCCAAGACAGCCCCATTCCATTGCAAATCTCTAACTGTTAGACAAATTTTCCCATCATCAGACCCAATTCTGCCTCTCTGCAAATACTACTCATTATTACTAATTTTGCCCTCTGGGGTCAAGTGGAACAAGTCTGTTCACTTTTTGGCATGATACTTCTTTAAAAATTCAAAAGCAGCTTCTAAATTTCTGATGCTTTAAGCTAAATATATCAAATTCCTTCAACCCATGGCACATTACCTTGATCTACCAACTTCAAAAAAGGAAATTGAGGTTAATCTCCACGTGATCATTAATACTCCGTGAAAAATACCGATTCCTTGGAAGCAAAGGATTTGGGTCCAAATACCAATTTTGCTACTTACTATAGGTGTAATGGAAGAACCATTTACATATCCTAGGGAATTTCCTATCTCTTCTGAGCTGTTTTACCTTGTAGAACTTTAATCCATATGATCCTATTTTTTCCTATGAACCCTCAGAAACTTGATCTCCCAATTAGACAATGATCAGTTTTCCACTCATTCTTGATCACAAATTCTAAAGCGGAGTCATTTCCCTCCTCCCCTAAAGTTCCCATCCTTGCCATATCAGCAGCTAGTTGCTGTTTGTTAGTCAAAATTAAACCATGAATAGTCTACCTCATTCCTTCTTTTACTTTTTGGAGTATAAAATCATAATTAAGAGAAGCTAAAAAATTTATTAGCAGCTTTCTTTCTGGCAGAGTAAGAAAACTCCAATACATAACTAATGTTCCACCATATATTATATTATGCCTCTGTTTCAGGTGTATGATCTGTTTTACAGCCTCCTGATCTATTCCCTGTTCAGATGGTTTGCAGTACATCCTATATGACAACACTGTTTCTCCTTCTTTTGATCTTTATCCAAAAGTTCTCTACCTGTTTCTCCCCACTGGATCTTTTATTTCTTTTTCATAAATAATGCTACTCCATTCACCTTTTGTCTATTCTGTTCTTTTTCTTTTTAACAATGTATATTTTTTCAGAATCCCATGGATTCTATCCAAGTCTCAGTGATACCTAGTAGGTTAAATATGCCTTACTGAATTAGGATTTACAGTTTACCTCACTTGTTATGCATACACATTGAATCCACAGGAGTTAATGAGATCCCTTTTGTGTACAGACATCTAAAGCCAAGAGTTTAATGCTGGCACCCTTCAAGAATTTGGTGCTAAGAATATCATCTGTACACGTAGAACCTTCAATTTCATGTCTATGACTTCAAAATCCTCATAAATGCCTTGTAAGGAGCCAAGATGATAGAGCAAAAGCAGTGACTTGCTTGAGCTCTCCCCAAAACCCCTCCAAATACCTGTAAAAAATGGCTCTAAACAAATTTCAGAGCAGCAGAACTCATAAAAAGACAGAGTGAAACAAATTTCCAGCCCAAAACAACCTGGATGGTTGATGGGAAAGGACTGTTTGACAGGTTGGGAGAGGAGCACAGTCACAGGGTCACACAGGCAAAGACAGGGCCTCAGTGAACCTGGAGAATGCATCAGGTGACTGAATCATTAGCAGCTGTAGCAGTTTCCAGATTTCTCAACCCACAAACGCCAAAGACAACTTAAAGGTCAGTAGGAAAGGTCTGTGGGACCTGGGTGAAAGAGGAGCCCTGCCCTCACAGGCCCAAGTCTTGGCACAGCCCCGGAGTGGCAGCTGCTTCCAGAGCTCGTGGCCCACAAACAGTGGGGGGATCGAGCAGCTGACCAGAGGGGGATCTCTTTGCTGGTGCTGCGGCAGGATTCTCTTGCTTTGCCCGTGCTTGGATCTGGGTCACAGTTCTGTGTGCGGGTCCTGGGGTGAGGAGTGCTGGCGTGGTGGAGCTTGTACTGGCAGTGGAAAGGGAATCCTCATTGTACCAAGGCAGAAAAGAACCCTTGTGGTCACTTATAGACCACAGCACAGGCCAGGAAAGGAGTAAACACCTCGCCCTTGATCATACCACCTTGGAAGAACTGAAAACTGACAGGTCCCTAGAAGTATCTCTGAAAACAGCTGCACAAAACTCCCAAAGCTTGGGACAGTACATTCTTCACACTGGAAGCAGACCCCTACCTTAACAAAGAGTTTATAACTCAAGTAATTGACTGAGATCATGAGCAAACTGTGCAGAAAAAGTCAGACGACAGAATCTTTTTTTGGTGACAAAGATTAAAACATACAACCAGAAGAAAACAACAAAGTCAAAGCTTCTACATCCAAAGCCTCCAAGAAAAATTTGAAACAGTAAAAAAAAAAAAATGAAACAGTCCCAGGCCATGGAAGAGTTTAAAAACAATTTTGAAAAGCAAGTAAGAGAAGTAAAAGAAAAATTGGGAAGAGAATTGAGAGTGATGCAAGAAAATCATGAAAAACAAGTCAACAGCTTGCTAAAGGAGACTCAAAAAAAATGAAGAAAATAATACCTGAAAAAATATACTAACCCAAATGGCAAAAGAGGTCCAAAAAGTCAATGAGGAGAATGCCTTCAAAAGCACAATTGGCCAAATGGAAAAGGAAGTCCAAAAGCTCACTGAAGAAAATAATTTCTTAAAAATTAGAATAGAGCAAATAGAAGCTAATAATGTTATGAGAAATCAAGGAACTATAAAACAAAAGCAAAAGAATGAAAAAATAGAAGACAACGTGAAATATCTCACTGGAAAAACAACTGACCTGGAAAATAATCCAGGAGAGATAATTTAAAAATTACTGGACTACCTGAAAGTCACGGTCAAAAAAAGGGCCTAGACATAATCTTTCAAGAAATTATCAAGGAAAACTGCTCTGATATTCTAGAACTACAGGGTAAAATAGAAATTAAAAGAATTCACCAATCACATCCTACAAGAGATCCCCAAAGGAAAACTCCTGGGAATATTATAGCCACATTCCAGAGTTCTCAGGTCAAGAAGAAAATATTGCAAGTAGCCAGAAAGAAACAATTCAAGTATTGTGGAACACAATCAGGATAACACAAGATTTAGCAGCTTCTACATTAAGGGATCAGAGGTCTTGGAATATGATATTCCAGAGGTCAAAGGAGTTAGGATTAAAACCAAGAATCACCTACCCAGAAAAAAAGAGCATAATCCTTCAGAGAAAAAAATGGATAGTCAGTGAAATAGAAGATTTTCAAGCATTCTTGATGAAAAGACTAGAGCTGAATAGAAAACTTGACTTTCAAATACAAGACTCAAAAGAAGCATGAAAAGGTAAACAGAAAAAAGAAATCATAAGGGACTTATTAAATTTGAACTGTTTACATTCCTACATGGAAAGACAACATTTGTAACTCAAGAGAACTTTCTCATTATTAGGATAGTTGTGGGGGTGTGGGGGAGCGGAAATGCCCTCACACAGGGCATAGGGTGAGTTGAAGATGAAGGCATGATATCTAAAAAATAAAATTAAGGGGTAAGAGAAGATTTTATTGGGAGAAGGAGAAAGGGAGAGGTAGAATGGGACAAATTATTTCACATAAAACAGACAAGAAAAAGTTTATACAATGGAGGGGAAGTCAGGGAAGGTGAGAGGGAATGAGTGAATCTTACTCTCATTGGATTTGGCTTAAGGAGGGAATAACATACACACTCAATCGGGTATGGAAATCTATTTTACCATAAAGGAAAATAGAGGGGAAGGGGATAAGAGGGTGTGATGATAGAAGGGAGGGCAGATTGGGGGAAGGGGTAATCAGAAGCAAACACTTTTGAAGAGAGACAGGGTAAAAGGAGAGAATAGAATAAATGGGGGTTGGGACAGAATGAAGGGAAATATAGTTAGTTTTTCACAACATGACTATTGTTGGAAGTGTTTTGCATGATTACACATGTATAACCTATATCGAGTTGCTTGCCTTCTCAATGAGGGTGGGTAGGGAGGAAGGAAGGGAGAGAATTTGGAACCCAAAGTTTTTAAAACAAATTAAAAATTGTTTTTACATGCAACTGGGAAATAAGATATATAGGCAATGGGGTACAGAAATCTACCCTGCCCTAGGAAAATAGAAGGGGAAGGGGATAAGAGAAAAGTGGGAGGGGACTGATAGAAGGGAGGGCAGATTGGGAGAAGGGGTATTCAGAATGTATCTTAGGGTGGGGAGAGGGGAGAGATGGGGAGAAAATTTGGAATTCAAAATCTTGTGAAAATGAACGTTGAAAACTAAAAATATATAAATTAATTTTTTAAAAAAAGAAATGCTTTGTAGATTTCTTTTGGCTGCCTCCTAATTCTCAGAAGTAGATTGAGATCATCATATTTGACAAGTCTCGAAAGGGTCCTAAGCAAATTTCAGGTAACTCTCCTCTGAGAATTATTAGAGAATAATCATTTTCCTCATTACTCCTCAGCAGAGAGTCAACAATGATCACTCCTCATCTCTTTCCTTTCACCGTTATTGGATTGTCTACTTCTTAGTCCCAGCTAACTCCATACCATAACTCCTTTAAGCACAAGCAGCTACTTGGACCCTGAAAGTGTCCAACTCTTCTCTTCACATTATAAGCCTTATACTTACTACTTTGCTGCAAGTGCTCAGTTGTCCTCCCCTTTCTCTCATGCCCTATTCTTCTATCCTTTAACTTCCTAATTTAGGTGCTCTAAAGTTCTGTCAAAGGCTGCCTTCTTTTCTCTATAGATACCCTCTCTCTCAGTAATCTCATTACCTCCCATGGATTTGATTAACAAATTTAGGAAAACCCAGAACTAGACATCCAGTCCTAGTCTCTCTCCAAATGAACATTGCCAACTGCTTACATTCCGAATGAATACCTCCAAAGCATCTCAAATTCAAGATATCCAAAACAGAATTCATTATCTTTCCTCTTCAACCCACCTCTCTTCCTAGCTTTCTCATTTCATATTCAGCATCCTTCCAATCACTCAGGCTCACAACCTCAAAGTCATTCTTGACTATATCCATTCTCATTCCATCATACAGAACTAATTGCTAAGTCTTGTCAATTCTACTTCCATATCTCTCACATCTGTCCTTATTTCTCCACACTATAATATTTATCCAGCACATGTGGTTCCTTTCTCCCTCCAAATAGAATGAATTTTTCTTCAGACTAAGGACAGGACTTAATGATCATTAAATGAATGGATGACACAGATCGGGCCTTCCTTCTATCTTTTTAGATTCTCTTTCTTCTTTGGTTTAATTTCAAACTTTTTCTTTTTTAAGGAACACTTTTTTTCCCCATGATAACCTAGGTTGATTAGAATTCCCTGAGCTCTTTTGTTTTTATTTCTGGGAGGGCAACTAGCCTATACTCGGGCCCTATAAAGAAATTACTTGGCTTCAGCAAAAAGATATTGCGCACGTTAGCCTTCCATACATGCTAGAAGCAAGATCTTCAGTCCTCAGTTGTGATTTTGGTAGATTTTGTGGGGGCATTGTTCACATTGACATTGAGACAAAAAACAACACAAGAATAATAACTACTTAGAGCTGAATTTATTAACTGGATGAAAGCACTAGAACTATACCTTTTCTAAGTAAGGTTACAATGTACTTTGTAACTAGAGTTACAATGTACTTTATGCTGAATCACTGTTTCCTCAGAAGGAAACAAAAATAAGTTCAAACACTTCAAAATAAGCTTTACAGCTCTACCACTCAAAAAAACCCAACTACATAAACACAGAAAACCTGTTCACTAACAAACTTGCAAAATCTATTAGTAGAAAAAGGTTTTGCAGCATTAAAATCTTGACAGAGACCCAGAGATTTCATTTAGCTACAAGATAGCAGTGTCTATTCGAAGCTTTTTTCTAGCATATAAGTGATTTATACTTTTCTTAAAGTATGTAAAGTAGAATACACCTTATAACAATGTTTAGCTATTCCTAAGCACTTCCTCTCTTTTCTATTATTTATAATATGAGATGCTCTTAAAAGTTTGCACTTATTGGTACCCTCCATGCTATTGAAACAATGGTACTTTTCATAAAGTTCTTTATCTCCAACAGCTATAATTTTTCAGAACTTTCTGAGGTATTATTTATTTCCTTGTTCAACAAATGTGCAATAAATACATTTCAGATTTAGGAAGATAAATTTTATTCAACACCTGAGAACAAGATTCAAAAAGAAGTTTATATGTTAATTAAAAGTACTCACGAACAGGATAGAAACAATTCATTCTTATGAAAGGAAAGAAATATATTTACTTTAATTTCAGGCAAAGAGATATATGGGCATACCTTTTGACATGTCAATATTATGGCTAAGATCTCTCTGGTTTTAAAGCTTTCAATATGCTTAAGTATAATAAAACCAAATGCTTTTAGGATGTATAGTTAAAAACAACAACCCTGAGGAGGATGAGTTATTGGCTTAATACCATCCCATTAAAATTGAATAGAAGATTCTTACCATGTATATTTTTTCTTGCTGTGATGTTGTCAGCTGCATAACAATTCAAGTCAAACATATATCGCCCCAGGTAACAATGTTTCACCATCCAATTCATATGTTCATAAAAATTGCTGTGATATAAAAGTGCTTGGAGAGCAGGTTTACCTATCAGAGATAGGCCATATTCCACATCATGTACAGAGGGACCCTAAGGGAATAGTTCAGAATAGATTATTTCCCACTTAGTCTATCACATAATAAATCTGAATGCATACTTCAATAAGCCTACAAACTCCTCCCATTAAAAAAAGAAATCAGAGAAATTATTCAGGATAACACTATAACTCACCTATTGACCTTGGGCTAATCACTCAATTTTTTATATAACTCATTTGCCTCACCTGTAAAATAAGAATGCCACCTTAGATGCCTGAAGGCAGTGGGCTGTTGAGAGGAATTCCAGTCTTACTATCTCTGATAAAATCCTGTGTTCTAGAATAAATTCCAATAAGTAGTTATTTATATTTTTACAAATGGGGGAAATTAACTGATCATGATCACAGATCACACATCCAATGCATGAATTTCTTTTTAGCTCTCAATACTCATAAAATAGCTAACTTTGATAAATACTAAAACCTTTGTTTTGAAAGCCAAGATAGATTCTAACTAATAAGACTCAAATACATGTGATTAATGCACTAGCTTTACCTATATTGTTAACTCTGGCATAATATTAAGCAGTAACATAAATGTCCAGATTAAGACCTCTCAACTACTGATTTAAGTTAACAAGGAATAGTTGGTAGAGTATTGAACCCAGAGTCATAAGGACTTGGGTTAAAATTCTTTCTCAGGTACTGTGTGACACTAAGCAAGACACTTAACCTTTTAGTCTCAGTTTCCTTATCTACAAAACAATTATAGTAATAGCATCTACTTCAGAGTTGCTGTGAGAATCAAAAAAGATTATAATTGCAAAAGTACTTTGTGAAACTTAAAAGTATTACATAACTGTGAGCTATCATTATTATTAAAATGATCATCATATAATACCAATCGCTGAATAGTGATAATGTGTCTTCTAGAGACAAGATAAGTCTCACTGTATAATCCTATCTGTACATTTTTTGCTTCTCTTTACTTACTAATACTGTTCTCCCATTATCATCTAATGAAAAACAGCAAGAAAAATCACTAGCAAGCATACAGAGCTGATAAAAGAGATGTTCAAGCCTGCAAATAAATCTAGGGTTTGGTTATATTAATTGCCAGCTTAGGGAAAATTCATAAATTGAATGTGTCTACAATTGTACAATGGATCTTAATGACAGAAAAAATGTAAATGGTGTGGTGGAGTTGGAAGGGATCTCAGAAAGTCATCTAATCCAATCACACATGTACACGAATAAGAGTGATCTGTACAACATACACAACAAGTGGTCATCCAGCCTTTGCTTGAAGGCTTTCAGTACAAGGGAACCCACCCCAAAGAACAGCCCTTTTCGCTTTTGGCTAGCACTAATTTTTAGAAAATTTTTTCCCTAACATAATGCCAAAATCTGGCTCTTTGCAGGTTTTATTAATTATTCCTACTTTTGCCTTCTGGGATCAAGCAGAACAAGTCTAACTAATCTCTTTTCCAAAAGACAGCTTTAAAATACTTGTAGATGCCACTATGTAGGTAGGCCATGTGGTATGGTAGAAAGTAGATTTTGGAGTCAAAACTCTGGTTCAAATATGAACTCTTGTACTTACTAACAAGTTGTATGACCTTGAACAAAACTCTAGGTCCCAGTTCCTCAACTATGAAATGGAAAAATAAGGTGAGATAAGATTTAGATCAGATAAGATCTAAATCTGAGGCAGCTAGGTATCTCAGTGGAAAGACTTCTGGGCCTAGAGTCCAAGAACACTTGAATTCAAATCCAGCCTCAGATACTTCACAGCTGTGTGACCTTGGGAAACTCAGCCTCTGTTTGCCTTAAGCCACTGAAGAAGGAAATGGCAAACCATTTCAGCATCTTTGAGAAGAAAACTCTATGGATGGTACGGTCTGCAGGTTCAGGGAGAGTCACACACAACTGAACAACAACAGCTCTAAATCTATGACCCTATGCTCCTCTTAAATCATTCTTACTTCCTTCAACTGATCTTCATACGGCAAGATCTCATGGTCCTTTACCATCACCTAAATCAAGGATTCTTAATTTTTTTTTTAATGTCATGAACCACTTTGGCAGGTTGATAAAGTTGATATACCCCTACTTAGAATAATTTTTAAATGATCAAAATAAAATACAATGGATTATAAAAGAAAAACAATTATGTTAAAGTAATTATCACTATATAAAACATATACACTCAATTTCACAAAATCTAGATGCCTTCTAGCTTATCAATGAACTTCCTCAAATGTGGCAGCTAAAACTGAATACTTCAGTCTTCTAACCAGAGTACAATGAAACTATCTCTTCCTTATTCCTTTACATTATGGTTCTCTTCAATGCAAAGAACACATTAGTTAGCTTATTATTATACTGCTTGCCCGAATCGTGCTCACAGTCCACTAAAACTTCATGTCTTTTTTTTGCAGATGAACTGCTCTCTAGCCACATGCCCCCAGCTTGAAATTCAACACAAACAAAAATATATATGGGAAACAGCAATTTCCCTTCTTTGGCTGGTGTATAGGTGTTAATAAACAAGGGATGAAATAAGAGGTAAAGCTCAGTCCAGACTATCAAGGACTAGAATATGGGCCCCAAGAAGAAAGGGAGACACTAGCTTGCCTATGGAGGTGCAAAATACCCTGGATGGAAAACAGATCAGGTAAAAGTTTGCAGTTTCTACATGAGAGAGGTTAGTATGTCACACTGTATGCACAGCAGCTGCTGGTGTGGCTGCAGCAACTGCTTCGCAAATTTCCTTCTCCTTCAAAAAGTACAAGATACAATGATCACTGCAGGAAAAAAAAAATCATGTGACTAAGTCTTGATGGTAGAGAGACAATCATGTTGGGAAAAGGAAATGGCAAACCACGCCAGTATCTTTGCCAAGAAAACCCCAATTAAGGTCTTGAAGAATCAGACATGACTGAAAAGCAACCCAAAAACTAAAATATATTAGATGTTCCAAAAGTCTTAGTGCAGTTTTTGGCACCAAAAGCTTCAAACTGTCTTAAGTTTCAAAAGCTTAGAACTGCACTAAGATTTTTGGAGTACCTTGTATATTCTGTTTGTCCACCTATAATCTATATTCTCCCTATTCCTATTTGGTCTGTATAAAACTTGATTGTGATTTTTATCTTTTTTTTTAAAGGCGTATGGCCTATATTCAGATCAATATGGTATATATTTATTTCCTAAATTAGTTTTATTACTTTTAAGTAATATATGCAGACAACAAAGTGTTACTGAATGAAAAGTAGTAGTAATAAAAAAAATAATAGCTAGCATTTACATATCACTTTAAGGTTTGCAAAGTACTTTACAAACATTAACTCATCTTATCCTGACAGCTACCATGGGAAGTATGATATTATTATCCCAATTTTACAGATGAGAAAAATAAGACAGATTAGTAAGTTTCTGAGGTAACATTTGAACCTGCGTAAAGCTAGGTAACACAGTGGATAGAATGTCAAGACTGGAGTCGGGAAGGCCTGGAGTCAGGAAGTCAAATCTGGCCTCTAACATTTACTAGCTGTGTGACCCTGGGTGAGTCACTTCACTCTGTTTGCCTCAGTTTCCTCATGTATAAAATGAGCTGGAGAAGGAAATGGCAAATCACTCCAGTATCTTTGCCAAGAAATCCCCAAAAAGGGATCATGAGTTGGACACAACTAAAACCTACTAAACAACAAAGTATATTTGCTGAATTCATCGCAATACCTCCTGTCTTTGAACATTCTCACAAGCCAGCATGCATGGTTGGAATGCACTTCCCTCCCCATCTTCACATCTAAATTTCTTATCTTCCTTCAAGACTCAGCTGAGGTTCTATATTTTCAATGAAGACTTCCTTGATCATCCTAGCTGTTATCTCTCCCAGTTCTTCATATGCTACCTGTCATTTGTGTCCATGTTATATCCCCACAGTAGTAAGTAAGCTTGTTGAGTATAGGAATTGTTTCATTTGTGTATTTGTGTCCCTAGTAGCTAGTGAAAAGTGAACAGAAAAGGATGAAGCCAAGACTGAGATGGACCTTGAAGGATAAGTACCATTTGGATAGGTATAGGTAAAAAGATAGAAATATAGTTTGCTTTCCCCCAGTAAGGTTAGAGAGGGTAAAGTCTTTACATTATTTTTGGGTTTTATCCCCAAAAGTATCTAGCGCTACATTAATGCTGAATTAAAATCTAGACCAGCATCAAACTATTATATTCAGAAAAAGGAATACAAACAAGTTTACTAGCAATACATATTTCATTATAAACAAAACTACTTTTGAATTTTTTCTTTTGGTTGCTAAGTACTTTGCTAAGTAAGAGAATATTTTTAAATCTTGCCAATCAAAAAGCTAGAATATTATCTGCAGTATCTGAAAGAATATTTAGCTCATTATTACCTTATCTAATTCTGTTTTTTGAAAGTCTTCACAATAATCAACATCTTAAATTTATTTTATAATGAAACAAATACCATTGAAAATTTTTCACCTATCAGGACCACATTAATATGTTTTTAATAGTTACTCACATGCCAAGAATAATCATGGTTGTCATCTGTAGGCAATGGAATCACTAATAGATTCTGAAGAATAAATGCAGCCTAAAAAAATGAAGAGAACATCAACCTGCCATCTTCTGTCATATCAAAAGTCACCAATGTGCATTAATTTGGTAACCAAATATATCACAGATCAATTGCAAATGAAGTTTACAACCTCTGGCTCATGGCGATCAAGGACACTGATAATTATATCAATTTTACAGATAAGATAATGACCTAAAAAAGACCCTCACAATTATTTTGCTCAGTCAATTTCCTTTTCCTGACTTTTAATATCTAGTATTTTCAAAACAATAAATGAAACATATGAATTACCTCTACTAAGAATCATTTAGTCACTATATGTCAATTTTCTAAAATAAAAATACTGTATATGTATAAAAATGTTGTCTCAATAAATACTTCAAATATGGAACATGAAACAAAAAATTAATATAATACATATTAAAACTTACTCAGTGAAAGCAGCCAAAATTAAAATATCATTTTATCACTTCCCATTAGTGGATGTGTGGTTCAAAAAATGTTAACTAATTTTAATATTTATCCCAGAAAAAAAATTAAGACAGTCATTCTGAAGCTAAATATGTATATATGTATATATAAACGTATATAAAATATACATATATAAAGCTCTAAAACCTAAAAAAATCCCTGTAACATCAAATAATTCTGAAATAAAAGAACATACAAAAGTGAGTGACCCCCAAACACAGAATTGGTTATTATTACCACAAGTACCTTTAGATACACATTGAATTTATTTTCAAATAAAGAAGGCATTTACCACTCTGTAGGAATAATGTATATTACACATAAGCTAGGCTAGCTTTTCACTAAAAGGCAAGGAAATTGTCTCTGAAACTTAATTGGTCCAAAAAACTAAAACTCAACCAGCTGACATAGTTTCCTGGTTGCCTAAGTGAAAAATACCAAGATACAAGAAATTGAAGCTCCTCAGATTTGACATATTTTTCTATGGCATCATAGCAAATGAGGAAACATGGGGGCCAGTACCATCTGTACCAGTGCTGAATCATTGCTAAATATCTATCTTATCTATACCATGTCAGATTTCTTATAGTTAAAAGTTAAATGATCTATTAGTGTCTTATTTCATTCTAAATCCATGTCTGGCCCAGAACTACAAAAACATAGACAGACAGATAGATAGATAGACGGATGGACAGATGGATAGACAGCAGATAGACAAATATTTCACAACTTTAACTTTCCAGAATAGACAAAATATCTAAAAAAAATTAACCAGATCTGCACAAGTAACAGAATCTTTTCTTTAATGGAATGTATTGAAATATGCCTGGTTTCAGTGGAACATCAGCTAGATTTAGAATCAGACAAAATGGCCTTGGATATGAGCTGACACTTCCTACATGGGGAAGCAGCTTGGTGTAGTGGACAGACTGCTGGATTTGGGGTCAGATGACTTGGATTCAAATACCAACTCCTATGTGACCTTGAACAAGTTAATTAACTTCTCAAGGCTTGAGTGTTGACAATTATGTAATGAGATGGTTGAACTGGGTGATCTTTAAAGTCCTGTATTTAGATCCTGTAATGACTCTGTGAACTCAATTACATTCATGCTTATATCCAGTCAGGCAACTAACTAGAATGTATGAAGCTCCTACTGTGTGTCGGGCAGAGGCAACCAGGCAGTTAGATGACTCAATGGACAGAGCTCTGGGCCTAGAGTCAGGAAGGCTTGAATCCAAATCCAGCCTCAGACACTCACCAGCTGTGCGACCCTTGACAAGTCACTTAACGTCTGTTTGCCTTAATCCACTGGAGAAGTAAATGGATAACCATTCCAACATCTTTACCAAGAAAACCTCATACAGGCTCACGAAGAGCTGATACAACTGAATGACGGAACAACAACAACAGCAGTATGTGTCAGGCACTGTGTCTCTGGGGATACAAAGAAAGGCAAAAGACAGACCCTGCCCTCAAGGAACTCACAGTGTCTAAAGGAGATAGCATATAAACAACTCTAGACAAACAAGACATACAAAGGATAAACAAAACAATCAACAGAGGAAAGATATCAGTATCAGTTAAAAATACCATTCGTTTTTGCTCTAGACAAATAAAAGTCATAAAAAGGTAGCCTGGTGTGGTAAAAAATTCATTGGACTGAGAATCAAGAAAACTGTTCTCTTGTCTGAATCCTCACAATAATTATCTCTGTGATCTTTGGCAGTTCATTAATTCACTTAACCTCTCAGTTTCATCAGCAGTAAAGTGAAGGTGCTGGACTAATATCCCTTCCAAGCCTAACACCATGAATGCATGAAACAGATCATTTTATTGGACAGTACAGAATGGTTAAGTAACAAAAAATCACAATTTTTTAAATGAAAATGGGGGTAAAGAAGAATCAAAAAATAATCCTAGATCTGTTTAAATATATTACCACATCCCAGAGCCAGCTTTGAATAGAACTTGTATAATCATATAGTTTGATCAAACTGTTTTGACAAAGAGATTCTACTACTAGGCATATACCCCAAAGAGATTATTGATTAAAAAAAGGAAAGGTTCCAAATACACCAAAATATTTATAGTCACATTTTTGGTGGTAGCAAAGAACCAGAAACAAGGCAGATTGCCCATTGACAGAGGAACTAAACTTTCTAAACTAAACTAAACTAAATAAATTTTCATGCATGAATATAATGCTATATAATTGTGCTATAAGAAAGATGAACATGATGAATAAAGAGAATTATGGAAAGTCTTATATAAAATAATTTAAAGTGATGCAAGTAGGGCCAGGAAAACAATATTAACATCAATGTATGTGGAAAGAACAATCATAAAACTATTGAAGATGAATGCTGTGAAATTATAAAAACAAAGTTGGCCCCACAGAAGAGATATGAAAACACACCTCTTTCCATTCCTTTGCATTCCTCCTACGTAAGGGGCCCATAGGAGTAAAATAGTAAATATGACATCAGATTTTTTTCTCTAACTAGTGACTTAATTTTAGTGATTTTCTTTCCTTCTCCCTCTTTTTAAAATCTCTTTATTATAAAGGATAGCTCTCTGGGAGGGGAAAGGCAGAGGAATACAGGCAGAAATCTAGTAAATGTAAAAAGAAAATAACCAATGAAACCCTATTTACAATAAATTATATACTTTTTACAAGTATAAAATCTTCAGTGAAATAATATGATGATTAACAAAAATGCTAATATAGTATTCTCCCAAGATCGAGATGGTTCTATATTAATAGGCATTAAACAATTTCATTATGTTTTAGAGACAAGTTAAGTGAGACAAGTGAGTATGTATCACCTTAGTCTTCAGTAGTCTCTTGTTGCTATTCAGTCATGTCCAATTCTTCAAGATCCCATGGACCACAGCATGCCAGGTCCTTCTATCCTTTGCTATTTCTCAAAGTCTGTCCAAATTTATTATGTTTGTTGTTTCCATGACACTATCTATCCATCTCACCCTCTGACATCCCCTTTTCCTTTTGCCTTTGTATCTTCTCATTATGTGTCCAAAGTATTTAAGCTTCAACTTTAATATTTGATCTTCCTGTGAATAACCTAAATTTCTTTAAGTATTGGCTAATTTGATCTGTTTTCTGTCCAAAGGACTCTCAAAAGTCTTCACCAGTACCACAATTAAAAAGCATTGATTGTGTGGACCTGTGCTTTCCTTATAGTCCAACTCTGACTATAAAGACCTTTGTCAGCAAGATGATGTCTCTGCTTTTCAGTATGCTGTCCAGATTTGCCATACCTTTCCTTCCAAGGAGCAAGAGTCTTAATTTCATGGCTGCAGTCATTGTCTGCAGTGATCTTTGAGGCCAAGAATCTAACACTGGTTCCATTTCTTCTCCCTATTTGCCTGGAAGTAGTGGAACCAGTTGCCAAAATCTCAGTTTTCGATGCTAAGTTTCAAGCCAGCTTTTATACTCTCCTCTGTCACCTTCACCAAGCACTTTCTGCCATCAGAATAGCATCATCTGCATATCTGAGATTGTTGGTATTTCCTCCAGTAACCTTAATTTCGGCTTTTTATTCATCCAGCCTGGCATCTCGCATGATGTACTCTGCATATAAGTTAAAGAAATAAGGTGACAATAACAGCCTTGTCATACTCCTTTTCCAATCTTAAACCAATCAGTTGTTCCATGTTTGCTTCTAAGTATTGCTTCTTGGCTGGCATACAGGTTCGTCAAGAGACAAGTAAGATGATCTGGTACTCCCATCTCTTTGAGGACTTGCCACATTTTATTGTGATCCACACAATTAAAGGCTTTAGTATAGTCAATGAAGCAGAAACAGATGTTTTTTAGAACTCCTTTGCTTTCTCTATAATTCAGCAAATTTTGGCAATTTGGTCTCTAGGTCCTCTGACTCTTTGAAAACTAGTCTGCTCTTTTGGTAATTCTTGGTTCATGTATTGCTGAAGCGCAGCTTGCAGAATCTTAAGCATAATTTGCTGGCATGTGAAATGAGCACAATAGATTGGTAATTTAAACATTCCTTAGCACTGCCCTTCTTTAGGATTGGGATGTATGCTGAAATTTGCCAGTATGTTGAGTGTAGCACTTTAACAGCATCATCTTTTAGGGTTTTAAATAGTTCAGCTGGAATTCCATCATTTCCCCAGCTTTATTGTCAGTAAAGCTTCCTCAGGCCAACTTGACTTCATTCTCCAGGTTGTCTGGCTCTAGATCAGTAACCACAGCATCATGGTTATCGGTGATATTAAGATCTTTCTTGTATAGTTCTTTGGTGTGTTCTTGCCACCCCTTCTTAATCTCTTCTGCTTCTGTTAAATTTTTGTCTTTTATCATGTTCTTTTTTGCATGAAACTTTCCCTTGACTTCTCTAATTTTCTTGAAAAGATCTCATCTTTCCCATTCTATTGTGTTCTATTTCTTGCATTGCTCTTTTAAGAAAACCTTATCTCTCCTTGCAGTTCTCTGGAATTTTGTATTCAGTTGGATATATCTTTCTCTTTCCTTCTTTCCTCAGCTATTTGTAAAGACTCATCAGATAGCCATTTTGCTTTCTTACTCTGCTTTTTCTTTGGAATGTTTTTATTGTTGCCTCCTGAACAATATTGCAAAGCTTTGTCCATAGTTCTTCAGGCACTCTATCTGCCAGATCTAATCCTTTAAATCTATTCATCACTTTCACTTCATATTCATAAGGGATACTGTTTAGGTCAGACTTAGATGGTCTGATGGTTTTCCCTACTTTTTTCAATTTAAGTCTGAATTTTGCAATAAAAGGCTCATGATCTGGGCCACAGTTTGCTCCAGGTCTTATTTTAACTGACTGTATAGAGTTTATCCACCTTTGGCTGCAAAGTATATAATCAATCTCTCATATGGTGATGTTGAGTATAGAGTTGCCTTTGGGGTTGTTGAAAAAGAGCATTTGCTATGACCAGAGAACTATCTTGACTAAATTCTATTACTCTCTGCTATACTCATTTTGTACACCAAGGCCAAACTTGCCTGTTATTTCAATTATCTTTTGATTTCCTACTTTAGCATTCTAATCCTCTATGATGAATGTGACATTTTTTGGGGGTGTGATTTCTCAAAGATCTTCTCATAGGTCTTCATAGAACTGATCATCTTTGACCTCTCTGGCATCAGTGGTTGGAGCATAGACCCATATTACTGTAATGTTGAACAGTTTGCCTTAGATTCAAACATACAGCATTCTGTCATTTTTAAGATTACACCTCAGCACTACTTTTCCCATTCTTTATTAACTATGAGGGCTACTCCATTTCTTCTAAGGGATTATCGCCCACAGTAGTACATGTAATAATTCACCCATTCCCTCACTGACACCTAAGATATCGATGTTTAATTTTTCCATCTCCTATTTGACCACATTCAGCTACCTTGGTTCATAAATCCTACATTCCAGGTTCTTACATTCCAGGTTCTTATGCAATATTGATCTTTAAACAATTGGACCTTCCTTTCATCACCAGAAGCATCTGCAGCTGAGCTTCCTTTTGGCTTTGGACTAACCACTTTATTAGTACTAGAGCTACTTGTAGTTAACCTCCATTACTCCCCATTAGCATATTAGACACCTTCTGACCTAAGGGGTTGATCTTCTGATGTCATCTCTTTAATCATTTGAGTACTCTCTGTGGAGTTTTCTTGGCAAAGATAGTCAAGTGGTTCGCCATTTCGTTCTCCAGTGGTTCCCCTTTTGTCAGAATTCTCCACTGTGACTTGCGTAACACAGCTCATAGTTTCATGAAACTACACAAGCTCCTCCATCACAACAAGGCAGTGGGAAGCATCAACGGTCTCTAATGTGCATCAAATAGCAGCTATTAAAACATCAGAAAATGTTATTTCCATTGTGAACTATATAAAGTAAAAAGCACCAAGAATTATAACACCTACTACCAAATTTTAAGTGATATTTCAAAGAGAAAAAGCCAAAAATTTCCAATTTTGTGGGTTGTATATGAGATTAAAATTGATTTTAAATTGATTATATGATTATGTCACATGTGTAAATATATTATATATAAGTATGATTATATTATATAAAATTGATTTATATGAGATTAAAATTGAGATAAATTTAATTAGCAAATTAATAAATTTTCAAATGAAATACATGAATAAAATAGGTGACATACCTCTCTGCGAACCATACTACATTCTGAATGATCCAGAAGAATGTTCACCACTGTGGCCCACAGTCCACCAGAAATGTTTTGACAACTGTTGGCTAAGGCAATACATCCATCTTTATCAGAAGTCAGAGTTGCTCCTATTGCCAGGGAAATGAACCTCACCTATTTAATAAAATAAAAATGTGTTAAACTAAACAATCTTTCTTTTTTATCAATTTCTACAGGTTTTAGGGTATTTCGAACAGAAAACTATGAACCTGGTCCAAGTATTCTAACCTAATAAAAAGCTGCTCTTGTTTGGACTTCACCATGCCTTCAGGAACCTCCTCATCCTGAAAGATTATATCAATCTTGATACCCATACATCATCAGTACCATCTACTTTTGGGACCTCTCTATGTGGAGGGCAAAGTAAAGAGCTGTTCTAAAAACCTCCACTTAAAGTGAGAGCATAGACTAGGTATCTATGCAGTTCCCATCTGACTACGTGCTTTTGGACTTCTCCATAATGTCTGCAGACAAGTTACTCCCATCCTTTCAGTTTCCTTTTGTGTGTTGTTGTCTTCCTGCATTAGACTGTCTCCCTGAAGATAGAGACTGTCCCACCTTTTTTTTTTTTTGGTAACTATATCCTCAGAACTTAGCACAGTGCTTGACAGAGAGTATGCACTTAATAAACATTTACTAACTACCTGAAAACAGAATATATAAATAAAATCATTATTTAAGAATATATGTTAAATGATTACTAGGCTGCTTCCTATCTAGACAAAAATAAATAACTAAAAACAACTTTCACAAGCTGACTAATGACTTATATTTTTCCAAGAACCATGAAGGAGGCTATTATTGTTTTTTAAGGTATCTACAGGGACAGTGGGCAATATGTGTTCTTAATCTACTTAGTGAGAATGAGTTAGTCTTTCCATCACTTCAGTACATGTCATACTGAATAGTACCTACAAGAATTAAGCAAGGAAGAACAGTTAGACTAAACAAATATAGAGAAAAGAAATTCATGCTACAGGTCACAATTTTAAGGGTCCTACAGCACTGAATTTTAAGAATAATTCAACAGCCTTGAAAATAATTAACACAATTCATAAGCATTTTAAAATCTCAAACTATCTAATTATATCAATAAATATAGACAAATGATTTGACAAAGTACAACAATAATTTACACCAGAAACTCCACAAAGCACAGTCACAGAAAAACCTTTTAAAAATATGATTAAAAGTATATATCTAAAACCAAAAGCTAGCATTATTAGTAACTGATGAATGCTAGAACTTTCCAATTAAAAAAAAGCAACAAAAGGAAAAAAGCAAGGTTGTGTCTTCTTTCACCACTGCCATGTGCCATAATTGTATTTAGAAATACTATCAACATCAGCAAAACAAGCAAAAGAAATTAAAATCATGAATATAAGTAAGGAGACAAAACTTTCCTATTTGCATAACGACAGAAGGGTTTACAAAGACGACCCTAGTGAGAAGATTAATATTGAGCCTGCATCTTTTTTTATTGAATCTATTTAGAATTAATTAATTTTGTCTAGTAATTGCTTAAGTCATAGTTCTTTGTTTCTGATTCAGCTGGTCTGTAATGGGTTAAGTTTAAAAATCCAGCTCGGCTAATCACTGATCTATTCTTGCTTCAAGGAATGTAACTGACCATAAGGGATGTGTGTGAAAACAGGGGAGTTGGTTCTAATATCTTACACCATCTTTACAACAACGAACATTTCTTAGTCTCATGATAGAAGGAGATATGGAGGTAGGGTCATTGCTAGCCCCATTGCCAAACTTCCAACCAATCATGCTATTCTTTGTGCCTCAACCACTCATATTGTCCCCAATTCCATGATGTCCTTTACCCTGTTTTGTTCTTTGTTCTATAATCTCTAAAACCTATAAAACAAAGCTACCCATCGCTCAAGATCTTTGGCAAAAATGGGGACAAGCCACTGACCCCTTTATTGACAGGCAACAGGCTTTGTTATCTTGCTGAGAGAATTGTCTTAGTTTACCCTTTCATTAAATTTCAATCAGAACACTAAGAAATGAACAAAGAATCAAATAGAAAAAGTGAAAGCTTTAGTAAAATTTTTAAAAATACAAAATCAACCCAAAAAAATCAAGAGCATTTCTTCAAAGCAATAACAAAAACAAAGAAAAAATAATAGAAAGGAAAATACTATTCAAAATTACTACAAAATGCATTCAATATTTGGGATCCACTCTTACCACAACACACTCAAGGCTTATAGGATTACAATTTAGAAAATTTAAATAACCAGAAGAAAAGTTGCTGCTCACAATTGGGCCATTCTAATTAAACAAAACTATCTCACTATATAATAATTTATAAATGCACTGCAATACTTACACTACCATTACAAAATTAATTTCAAGAAAGAAGAGGTTACTTGACTCTCCAGTGAAATAATGGGAAAAAAATAAGTATGATTGGGAAATAGCACTTAATGACTTCAAACTGTAATATAAAGCAATAATTACCAAAAAACTGTTACATAATGGTTAAAATATTAAAAAATAGAACAGTGGAATAGAACAGATAAACAAGAATTAGAAATAATCAAATTCAATGGCCTATTGTTTAATAAGTCAAGGAATATAAACTACTTGAGGGAAAGACTACCTATCTAACAAAAAGTACTGGGGAAAAATAGAAAGCAGTTTGGCAACAAATAGATTTAGATCAGCACCTTACATCCTATACCACAATAATTTCAAATGGATATATGACCTAAATATAAAAATTTATATCATAAAAAATTAGGAAAATGGATAGAGATGCCTTTCACAGTTACGGGGAGTTGGGTAGAATTCTTAACCAAACAAAGCTTAAAGAAGGTAACAAAAGATAAAATAGAAAATATCAAGTAATCAATTTATAATAATTAATTTATTCATAATAATCAATTATTAATCAATTTATAATTGATTAAAATTATGTAAACATTAAATTTGCATTGTATTTATTTTATAATAATTTATGTTGATATTTATATTATAATATAATATAATATATAAATGTTATAAATATAAATGTAAAGATTAATCTATTTATAATAAATCAATTAATATCAAATGAAATTAAAAATCTTTTGTACAAATAAGAAGGAATCCCAATTCCCAATGAATGAAGGCATAAGTTTTCATATTGAAATAATGTTAAAAATTATAAATTCTATTAGAATACTATAATGTAAAATGTTATAAATGATAAACATCATATCTTATATAAGACTTTTTAAAATGAGAATTTATAAACACAATTAGGATGCTTTGCTTTTTAAATCTGGATATCATCTTTACTTCTAAAATTAAAAAAAAGGAAGCTGCCAGGTGGTGCTGTGGATAGAGAACAGGCCTTGGAGTCAGAAGAACCTGAGTTCAAATCCACTCTCAGACACATAACACTCACTAGCTGTGTGACTCTGGGCAAGTCACTTAACTACAATTGCCACACCACAAAAAAAAGATTAAATTAAAAAAATACTTTATATTATATGTTACAATTTATATTGTTGTCAAATTTGTTGTTTTCCTTGCTTTGCTTCTTTACATCAAATCATATTCTTTTGATTTTCTTTCATAAGATGCAATATTTCTTTACATTCATTTACCACAGTTTATCAGTTCCTCTTCAGTTAGTACTTCTTTGCCACCACAAAAACTGCTGCTATGAAAAACCTAATATTTATGGAAACTTTCTATCTTTGACCTTCTTGGGGTAGATGCTTAGAACTGATATCTCTGGATCAAACTGACATTTTAGCCTCTCTCTTCTGACAATTCCCAGTTGTTTTTCAGAAAGGCTGGAATAATTCAAAGCTTCATCAACAGGGGATTGGTATCTCAGTCTTCCTATATCCCCTCCAATACAGACTTGGAATCCTACACAAACCAAAGCAGCAGGAACGGAGATCTTAGGAAGTAGAAGGTAGCAGGAAGAAATATTTTGGGAAAAAGATTAGACAGGAAAATAGTCCCACAGAACAGTAATAGCTGAGAAGAGACAGTCCTGGAAGCAGTAGTAGGAATAGAATGACAGTAACTTCATTATGAAAATGAGTCTCCAAATGTAGAAAATGTTCCTAAGTAAGGAATGCTATAAATTAGGTTGCATGTTGGGGTTTCCCTGCAGGACTGTGTAATCCCTTTAGTTTAAGATACATGTATGTATATATACACATACACATATATGTGTATGTGTATGTATGTGTGTATATATGTATGTGTGTATAGATACATAAATAGATAGATATACTCTGTGTGTGTGTATGTGTGTGTGTGTGTGTGTGTGTGTGTGTGTGTGTGTGTGTGTGTGTGTATGGGTGTATGTTGTTGTTGCTGTTTGTCCTTCATTCTAGAAGAGGACAATAACATCAGGAAACTGATGCCATGACATGCAAGTGAACTGGATTTAAGTGAGGCATGACTGTTCAAAGTCACCAGCCTCATTCTCTTCTCTGGAGCCATCTGGGTCCAGTGGCAAGATATGGATCAGGACGAATGGAGATGGCCCGGGATGCATTGTGAGACTTTGGCCCTTTTAAGCTAATGTCTTTCCCAAGTCTCAGTTTGACCAAGGCAACACCCATTCAGTGATTAAGACTAGGTAAGAAATGAGGTGAAGAATGGCCTCTTTTTGTTAGTCAAAAAGCAAAATTAACCTGGGAGAAGAAGGCCCTCAGGGTTTCTGGCTAAAACATAAGCAACTGCTATTTAAACTCACTCTAAGACATCAAAGCCAAATCAATGCCTAAGGGAGGCTTGAGCTAGGACATGTATGTGTGTGTGTATGTATGTGTATGTATATATACATATGTGTATATATACACATATATAAATGGGTATATATGTATATATTTATATTCAAGTAAAGCCACTGATAAATTTCTGCATTTAAAATATTTTTATTTTTGTACCTTCACACATAATAAACGATAACATGAAAATTGAGATCTTAATTTTATACTAACCTCTGGATCCCTATCAACCCATAATGGAATCAACCAAGCCAGTCCCTGTTGGATAAGATTTTGTTCCTCACTATTACTGTCATAAGGCAAGGACCACATTGAAATCCAATCCTATATTAAAAAAAGAAAAATGAACTTTAATAAATCTTAATTTTCAAGGTGTCTAACAATGAAGTAAATAGAATAGAATAATTCTACTTTTAAAAATAACAAAAAAATAAACAATATTCACCACTGTTTTAAAAAAAGGTCATTTCAATCAAACATTTTTAAAAACCAGGCAGAGTTATAATGAAAATGTAAGCATATTTTTCCAAATATAATCATTTAAAACTGAGCTATTCTACTGAATGCAATTACTTTTTTAAAATAAAATTGAAATGAAACTCATATTTACTTAAGCACTTCCAAATTCTAAATAATATCTTAACTGAAAATCACTTTGCTTTATAAAAGTGAAAAGGAAAGAGAGATGTTTTCATGTAAGAACCAACTACCAGAACTCTTATAGCATTTCTGTTTTTCAAACAAACTATACAGACGACAAGCTAAGGGCAGCTTTGAGGGCTCTCACCAAGATATTGGCCTGATTCATCATCTCATGGGACAAATGTAACAAGCAAAGAACTGTGCTCTTTGTGACACCCTTTCCCATGAAGGACATAGCAGTTCCTCCCCGCTCCACATAGAAGGAAGAAATGACCTGAAAATCAAATATAAAACAATCTCATGGTAGCTTTACTGTGAGTGGTATAAAAGATAGGAAAACAAAATCCTACTGAGGTCAATGAATTAAATCCTGACCACATAAAGAGAGAACATTCTTTTGAAATGTACTTTTCCTTTAGAATTTGGGTAATAGATGTATGGTATCCTCTTCTTACAGAATCTTGGGAAAATTAATTTCATTGTGATTTAAAATATACTTGTTACATTGCTTAAGTCTCATTTCCTCAACCTGATTCTTACTTAAGTTAAAATAATGTAACATCAATTAGTTATTTAAACAAATAGCTATTTAATTGGACATATACTAAATGTCATTTAGATATCAGAAAAAGTGAACCATATGTGATTGAAAAAATATTGGATTTAAGTCAGGAGAAAGAGGTTAAATGTAGCTTCTCCACTTACTAGCCATATGACCTTGAGTAAGTGACTTTATCTCTCTGGCAGTCTCCTCACCTAATAAAATAATACGTACTACCCACATCACAATGTTGTTGAGAGGAAAGTGTTTTGCAAAATGTAGAGTAATATATAAACATGATCTATCATAATTTTTAACAAGGTGAAGAGATACAAAGAGCACTAGACTGGGAATAAGGAGATATACATTTAAAAACAAGCTACAACAATTCCTAGTTCTTTGACTCTGGGCATATCATGAAGACAAAGATTTTAGAATTTCAGAATCTGAGGAGACCTTGGAGATCATCTAATAGTTGATATTAGTTGGCATTTACATAAAACTTTAAGGTTTTCAAGTGCTTTTCAAATATTATCTTGTTTTATCTTCACAAAAATCCTGGGAAGTAGGTATTATTATTATTATTTGCATTTTACATATGAGGAAACTGAGACACAGAGAAGTTAAGTGACTTGCCCAAGGTAACACAGCTAGTAAGTACCTGAGGCTGAATTCTAACTCAGATCTTCTTAACTCCAGGTACAGCACAGTATCTCTGTGCCACCCAGTACCACATAATCCAACCTTTTCATTTTGCTGATGAATGACTAAGGACTAGAGAAGTTAGAGTAAAAGGTCAAAAAGGAAACAAGGCTGATGTTAACCCAGATAAGGAGACTAAATCCAACTCTCCACATAACTGATGTGTCAATACTTATAACTATGTGTGACCTTTGGAAAAACACTTCACCTGTAAAACGACCAGTCTCCCCATCTCTAAAATCAGGATAATAACACTTACACTACATACCTTAAATGATTTTTGTGAGGAAAGTCTCATATAAACCTTAAAATGCAATATAAATATGAATTGTCCTGTTTTAAAGAGATGTATACAGTCTTTTGAACTGTAACTAATCCCACTAGATTCCTCAAAGCTCATTTACAATCACTTTTAATTTGGAATGTTATACTGAATATCCTATAATCATAGCATATAACATGTGTGACTGTAGGTAACAAGATTTTATTTTTTTGCTCTACTTGAGTACTTATCAACTTGGTATCTCCTATTTCTGTCAGAAATTATCCAAAGAGATATGGAATAAATCTTAATAAGAAATACATTTGAACTTGAAATTGAACCCTAAAGTGACTTGGAAATCCTTCTATTTATTAATGTTCTTCCCTAAGTGTTTCTAACTATTCAAACAAAACTTAAATCTACTGTAGTCAAGCTGTCTTAGGGATTATTTCATTGATAATCAACTGATAATTGGTAGCAAGGGTAACTAAGAATTTGTCAGCTACTAAAAAAATTCTCAAAAAAAACCCAGAACATTCTTGAGGTACTGAAGAAGTAACAAAAACATTATTGGGTTTAAGAGCAAAATAATGCAGGTCGTACTTTAAATGAAAGATTATATAACAATGAATGCAACAAAATAATAATACAAAGTTGAAATAAACCCAATGGTCAAAGTCTTCTTTCTCCTTCACTTAAGTCATATTCTGTATGTTAAACTAAAGGCTGAATGTCTATTCAACTAAATTATCAATATTTATACTACTACTTATTTTAAAACGCAATTAATTGTTAATTAAACACTATGTTAAAAATAAGTAAAAGAATCCTAAAATCTAAGTGTTTTTTTAAAATAGGAAAGATACAGAGTATTTCTATATGTGATGACTGAAGTGGGTTATATCAATTACAGATGTTCTCATTCTCATCTGTAACTAATTAATCTGTAATTCTGAATAAGAAAACTAAATTCAAATTCCTAGTTCTTTATAAGTTATCAGAAAAACTATCAAACACATGTAGCTATTGTAAAAGTTTTTAAAAATCAATAAACCTATAAAAAATACCAAAAATTAGGTATAATGATACTAAACAATAATTATAACAGTAATATATCTACCTCAAGAAGGCCTGACAAGTATTTTGTACAAATGGAGAATGGCTCAGTTACAGTAGAATGAGAACTCCATCCTGGGACTGCTGTGATATGAACCATTCCTTGTAACGTTCTCTCCAGGGAAGGTAGTCCATAAAAATGAGGTGCATCTGTTACTCTCAGGCATTGTAGCAGTTTCAAAGCCAGCTGTGTCTTGAAAACATAAATAAGTTCCAAGAACTTCCTATGTATACAAGAGGGGAAAAAAATCAACTACAACACAGGTGTAAGTCAATTTAATGGGCTATTTTATTAGCTGTACGGACTTACTTGTTACTCATTGTTATCATAAAAGTAAAAAACGATGTCAGAAAATATTCCTTTCATAAAACAAATGTCCTTAAGTAAAACAGTAAACTATAATTGGAGGGTAGAACATATAGTTAAAAAAAAGGAATAATTATATTAGAAAAAGTAATCAGTATTACCACTAAATATAATGATAGAAAGAGTGAAATAGTAAATATTATGCCTTGGACTTTAAAAACTTGAACTCTTGAGGATTAACCCCCCTCTCCCAATCATGTTATTCATTTTAAAAATTATCTCTATTTAGTTGAAAAAAGAGACATATAGTGATGTCCTCTTAGAAATTTTTTTTAAATTTAGTGCTTTAATAAAGGTTAACACCATTATGAGCAACGTACCAGTACAAAACAAATTTTCTGGAAGTTGAAAACTACTAAGAAGATGAAAGAGTAAGTAAAAGGAAACCTAGGGTGAAGCTCTTCCTCAAGTACCCCAAATACCAAGAACACTCAAATTCAACAGTTCAAGAAGAGGAAAACTGAAAGAGCTTACTACAAAGCAAATTTTACAGGTAAAAAACAAAACTAAACTAAATACCAGCTCATCAGCCTACCACCCCTATTGTTCTCACCCTCATTTCAACCCCCTCTCCCATAGCCTATGACTGCACTAGATGGCAGTGCTTAATGCAATTTTAGGCACAAAATTTTTTAGTTAATTTTGGAGTCCCTGAGGCCTGCAATCTAAGTGTCATGCTTGACTCATCAGTCCCTCTCATCTTGCTCCCACCTCTCATGTATCCAATCTGTTGTCAACACCTGTTGACTTCACATTTGCGACATCTCTCTAATACACTCCCTTCTCTCTTCTAATATTGCCACCAGCCATGCAGTTTCTCAACTCCCTATGCCTAAATTGTCACAATAGCCTACTTGGTTCTTCTTTCAAGTCTCTCCTCACTCTAGTCCATCCTCCATTCAGCCACCAAAGTGATTTTCCTAAGACCTGACCCTATTACCACACAAACACACAGACATAGACACACACACACACACACACAACAAACTCCAGTAACTCCATATCACTTCCAGGATCAATTACAAAATTATAATTCCTCAGTTTGGCATTCAAAGCCCTTCATAACCTAGCCTCCTCACCCACCTTTCCAGTTTTTTAATACCTTCTCCTCCCTCTCAACCCCCCAAATCTCTTCAATCCAGTGACACTGGCCTCCTGGCTGTTCCTCACATAAGACATTCTATCTCTCAACTTAAGGCATATTCACTGGCTATCTCCAAGCCTAGAATGCTCTGCTTCCTTATCTCACTCTCCTGGATTCCTTGACTTCTGCAAAGTCCCAGCTTAAATCTCACCTTTTACAGGAAGCCTCTTGATTCTAGTACTTCATTTTTGTTGCTTATTTCCTATTTATCCTGCATGTAGCTTGTTTGTAAGTTGTCTCTCCCATTGGATTGTGAATTTTTTGAAGGAAGCATCTCTCTTATCTTTCTTTGTATCCCCAGTGCTTAATACAGGGCTTGGCAGATAACACATGCTTACTACTGACATGGGGGAAATCACTTTAGCTGTCTGGGCCTCAGTTTCCTTGTCTGTAAAATAAGTTGGCCTGTTAAGGTTTCTTTCAGAACTAAATCTATATTACTACGATTATGTGATAACCTATTTTTAAAGAGGGGCAGAGGAAAAGAAAGAAATCCAAGAACAAAATTTGTATCTCCAAAAGAGATTTAATAAAGGATATCCTTTAGGGCCAGTCTGAGATGTGTGGGGCCGTCTAGAATGGCATGCTTTAGACATCTAAATCTGTGCCCAAATTGGGGAAAGACAGAAAAGTTCTCCAGTTTCTTCTTTATCCTCCTCCTTTTCCCCTTTACTTCTCCTCCTTCTCCTTCTCCTCCTTTAGAAAGGCTTCTCCGCTCTCTCTTTTTCACAAGAAAAACATTCCCTCTCTGGTGATGGCTCTCCTTTTGGGAGGGTTCCAAAATGATTGCTGGATAACAGGATGCTATCTATTACTTGTACCTCCAAATATACACTTTGGGATCTTTGAGTATAATAAGTGGTCAAGGAGCATGACAGTATGAGATTAGAATGTTTCCTGATTTGTTTAATGTCAGCTAACAAGGTGGTTGTAGAGGGTCTTATCTACGATACCAGGTGCTATGAGGTGGTTTGGTCCTAGGTAAACATTTAACTATGAAGTCACTGTTGAGGAAAAAAGAGGGAAATTTTCTCAGCTCCTTTTAGAGGCAAAAGTAGAAGAAAGCAAGAAACAATTAACATTTACAGGATACTAGTCAATTAAAATAGGCAAGAATCTTTTAAGGGAGTCTGCTTTTCAAATTGCTGGTGAGTGCTCGAGAATGACACTGGGTTGGTCACTTGGAATAAAGATCCAAAGCCTTATGGAATCTATATAAGGTTTTTCTCTTGGGTTTCTAGATAGGAATGCTAGCTCAGATTCTGTAAGGGAGGGGGCATAATCTTCTAATAAAGATCCTAACAAGTAGGGGGGGAAGGGGTTTTCATTACAAATATAAATGTGTGTACGCATTTATATACTTTATAAGCAAGCAATATCAATTCATTTACACTTGCAGAGAGAAGGATAACATTTGCAGCTAGAGAATTTGAAGAGGCACAGGAGTTCTGGGCCTTAACAAAGAAAATAACTGGCTATGAGTAACACTTAAAGCAAGGATACCATGGAGGGGTAGGGGGAAATCAACCCAGTGACTTACAAATAAAATTTGACTAAGGAGGACAAATGAACTAACATTGAGAGAAAGGAGGAATCTAAATGAATAAATACTTCCCAATAAGGGAAACTGAGTCAAAATCCCATTAGAAATGAGGTATTTCAAGAAATCCTACAAAGGCTCTTAAAATAACAATGGAGCAGAAAATGCAGAAATAAGGAGGTGGAACAAAATATAGTATGTTTTAGGGGACTAAATAAAGCAGAAGTTGCAAATGTCTCTAGGAATAACATGAGAAACTGCAAAATATTTTTCTAAAATGCCCTATTCTACCAGTCTAGTTATTCCTGTTAAAAAATGAAATGTGGTTACTCTGTCATCACTTGTTCTTGATGAAGCTATGGTGACTTTCGTTTCTTCCTGTTTCTCTAAGTTTTCACACATGCCCATAATTACATTTTAAAATTTTGCCTAGAACCAAAGTCAAGCTCACTGATCCAGTCTAGAGCTTGTATACCTCCTGATTTGAAAACTGGGACAATATTTGCCCTTGCCTAAGACATGAAATGTTGTTCCTTGACTCTAGGATCTTTTTATAAAGATCTCCAATAGTGACTCAAGAATTATACATTCTTTCAGTTGTGACTTAAATTCACTAAGTGTGATGGTTGTTATCTTTTTAGCTCCTAAAACTTTAGTTTCAACTTCCTATTAATCATTTTTGTTCTCTTCTTCTTGAAACAGCAGTTCAACCCTCTCACAATTATCCAGTATTATTACCCCAGTAGACCCTAAGCAACAATTCTATCCCTTCTTTAATACTCCTACTACTCCTAACAAAACTAATAAAACTTGTTTTTATTGTTTTAAACTCTCATTGCCAACCTCAGTTCAGTCTGAGAATCTACTCCTGACACTATTATAAGAGAATGCTACTTTTTTGTATTCATCCTCAGCCACTTGTCTTTTCTTCCACTTTTTAAAATAAGTCTTTTAAAAAATATGAATTTCTCAAATCCCCCATGCTACAATACAGGCCTCTTCAGGCAGTTCTTTACATCAAGATAATTTCAGCTCCCCTTTTCAGTATTTCATTCTTCTTATCTTCCTATCCCTACTGTACCAAATTCCTCTTCAAAGTATTTAAGACATTCTTCTAAAACCTAGGGTGCAGGCTAACTCTCTTCTCTTTAACCACGAACTCTATAATGGAACAGTGACTTGTCCTCCAATTTTTCTGTATTTTCTTCTTCAATAGCCTATTCTTGTTTAGAATCAAATCCACAATAGCAGTCCCTTTTTCCCTCATAGCTTCCCCTGCTTTATGAAAGATGTAATTACCATTAAGGCAACTCCCAAATTCATCAGTTACTCTGCTTTCGACAGAAAGACTGCAACAGCAGATGTCTGGACAAATTAAGGCCCCAACTGGTACCATATCAGATTGTCATGCTTTCCAGGTGGTCTATAGTATACACTCTCTAAAATATCACTTCCTTCGATGATCATCACCCAAATGTTCTCCATTAAGCTTCTCTACTACAGCTCTTAGATTTCCTAGACATCTTCTAAATATAAAGTGCTACTAAACCCCACCTCCTACCCTCACTCTTAAGTATTCTGTTCCTTCTGATTGAGGTATATCTTTCAAGTGCTATAGTCTAGTCATGAGAAATATACATACACACACACACACACACACACACACACACATAAATATGTGCATACATCTATATACATATATATATGTATATATATATATATATATATACATATATATATATATATATATATATATATATATATGTATATGGGGGAGATGTATGTACATATGTATATATCCTACCATGCCTCAGGTCAAATTTTTCTCCTAGCATTAAGATTTCTAGTTCACTATTAATTACTTACAAATTATGTATTTCTATAATGATATCTAAAACCATAGATTTTATCTCTCTTTGATACTGTTACTAAAGGGTTACTAAACATTCCTATTGTTTCTTTTCCTATATTGTACCTGATAGTCATGAGGGCATCAGATTTGTCAGATCTATGCAGGCCATTTTCTTTGTACTGCTAGCTCTCTCTTTTCAGTTTAAAGGCCTCTTGATTACACTGTCAAGATCCTGAACAAACACATTTTTAATAACTTTTATTATATGTACTCAATCCCTAAGAGTCCATCATTACTGTATTTGAAGACATGATCCAAAATTCCAAATTTTATTGTCCCAGACACAATTTTTTCAGAACATTGTATTCACCTCCCAAATCTGCCTAATTTTTCTGAATTTCTTACTTTCATTCAGTAGTTATAATGGAAAAAAAATTATTTTTTTTAAGTAGGACTTTATTAGGATGTCTTAGCAACGTTTTTAGTTTTCTTCTAGTAGCACCATTTGTGTCAAGAATCATTTGGCAAGGTGACAGTTAGGTGGTGCAGTGGATAGAGCACCGGCCCTGGATTCAGATAACACTTACTAAAAAATAAATAAATAAAATAAGAAACATTTGGCAAATTAAGGGAGGTTCTTTGTCACATCCTTGAAAAAAGAGAGCCAATTTTTTCCCCTACTTACATCACATCAACAAAAGCTGACTAGGTATACCTGAGTAGATAGTGACCAACCACCATCATAATCTCTTCTTGTCTAACCATTCATGGATGATTGTTTACCTGATTATACCTTTGAATAAACATCACTATTCCTTGGAGCACAAGAAGCCACAACCTGCAGAGATGGTCCACCTTCTTAATGGAGACCTCATATATCAAATAGCTCCAAATGTTCAACAGGTCTTCTCCTATGTCACGTGACATAGGTAAGAACTCTCCTCAGTTTCCACATCCTTTTTCATGTTTCTTCCACGAAGCACTTTTGCCCTTTCTAGGAAAACTCCATTTTCCCAGTTCATTTGGAGAATAGAAATCAATCTCTAAAGCCCTTTCATTTAATTTCTTCCTCTAAGTGAAAGACAACTTTGTATTTCCTGATTTTTTTTTTACTTCCTACTAAGAGAAACACAAACATAATATGTACTCAGCAGGTCATTAAGTTTTTTCTTTGGCCTAAATACTTCCTTGAAACACAGTCCATAGTCTTTTGTCTTCTTTATAATAATAAAGTCCTTTGCCTTCTTTATATTAACTTCTTTGGCTAATCCACACGCCAGACTGCTGAGGCAAATTGCTTATTTGTGAAACAGAAGATATCAACCTAATGAGATCTATGAATATTTTAACTGGCCATAAATCTCCAAATATCTATACCTTCCACTTCCATAGAACCTAGGTTCTTTAAATCTACTGTGGGGACAAGGTTTAATTTATTTAACATTCAAAACATGAGGACACAGATGAAATGCAATTTATTAAATAAGATCTATTCATCTCATTTCACCTTGTCATTGATCTTTATATATTACTTCTGTTCTTCTCAGGAGGCTATGCTCTCACAAAAATCACCATACTCTATACATTACCATTTCTTTCTTCCTATAAAAAACAAAATCCCCCAACAACTGTCAAGAGATAAATCTGGGAAAGAAAACAAGGGCTCTAATTGTTATTTAAATATCTAATAATGCTAACATTATACTTCTGGTTGAATAAACAAAACAGAAGCTCATGACAGGAAATATCTAGGTTCATTCTTTTTTGCTATCATTATGTAACAATTTACAATAATTATTTAACTGTGAAGCCAAGCGGTTGGTTGTTGTTCTTTGTTCTTGAAGAGGACCAAAATGGAATCATTATGTTGGGATCAAGGTAATATGTTCGACTGTGGCTCATCAGACCAGTATGAGCTCATATGGCTCTACCTCAGCTCAGGCACAAATAGTACATATGAACATTTGGAGTGAAGCTGTCTCTAAAAACAGGCAAAAATGGTAAAATAGTACGAGTGAAGTCCTTTGATTCAGGCATAAATTAGATTTAAGTGAGATAGAATTGCTCAGTAGTTCACCTCACTCTCTCTTCCACAGTCATCAAATTCCAGTGGCAAGATAAAAGTTAGGATGACTAGTGACAGTTCAGGATGCAGTGGATGACCAGCGTCTTTAATGTTTAACCAAGCTTTAAGTGCTCCACAGCATGTGCTTTAGCTGCCTCCATGGCCATTGGAACAAATTGTTCTCATCTGCCCATTCTGCCAGGGGGAGTCTTCACATGCTTGGGGTAGACATCATCCTAACTCACCAACAGGTTTGAGACCCCTCAGTTACCCTCAACCTGGTTTAGCTTGTCTGAGGAAACAGTAAAACCAAGTACATCTTGAGGGAAGACAAAGAATATTTACATTAATAAATGCCTTTTAGTGACATTGCTAATTGCTCAAGACAACTGGGAAATAGTTAGAATCACAGATTCTAAAATATAAAGGAAATGTAAATGTAAATGTAAAATAATCTCCTAAAATGAGGATACTGGACTGATGATTTAGAAGGTTTCATCTAGCTCTAAGTCTACATTACAAAATCTTTTCACATATATGCCATCTCTTTGGCATAATATGACCAAAACAACCATACCAATGGAATTTTTTCCCTCAACTTGAAAGATTGCAATGCCTTAAATGACAAACCTCATTACTAAAGCTCTAAGAATATGAATGCATCTTTAAATACAGACATCCTGATCTGTTACATCCGTGATTATGAGTACTTACCGGTCTGTTACATCCATGAATATGAGTAGTAAGTTATTAAAGAAAGTCATCAGCTCCTTTCGTAGTCGTTGTCTGACAGTGGTTTGAGTGTCAGCTGCTTCTTCTTGCTCTTGAGTTTCTGACTGCCCAAGAAGCTCTAAAAGTGGATTTGGATTCTAAAAGTAAAATTTTTGAAAAGGACATTTAAAACAATAATTGGTCTTTGATATTATATACTCAACAACAATTACTTTTCATGTTTGCAGAAACAACGAAGTTAAGTAAACACATACAAAGACTAACTGCATAACAGCTAAAAGTTTTATGTCAACAGTGTTTTTAGTTTAAATGTTGCTTAAAATTTCCTCTTCTATGATACCAATATAATACTAAATACTAAAATTGCCTAAACAATTTCATAGAATTACTAACACTTTGGTATTCTGAAATACTATTAGTTACACTATCGTTATAAAAACAAGATATTAAACATGCTATGAAGTCTCAGTGCATTATGTCATGATCTGAATAAATGAATAAAATAAATACCATATTTCTTATTAGCCAAAACAGAGAGATGGGAAGAAGCATGCACATAGCCGTTCAGTCACTTTTCAGTCACATCCAACACTTTGTGACTACATTTGGGCTTTTCTTGGCAAAGATACTGGAATGGTTTGGTATTTTCTTCTCCAGTTCATTTGACAGGTAAAGAAACTGAGGCAAACAAGGTTAAGTGACTTGCCCAGGATTGCACATAGTTAGTAAGCATCTGAGGGCAGATTTGAACTCAGGAAGATTAATCTTCTTGAGTCCAGGCCTGGTATTTTGTCCACTGTGCCACTTAGCTGCCCATGTACATTGTTAAAAGGCAAAATGCAGGCCATGAATGTGGCATAGTGAAAAACACACTGGTTTGACTGTTATAAGACCTTAGTTTACTCCTAGCTCTGCTACTAATTGGTACAACTCTGGGCAAATGACTTACCCTCTTTGGGCTCCAGTTTCCTCATTTGTTTTTTAAAAAATGGCTTAAAATGGCTTGGACTAGACAAACTCTAAGGTTCCATTCAATTCTAAAACTTCAAAATTTTGTGTACATATGAAATCCTATTTGTAATAAGATACATTCCTGGGGTTTCCTTTAAGAAAAAAAGGGGGGGAAGAGGGAAAAACACTAGCTTCCTTTTAATATTTCTGCTAAATGTATTATGATTTCATTGGTAAAGGGAATCCCCTCTAATGAGGAAACTTCCCATGCCAATGAACATCTGTACCTGTTCTGCAACTTATAGTCTGGGGCTCTAAGAAGCTAGTGACCTGTCCACGGTCATATACCCAGTATGTCTCAGAAGTAGGACCTAAAAACTAGGTCCTCCCGACTCCAAATCTGGCTCTGTATCTACTTAACATTAATAACAACATTCATAAAATATTTTAAGAGACAGATGATAGAAAGGCCATGTTCCCAAAAAAGATGGAAAAAGTATGGAATTAAGGACACAAGTAGAGGGGTTACTAAAGATTAGGGCCACCTTTTCTTGAAATATAGGAGTGAAAGTGTAGGGAATGGAAAAATGATGGATGATACTTAGAGCACTTGAGGTCTCTAACTGGAAAGGAATCAGAGCTCAAGACAGGCTCCTATTCTCTTGAATATGAGGCAGTCTGCTCAGGAGGAGGAATGCATCATGTAGATCGTTTTAATAAAGAAGAGAAGTTTTTGAACAGATTTAGGAGTGCAACAGAAAATCAACAGTGAAAAGTAGAAACATTCAGGGCACTCATAAGGGACCATTTGAGATAAGATGACATAAATTTGTAGTAGACTTAGTCAACACTATTGTGTGACTCCCCCTAGTGGTACAGAGCAGCATACAAGTTGTAGAAGACAAGGTCTGGGGTAACTGAGGGTTGAAGTTTTGAAAGATATTTTCTTGTTGCAATATGAAAAGTGGTAGAGGAATTTGAAGACAGTGGAAAATTGAATTGATATGATCACCGACAGGATCTTAGAATATAATAAGAGAAGCATAGTGTTTAAAAGAAAGGTTGCAGCCTTGCTGTTTTCTGCTCCAGTCAGACCACATCTGTGGTCTTATGTTCAATTCTCACCCATATATAAGCCAGTAAGTATCCACAAGAGAGCAACTAGTGCGGTAAAAGCCTTCAAAATCACACTTTGAGTATTTGTTGAAGTAAACAGCATTTACCCGAGAGAAGAGAAAACATATAATGGATACGATAGCTGTCTTCAAGAATTTTACAGGTTGCCAAATGAAAGAAGGATTATTCTTGTTCTGCTTGGTCCCAGAGGGTGGAAAAAATGATTAGTGGGTAGGTCTTTGCATCCCCAACACCTCACACAGTGACCAGTACATAGTAGATGTTTAATGAGGTTTGTTGATTGAATGAAAGTACAAAGAAAGATTTCAGCATGTTGGGAAAATATTCATAATAATCAGTTATTCAAAAGTGGAATAGATTGCCACGGCAGGTCCCCCCCACTGCAAATATTGAAACAATGGCAATTTGACCAATTGTTGAGCACCACTGAAAAGGATATTTTTCCTCAGTTTGGGGTTGGATTTAGATAGCATGTGATAGCCCTTTCAATTCTGGGATTTTCTTGACATGTATCCCAATTATTCTGATGAAGAGGATTTAAGATAAAGAGGAATTAAGAAGCCTCCTGATGAGGGTAAAAGAGGAGGGTGTAAAAGCTAGCTTGAAGCTTAACATCAAAAAAAACCAAACAAACAAAAAACAAACCAAAAAAAAAAAACCTAAGCTCTTGGCAACTGGTCCCCTCACTTCCTGGCAAACAGAGGGAGAAAAAATGGAAGCAGTGTCAGATTTTATATTCTTGGGCTCAAAGATCACTGCAAATGACAACTGTTAAGTCATGAAATTAAAATCGCTTGCTCTTTGGAAGGAAAGCTATGGTAAATCTGGACAGAATACTAAAAAACAAAGACATCACCTTGCTGACAAAGGTGAATATAGTCAAAGCTATGGTTTTTACAGTAGTATAGTATGGCTTTGACAGTTGGACTACACAGAAAGCTGAGCCCCACAGAATCAATGCTTTTTGAACTGTGGTGCTAGAGAAGACTTTTGTGAGTCCCTTGGACAGCAAGGATAGCAAATCAGTCAAACTTAACAAAATTAATTCAGGCTATATACACTGGAAGGTCAAAACCTAAAACTAAAGCTTAAGTACTTTGGCTGCATAATGAAAAGACTAATGTCAGGAAAGACTGAAAGGAAAAGGGGATGGAAGAGAATGAGATGGACAGATCTCACAGTGGCATACTGCCATTACCTTAAAATATCTATTGCTTATGCTTTGTACCTAGAAGGACTGCTTTTTAAAATGAGATTTTTAAGTTTTTAACATAGCTAAAATTTGTATGTTAAAATTCAGATTAAATGAGCCTTAGGAGTATTACTTATAAGAAAACAGAATGAATTACTTTTTCTCAAGTACAGTGCAAAGGAGGCAACAGATTAATCTAACTGGTGCCTAGTGATCACAAGTGTCTACTCACTCCTGAAGTCTTTGTCTTTGCACATTAGTATTCAATTCTAATTTAAATCACCTATGTGTCATTATTTTTTCACCGCTGACTTCAAAAACACAGTGATTTCTATAATGATGGCTCATTTTCTTTATGCACACACTACTTTTCCTCTTCATATCCAATTTCATACTCATCGATGAACAAGAGAATTAGAATATGCAATGTCCTCAGTGAACTGAGTGAAAATAAAGCCTAAAAAAGTCAGCTGAGAGGTAAATATTTTGCAATTCTATGTAATATCAAAGGGAAAAGAAGCAACATTTTTACAATTAAAATATTTGGAACAATTTTGAACAGTCATTTAAATACACTACTAGAAGATTCAAAACGTTCAGCTATCGGGGCAGCTAGATGGCACAGTGGATAGAGCACCAGCCCTGGAGTCAGGAGGCCCTGAGTTCAAATCCATCCTCAGACACTTAACAGTTGTGTGACCCTGAGCAAGTCACTTAATCCCAATTGCCTCATCAAAAAGCAAAACAAAGAAAAAATGTCCAGCTATTGTTAAATATGATAAACATCTGAATACAAACAGTAATTTAAATAAAACAGGTAAATTCTGGATTAAGTACTTGGCACAGTGTCTGGCACAAAAAATGCATGTTGATTCACTGATATTATTCATGTTTCACTGTATCATGTCCAGCACCTGCCAAATCTCTTCTTGGAAAAATATTTATGCTATATAGATAAAGCTTCTGTCTCACCTAAAGACGTTAGGACTCTTTATTTTTTATTTTTTTCACTGTTCTTTTCTATGCTGACTGCACTGAATTAACTTAGTATTATACTATATGTTGATATAATTTCAAGGGTCTTATTAAATTCTTCTTGGACTTTCTCTAGCTCATCCTGTGCAACAGATGTTGAATGCATAAAAGAGAATTATCTTTATAGACATCTTTTGTTTATGCTCTTCATGAGCAATATAAGATAGTTATTATTAAAAGTAGAAATAATAATGATAAAACAACTCATGCTTTAAAAAGGCTTATAAAGTGTTTCACAAGTACTTTATTTTATCCTCCCAAACACACAGGAAGGTAAGTCCTGTTACTATCTCCATTTTACATATAAGGAAACTGAGGCAGGCAGCGGTTAAGTGACTTCTCCAGCTTTACACAGCTAGTAAGTAACTGAGGCTGGTTTTGAATTCAAATCTTCTTGACTCCTCAGTTCTCTATATACTCTACTACCATAAAATAATGTTTTATGCTGCCTTTGAAACATGATAAAACCAATCTGGCCAATACCTTTTTTTGACTGTACAAAAAACTCCTACGATCATTCTTTCCATTTGACTGAAACATCTTCTGGTTGTATTTATAATGAAAATTTCAATATTGTTATGATTCAGCTCCTCAAATAATAGATGAACTGGACTATCGCTGAACAAAGACCTTGTACTTAAGAGTACCAATAGTTAAGTTAATGTTTACTGAAGTCTAAAAATTGGTCTTAACACCTTCTATCATCTTTTACCCCTTTCTGTCATTAACACTGAAGAAAGGAGACTACAGATGAATGAAGTCCACTTTGTTATTTCTGTTTGTTTCCTGGATTGCTATACCTAAATAATTCATCAATCATTGGCTAAACTATTGCTGCTGAATCTCTGTTATTTAGCTAAGTTGATCCTCTGGCAAAAAACAAAGCCTACTGCCAGGACCATAATCAAAGTATCAAAAAACCAAGAGAAATAAAGTTATCTTAGGGTAGCTTTGAAGTAATTCAAAATAAATATGTTAAATGGAATTTTATTTTAAAAGTTAAAATATAATGGTGATAACAAAATTTTATTTTACTATGGTAAAAATTTCCTAAAAATGCATTTTTACAATGTATTTTGTCTCTCAAATTGTGCATATGTGGTCAAATTTACTCAAAAGTTCCTTATATTTCTCTACTATATATGTATACTATATATATATAGTAGATATAAAATTAATATTTTTATGTAGAAAAAAATAAACTTTTAAACATTTCATAAACTATCCAAATCACTGGATTAATTACGTTTAAATGGAAATCTACCTCTTCAGTAAATAAAAGAAGACTACAGGGAACAAAAAGAGACATTATTTTCTTAAAATTGCATTTCTTTATACATGATATTTTGAAAGAACAATAGCTCCTTAGGCTGTCAGTTTTTTGTGCTTACTTTGAGTGTTTTTGTAGGCTCCTTAGTATATAGATCTTAGGGTTACAGGGTAATAAATTTAGAGCTGGAAGGAACCTTAAAGTACTTAAAGCTAAAATGTCTGTAGGGGTAAATGCTGTTATCTTCTATAACAAGAACCAAAACCTAAGCTCCCATCCTAGTCTTCCTGTGAACTATTTTCGTAACTCTCTTATTCCTCTACTCTTGTAGATTCTATTTGCACCTCAGTAAGATATCAGCATATAAATACACTAAACAGTTTTATTGTTAAAAAGAGCTGATGACATTCACAAAGCACTTCAAGTCTTGCAAAGTACTTGATATACATTATTATACTCATGTGGCTCACAAAAGGGCTACAAGTAACTACAGATTTCATTACACATTTTTGAAAGAGGTCAAATTTGGCTTCAGACACTAGCTGTGTGACCCTGGCCCAGTCAATCAACCTCTATGTGTCTCACTTGCCTCATCTATAAAATAAGGATTATTTTCTATTCTTAGGTGCTATTATTACAGCACCTAACTTCCCAAGGTTGTTAAGGATGAAATGGGATAATATTCGTAAAGTGCTTTACAAACCTTAAAGCACTACATAAATGCTGGCTATTATTAGGAGTACTAAGTATCGGAGGTGGGATGCAAACTTATGTTTCTCCTGACTGTAAATAATTCATTATGCTTCTTCCTAATTTTCTATAAGCACGGGGGCTAGTATATAGAGAATCCTTAAAAATTTATTTATTTTAGAGAATGTTTCCAGTTGTAGTGGCAAAGAGAACACTGAATTCATCGTATGGGGTTCTTGTTCTATCCCTGACACTGACTAGCTATGCGACAATGAGCAAACAGTTCCCTATTTGAACCTTAGTTAATCATCTATAAAATGGGGAAAATAATACTTGTATTATCTACCTCACAGAGTTGTGGTGTAAAAAGAGATGCGTACAACTTTAAAACCCAAGATAGATAGAAGTTATTGGTATTAAACATCATTCAACATAGTTAATATCCAGTCAACAAAGAATCATTTTTATGGCCCTGATCATTAACTAGGCCACAGAATACAGCTGCATTAAGCAAAATTCCATAAACTATTCATTTTCCAGTAATACTTTAGTAGTAATTTTTAGAGATTACTTCAAACCTAAAAAAAATTATTATTTCATATACACAATCTTACATGTTTAAGAAGTATTTCCAGAATCCAATCTAGAAATTCTATAACTGGACCACTTCTATGTTCCCTCAGTAACTTATTAATAAAACACATGATATTAGCCAGAAGCTTCTCATCTTCAGGGCAAGCAGGAAGTACTTGTAGAAATCTGTAATGCAAAACACAATACAGGTTTCATTTGCTTTTTTTTTTATGTTACAAAAAATACCAAACTACCAAAAAATTGTGCACATCAATATGGAAAGATATAAAAGAAAGTAAACAGAACTAAGAAAAAGTAAACAAAACTAAAACATGCAAATGGACAACGCAACTGGAAAGAATAACAAAACAATCAAAACTTAATGCTGTGAAATTATAATGACCAAGTTTAATATCAAAGAAGAAATGTGACAATGTTCTCCTCTCCCTTCTTTCTCTAAAGAGGTAGGGAACTATAAGTATGGATCACCTACTGCAAATAATTTCAGATTTAATGTGTTGATTAGTTGTTTTTTTTTAATTTCTTCCCCATGTTATTCTTTGTAATAAGAAATGGCTCTCAGAGAATGTAAGAGAGAGATATATTAGGAAGTATGTGTGATGGAAAAACAAGATATCAATGATAGTAAACTATTCTTGAATTTTAAAAAATTGTTTGGATTTTTAAAATATTTACTGGGCTCCCTGAAAAGCATTATGAAAAAAAATACCTATTTCATGAAATTATAAAAGAAAGCTACCTAAAACTACTAGAACCAAAGGGAAAAGTGTAAAGACATAATCCACAGTTTACCCACTTAAATGAAATTCAAAATTTAACAAGCCTATACATATAAATAAAAAACTCCTAGTGCTTCAGGTAAAAGAAAAAAATATTTCAAGCCAAGAAGAAATTAATCAATTAACAAGGATTTATTAAGCATATGTTATATGACAAGTACTGACTGTGTTAGATGTATTAGGAGAAAAAAGAAAAGAAAAAAGAAACAATCCTTGCCTTAAGGAACTTGCGTAGTACCTCAGAAGGCCAGTTACCTTTTGATAACCACTGCTCTAACACCATGGTTCTAACATTTCTGTGGTTTTAAATTACTACAGGAAGAAAACTTAGGACAATATATTCAACATATAGTAATGGCTTTACTCTTCAAAATTTTTCTTGGGATTGGTAATATTTCAAATTTATGTAAGAACCTAAACATATTTAACCATACATATTTAACAGCCTAACTAGAAATCGAAGATGCTATACAAAGTTATCCTTAGAAAACCTCAACACTAGCATTGTTAATCCTACTATTCTGCTAAACAATTTGGAATGATGCTCCCAAAGATACTAAACTGTGTATACCCTGTTATATCAATAGCCCAAAGAGATTGAAGAAAGAGTAAAAGGACCCATATGTACAAAAGTATTTACAGCAGCTTTTTGTAATGGCAAAGAACTAGAAAATGAGGTGGTACACATCAACTGGTGAATGGCCTTACAAATTATAGCATATGGATGTAATAGAATGCTATTGTGCTATAAGAAGTACTGAAAGTGACTTTTTCAGGGAAACCTGGAAAGACTTCTACGAAGTAATGAGTGAAGTGAGGAGACCCAGCAGAACAATTTATATAATAAAAACATTATAAACACAAAAAACTGGAAAGACTTGAGAACTCAGTACAATGACCAATGATTCCAGAGGACTTGAGATAAAACATACAACCTATTCTAGACAGACAGATGATGAACTCAAGGTGAAGAATGAAATATATTTGTTGGACATGGTCAATGCAAAAATTTGTTTTGCTTGACTGTATATTTTACCCAATTTAATTATCCATTCACCAATTAGTGGGCATATACTTTGTTCTTTGCTACTATGAAAAATGCTGCTGAAAACACATTTTTTGTGTTATATATACTGGGCTACATGCCTTGTAGTAGAGTCTCTGAGTCCTAGAATAGACTTTAGTAACTTTCTTAGCATAATTCCAAGTGGTTTTCCAGAATGGTTGGACCAATGAACAGTTTAACCAGGGTATATGGCGGGGGCGGGAAAGGGGAGGTGTTTGAAGGGGAGGAATTGTTGGGAAGAAGAAAACAGAATTGAGAGAAACTGTTTGTTCATTGAAAATTTTAATTTAATTCTTTAAAATACAATATTCTTAGATTTCTTTACTTAGGATCATTAGGTTTCATCTAGTACAACCCTCACCTTTTGCAGATGAGGCAACTGATACCCAGAGAAGCTAAGTGACTTGCCCAAAGTCATTAAGTGGAAAAGTAGGATAAATTCAAATCCAATTTTTAAAAAAATTTAAAACCACATTTTACCATATACACTTGCAGAGTAAGATAAACAATGAAAGCTCCTTACTTGACTTTTTAAATATGGACATCAGACACCAGTTAGACTTACTAAAAATTATGACCTATGGCCCCTTCTGTATCAAAAGGGAGTGTCACATCCTAATCATTCCACAGAATTTAGACTAGTAAAAGAAACAAACTACTTTTTCATGAGTAACTTTACAAAACAGACCTATCAATATAATACATACTTATAATTACTCATCTTATTTATATGGTATACAGGATAGTGAAATTTGATCCATGTATCCCATATTAATGACAAATTAATTTCTATTATTAGATGCTAAGTCCAAGTAGAAGAAATGAACAAAATTATCAAAAGCTAATAAATAGCTTTTTTAAAAAGTTCAAAAATATAGGGCAGCTAGGTGGTACAGTGGATAGAGCACTGGCCCTGGAGTCAGGAGCACCTGAGTTCAAATCCGGCCTCAGACACTTGACACTTATTAGCTCTGTGACCCTGGGCAAGTCACTTAACCCCATTGCCCAGACAAAAAAAAAAGTTCAACAATATCACAAAACTGCAAAACTTCCAAGTTGAAAGGAACCACAATAGCCATCTAATCCAACACTTAACTGAAACAGAATGCCTATAAAGTTATCTAAGAAGTGGTTACCCAGCTTCTCTTTGAAAACCTACAGTGAAGAGAAGTTCACTGACCCATTCCTGTTTTGGATAGTGCTGTCATTTCCTTTCATCATGCCCAAATTTACTTCTTTGTTCCTATTTCTGCCTATGTTGTGCCAAGCCAAACAAATCTAATCCGTATTCTACACAATAATCCTTCAAACACTTGAAGGAACCTATAACATAACCCCTCTAAGTCTTTCCTTCTCAAGAATAAACATCCCCAGTACATTGAAACAATATTCATAAGGTTCAAGTTCATGAATTGGAGATCTTTCATCGCCTTAGGTGCCCTTCTTTGGATACTTCCCTGATTACTGATGTCCTTCCTTAAATGAGATATAACTCTGACCGACCAAGGAAGAGTAAAATGAAAATAGCAGTTCTTTATGCCAGGATACATTGCCTCTCCTAAAGCAGCCTAGGATTGCATTTACTTTTTGAGAGGTACTACAGCACACTGTTGATCGATATCGAGCTTGAAGTCCAGTAAAACTACCAAATTATCTTTTGAATAAATCATTGTCTAACCAAGTCTCCCAAATCTTGTCATAATAATAGCTATCATTTTTATAGCACTAGGATTGCAAAGTACTTTATAACAACCTCATAAGATGGCAACAACCCAGTGAAGTATTGCTACTATTATCCCCCATTTTACAGATGAGGAAACTGATTTATCTTACTTACAATGTTTACCTTACTCCACATGCACATATGATAAAATGTGCTTTTAAATAGTTTTCATATTAAATTAAACATTTTTGTATTTGGTGTTAGGAGACATAAATTCAAATCTCACTCTTATACTTACTATAAGCTTGGGCAAGTAATTTAACTTCTATGGACATTAGTTTCCTCAGCTGAGAAAAACTAAGTTATTTGTTCAAGGTCACAAAGTTATTAAATGTTTTAAGTCACCCTGACTCCAAGTACACTTCTCTATCACTTCATATCATGAGTCTTTGAAATCTGCTGTCCCAAAAATCTAGGGTACACATCCAACTATTTCTAGTTTTCTTCTATTCAAAAGGCTGAGTGGCCACTTCTCCACAAAGTTCCCTTTTCTACATCAGCAGCCAGTTCCATCCCTGTGGTTTAAAATTAGATTTACCTTAATTGGTTCCTTCACATTCTGAAGAATGAAATTTTCATTAAAGCAAGTCAAGAAAGTATTTGCTCTACTCTGGGCAGAAAGAATACTAGCAGACATTTAAATAACTGAAGTCTCTCATTTCTGCTATATATGGCGCACATATGAAAGGAACCTATACCATACTCCTTCTAAGTCTTTCCTTCTCAGGTGCCTGGCTTATGATCTATTTCCCAGATTCATTTATTTCCTTTTGTTGTCTAAATGGTCTATAGTAGTATCTAATAACAAGATCACCTCTGTTTCTAACTCTACTGACCTATACCCAAATGCTTCCACAAAGCTTGCCCCCTTCTGGTTGCCAGATTTCCTCATGAATATATCTTCTTAAGGGGCAGCTAGATGGCACGTGGATAGGATGCCAGGCCTGGAGTCAGACTCATCTTCTTGAGTTCAACTCTGGCCTCAGTCATTTACTGTGTGACCCTGAGAAAGTCTGTTTACCTCAGTTTCCTCATCTGTAAAATCAGCCGGAGAAGGAAATGGCAAACCACTGCAGTATCTTTATCAAGAAAACCCCAAATGTGATTATAAGGAGTCAGACACGAATGAAGACAACTGAACAACAAAACATCTTTTTTAATATGCAACCACTTCCTCCTCTTTATCTATCCTATAGCCTCTGAATAAGGTATCCCATAGCTATATTCAAGTCACAGGTCTTATCACATCAAGTCTTAGTGATTTCTATGGGGTCAAATTGCCAGCCAACTTACACTAGGATCTCTAGTTTACCACTGCTTAACATGAACCTTTATTTAAAGAGCAGGTAGAGTTTTGGTTTTTTTTTAAATACCAATGAAAAAGATTGTCTTTATGAGATATACACCAAGATCACGCAAGTTTTTCTTCAAAGATTCAGTGGTAAACACAAAAATAATCTGCTATGTCTTTATAACTAGAAATTTTGACTTTAAACCGACCTGTTTAATTCTTGGTGCCAAGCTGAAGTCTTTAAGACAGCACCACAAGGGCCATCAACACCCTTGAAAGAGAGTCTGTCATTAAGAAGGTATAAGCTCATTCTAGTGACAGCAGCCTTGACTCCCTCATGGCCTTCAGCTTGAATAATAGAAGAGTGACAATCTTCCAATCCACTATCTGTGTGCGTAATCTTCAGAGTAAGGATGTCCTCTGTGGATAACTTCAGTGAGTCTAAAACTCTGAAAAAAGAAAATCCACACAGAAATTAACAACAGACCATGTAAGGCATTTCTCCCTATACACCAAGAAAGAAAATTCAAATTTTATTATGTATGTAACATCTGTATTTATGAGCTTCAGTTACCTTAATTTTCTTGAGTTGACAGGCTAGCTTATAAGAAAAAGCAAAATAGCAGCTGTGTGCATAGTTTAAGGCTGTACATTAGCACTTGTGTAACATACATCTTACCCTTTCTCATAATAGCATGATGAAGTGATATTCATTTAGTTGAATAATGCTTTAAAAAAAACCACCTATTCACTTTTATTAAGGAGATCCAGACATTTACCAACACCACTCAATTTTAGATAATCCATGCACTTAAGTATTTTTTATTTAAATTTGCTAGCATTCCAGAAAAGCCAACAACACATAAAAATCAAATTTTAAAATAAATAGGGCTATCTAATGCTTTGGAACCAAGTGGAAATTAGGACCTTCTATTGAAAACAATCAACCCTGAATAACCAAGTGGTAAAAAAAACTTACTTAACCTAGAAGGAAAAAGATAATCTTAGCTCACTAAAATATGAATTGTTTTTAAGCAAGTTATAACAGCTTACTCCTGGGTTTTATTTTCAGAGTTTATCTCTTTCAGCAGGTTATCAATTCCATGACACCGTGACAAGTTCCAAGCTATTCTCAGCATATCTGTCACAGGCTTCAAGGCCAAGCAATCAGCAGATAATGGCAAAACCACATAGTGAGGGCTGACAGCATGGTGACCAGGGATATGGACTGGAAGATGGTACCTAAAGAAAATTTACATACAAAAGTTAAGCCATTTTCTGCCACCTTCTTTACCCCTTCCTTAATATTTTTAAAAAGATACATTACAGTTGCCGTACCACAAAAGGGGTGGGGAGTCTCAGGGGCTGTGATCAGTCATTTAGATTCAACCCCAATACACACACTCCTCAATGCCACATTATCATAAGTACATTTAAAGAAACAATCCCCCAAAACTTCAACATTTGAACCCAACTCAAAATCTCTGATCCAATGAATTACTATTACTGAAAAATACTACTTCTCAAGCCATATCTCAAGCAAAAACAAACAACAAGACTATTCTTCACACATTTTCTGACTTTAAGGGGAATTACTTTATACACATATTAAACCTCACAATACAAATGTAAAAGATAATTAATTTTACTATTTCAGAGATAATTCTTTTTCAAGGACATGTCAAACTGGATAGCCTTTGAGATTCCAGATTTGGTGACATATTCAAAAATAAGTAGGAGGCTTAAGTGGTTCTTATACTATCAAGAGGTTCTACAATTCCATCAGATTAGAGATCTCCCCTGTAGAAAATACATCCACCAGCTCAGAAGGCAGTCTGTGTGGGATTTAGGAAAGTCCCAGGAAGTTGCCACAGAGAAAAAGGAACATAAGCAATTTGCCTATGCTCACAAAGACAGAAAGCAGAAGAGACAGGATTGGAACACAGGTTTTCCTAACCCAAAGTTCAATACCATATATAGTATAGCAAACTGACTATTTTTACATGGTTCTTAAAGTCATACAATAATTCAAGAGCAGAATAAACATGAGAATTTAAATCTTTTGAAATCCAAACTAACCATTTATTCAGAACATGATTTAATCAATTATTTAGAAGCTAAATAATTTTGAAAATTGATTATTTTCTTTGGAAACTACCCAAGCCTACTCTTCTGTCTCACTCCTACCACCTCCACATCCAATCTGGGGCATTCTGCAGCAATTTAGGATATATAAGTAACAATTCTCACATGGAGGTGGAGGGGAGAGGGCGAAGAAAGCGAAAGAGATGATAAAAGTATGAACAAGGATAGATGCAGTGTCAGAGGAAAGAAGGATGTGTACTTGAGAGATACTGTGAAGTTATAAACGACTGAATTAATTGGAGATGGAGATGGACAGTCAGTGAGGGGTCAAGGGTGACAGGCTGAGAGTCTGGATGATTATAACATGATTAGGAACAACATTGACAAAAACAGAAAAGTTAGGAAGAGGGGATGGTTTTGGAAGAAAGAAAATAAGTTTAGTTTTAGACACTGAACTTAAGATGTCTATAGGACATCCCCTTCTAGACGTCTAATGGGTAAATAAACATTTACATAGCACTTATTATGTGCCAGGCACTGTGCTAAGAGTTTACAAATATCTCAGGTGATCCTCACAACAAACCTGTGAGGTAAACTATCATGCTCATTTTAAAGTTGAGGAAACTAAGGCAAACAACAGTTAAGTGACTTGCTCAGGGTCACACAGCTAGTAAGTGCCTGAGGCTGGATTTGAACTCAGGTCTTCCTGACTCCAGGCTCAGCACTCTATTCACTCTGCCACCTATGTGACCTGAATGAAGATACAGCAAAGGAGAAGGAAGGTGCAGTTGAACAGGCAGGCAGAAAACCAGGAGAGAGGGGTGTCAAGAAAACCTAGAGAAGACAATTGCAAGGAGAAAAGGCCAATCAAAAGTATCAAGATGCTGCAGGGAGGTCAAGAAGGATAAGAATTAAGAAAAAGGCATTAACTTTGCAATTAAGAGATTATTAGTGACTTAGGAGAAAGCAGTTTTAGATGGATGAGATTGGAAGCCAGAATGTGAAGAGGTAAGAGTCAAGACAAAAGCACTGTATTGAAGTCAGGAAGATCTGTTTCAATCCGACCTCTGATACTTACAAGCTATGTCAGTCACTTCAACCCTCTAGGCCTCCATTTCTACATCCATAAAATGAGAAGTTGGACTAGAATGCCTCTAAGGTCCCTTAGAGTTCTAAGTCTAGGATCCTATTAGCACATTGCAGGCAAGGATGAAAATTTGTAAAAAGGCAGGGGAAAGGGAGATGGAATGACTTGTATGAGGCAAGAAGAAGAAGGCAAGTTTGGTTGGACCATCACACACATGCCTGATGGAGAGTGTTGTGTATATAAGGCTGGAAAAATAGGTTGGGCCCAGATTTTGAAAGAACTTAAATGGCAAAGAGGGAAGTTTATATTTGATTCTAGAGCTAATGGGGAGTTACTAGAAGTTATTGACAAGGGTAGTGACATGGTCAAACTAGCACTCTGGGGAAATTACTTTGGTAATGGTGTAGAGAGGATGGAATGAAGAAGGAAGAGATTTGAAGCTGAGAAACCAAGTAAGAGTCAATTGCAATAGTCCAGGTGAGAAGTAATCAAGACCTGAAAACTAGGGTGGAAGTTGTGTGAATAGAGAGGAGAAAGATGTGAGAGATGCTGTGAAGGTAAATATTACAAAATATGGCAATTGATTAGATATGTAGAATGAGACAGAATAAGAAATTGAGGATAATGAATGTGGGTGACCTCAAGGAAAATTAAGAGTGTTTAGTTTGCGGGGAAAAGATAACAAGTCTTGTTTTAGACATTGTTTTGAGATTCCTAGTGTACATACAGCTGAAAATGCCTAAAAGAGAATTTGTAATGTGGACTGGACTCAAGAGAGACATTAAGGCTTGGAGAAACAACTCATTTCTCCTTCTCTCCACCAACAGTGGAGATATCTCTCCCCAAGCACCTAATTGATGAATGCCTGCCAAAACTGCTATTGAAGGACAGGCCACAGCCATGTTTCATTTCACTCAAACTCAACTCTCTGGACTTCCCCTCTTCCTTGCCAACTACCTTCCCACCCACTCCTATTTATTCTCTGGCTTCCTAACTTCTCATTAAATGCTGTCTTCCTCCATTTGAATGTAAGGTCATTGAAAGTAGGAATTATCTTGCTTTCTTGTATTTGTATCCCCAGAGATTAGCACATAGTGCTCAAAATATAGTAAGTGCTTAATAAATGTTTTATCTAAGTAACTATCTCCGTGTGTGTGTGTGTGTGTGTGTGTGTGTGTGTGTGTGTGTCTGGGAATGATCAGTTAAAAAACTTCACCACCTAGCTTCAGTCTATCTTTCCAAAATTATGCATTACTTCTTTTCATATACTCTATAGTCTAGTCAAATGGCCTTCTTCCTGTAAACCAAGTACAACATTCCAACTCAGTACCTTTGCACATATAGTCTCCTATGCTGGGAATACACTCTCTCCCCACCTTGCCTCTTAGAATTCCTAGCTTCCTTCAAACCAAGTATCATACATTACATGAGGTCTCTCCTGATTCCCCAAGATGCTAATACCCTATCACCACCAAAATTACCTTTTACTGAATAAATATTTTTTTAAATTACCTTTTATCTTTTATTTATACTCCACAGAACATGATGCCCCACACCAGCCACTCCTTGGTGTAATCCCCCTTCTGCTTTCCAGCTGGCGTGCTATCTTTCCCCCAGCAGATTGTAAGCCCTTTGAGGGAACAGATTACCTTTATTTTTCTTATTTGTAAACCTAGCGCTTCGCACAGTGCCTGTCACATAGCAGGTTCTTACTAAATGTTTACTGAATTGAATTACCTATTTTGTATCTACCTACATATGTACATGTTTTCTCCCATGACAGAATATCAACCACAGAAACTTCTGCTTCTGTCTCTTTCATGTGCAGCACAATGACTGGCACTCAGTGTTTAATATATACTTGTTGATTCTTTGATGTAGTACTTAAGGAATTCCCTCTAAAATATCCCCTATCAAATGGACATCTAGCCTTTGTTCTACAGAGAAGGAGCCCATTACTTTTTAAGGTAGCATACTCCCCTTCTGGACTTCTTAGAACTTAGAACTCCCACTGATAAGTTTTTCCTGAAACCTCCATTTTGTGGAGAGGTCCAAGTCAGCCTTCATTTCCCTCCCAGATCTATTCCTGGCTTCCAGACTTCCCCACCATGCTGCCTGCATCCTAGAACTTCCTTTAATACCTGGCACTTCATTAATCTGTAACATCCAGTCATCCTTGTGGCCTTCTCAACCTAGAACCTCTCTCTCTGAGAGGCACACCCCCTTCTCCCATTGGTGAGTTCCTCCTAGAGCCTCCATTTTGTAGAATGACTCAGGCTAATCTTCTATCCCCTCCTAACCCTCCCAGTTCCTGGCTTCAGAACTGTACCCTCCTGCCCCTGCTATTCTGTTCTTTTTTGTGCATTGCCTTCCCCCAATAAAATATAAACTCCTTAAGGGCAGACACTCTCTTTTTTGGCTTGTATTTATATCCCCAGCACTTAGAGAATATAATAAGCACTTAATACAAGCTTATTTCTTTCCTTAGGAAATTTTCCCTAAATCCTAAATCTGCCTTTCTACAATTTCCAGTCAATACTCCAAGTTTTGCACTCTAAGACCAAGTCTAATCCCTACTCTACAAGATAGCCTTTCACATACTTAAAAAAAGCTACTGTGTCATCTCTAAGTCTTTTCTTCTCTAAGCTACGTATCCCCAGTTCCTTCAACTAATCCTCACATGCCATGAATTTCATTCTTCTTACTCTCCTGATTATCTTCTTCCACATCCTGGATATATACCCCAAATTTAAAACAAAACAAAACCAGACCCCTCTATTCTTTATCTCAGGTCAAAAATCAGTTGACCTGGTATTCCACACTAGAGAACAATCAAGTATCACAAGAAGTCTCTTTTCTTCCTCTGATCATTATTGAATAACCTCTTTATTGAAAGTACTCATAAATGCATATCAACATTCCTCAGGGCAACAAGGAGCTACTTTCTCCAAGGAGGGTGAAGTTCCCCTCTCACAGGAAAATTGTCTTACTTATTCCCTAACTTTAAGTGTTCAGTGGTCTTCTTTCCCTTCCTCCTCCACCATTTATCCTCCTAGAATAGATTGTGATTGCTCTTACCTCCTCAAAGAATTTATTTCATTCCTTCAGGAAACATTTCATTCTCCCTAGCTGTTACTTTGCACTAGCAAAATCCAAATTATTGTGTACTTTTTGTAAGTTCCTGCAAAATCCCCTTGCCCTCTAAAGAACTAGATACTAAGGGAATGCCCATCACTTGGGGAATGGCTAAACAAATTATAGTATACGGATGTGATGAAATACTATTGTACTTCAGGAAATAATGCAAGGATTGGTTTCAGAAAAAAACTAGTTTGACATTATATGAAAAAAACACAGAGCTAAGTCAAGAGAACAACTCATATAATAACAACAACATTGTAAAGACAAAAAAATTTGAGACTTAAGAACTTTGATCAATGCAATGAGCAATCATGATTATGGAGGACTAAAGATGAAAAAAGCTAACAACTTCCAGACAGAGAGGTAATGGTCTGAGTGATGATATTGCGAAAGTAAAAAATCAATATAACCTACAATTAATTGGATGTGTCTAAGAAGGCAGGGGGAAAAGTCAGAAGTGACTCCAAGGTTATAAGCCTGATTACCTAGAAGCCTGTCAATATTTTTTCCTCAACTGATCCTCAGGCTTAGAATGTCCTCCTCCATTTTACAAAGAAAACTGATATTATGAAGGGAATTCATGGGAGGATGATAAGAATGGTGAAAGGTCTGTCATATGACATCAAGATTAGTTGAAGGAAATGGGTATGTAAGGAAAAGAGAAGAAATGATAGCTGTCTCCAAGTATTTGAAGTGCTATCTGTCATAAAGAAGAGAGATTAGACTTGTTCTTCTTGATTCCAAAGAACAGATCTAGGAGGAAAGGACAGAAACTGTAAAAGCATAGTTTGGCTCAATATTTTCTAAAAAATTCCTTACCAAAACTATTCAAAGAGTAGAATGGGCTGCCTCAGAAGGTATTGGACTCTCCCCCCTTAGAAGCCTTCAAGCAAAGGCTGGAGCACCACTGCTTAGTAATGTTGTTTCCCTTCAGGCATTGATAGAATTAGATGGCCACTGAACTAACTTTTACCTCAGAGGTTTTGGGGTATTTTTTTGAGTCCCTTCCCTTTTTCAAGGCCAAATTTAGTCCCACTTCCTCCACAAAACTTGTTTTGATGCTGAAAGTGATCTTTCCCGTACCAAATTTCTCAGCAAAATAAAATTATAAAGAAAATTTCCTATTCCATCTTTTCCTAATAAAATCATGTTTTACCATTAAAAAAAATCAAAGTAAAAGAAGTCCTTACCGCCTAATCACTGACACTGGCAAGATAAAGACTGGAGTTAGAGTTGATTTACTGGATATGTTATCAGACCTGTTTCACAATGGAGAAATGAAAAGTAAAAGAAAAACAAAATAAATTGTTTTGTAATATTTTTTCAATTCTTCATCAGCATAAGTTATACAGTCTCAAAATAACAACTTGAATATTTTATAATTTATGGAAATAGAACCCCCTTATAACATGGCTTAGAATTATAAAAGCTAAGACAAACTAAAGTGTCACATTATATTTCCCCTATAATAAGTGCATATAGGAAAAGCCTGTTAAAACATGATCAGTCAGAGGGGGCAGGTAAGTCACACAGTGGACAGAGCGCTGGCCCTGGAGTCAGGAGGACCTGAGTTCAAATTCAACCTTAGACACATAACACTTACTAGCTGTGTGACTCTGGGCAAGTCACTTAATTCCAATTGCCTCACCAAAAAACAAACAAAAAAAGCCATGATCAGTCAGTATAAACCATCAATACCAACTGACCACATTTAGTCACTACTGGCATTAAAATATTGCTATCAAATTAAACACCTTTTGAAACATTTTTAGCATGAACAATTAAATTTCAAAAATCATCACATATAAAAAAGAATGTCCAAACACAAGAGAAATGAACAAATGTGTCAATTTTAATTTTTATAAATAAAAAGGAATTAACACAACTATCTTAGATTTGAGTAGTCCTTTTCAAAGTGCTTTCACTTAAATGATCCTATTTAATTGTCACACCAACCCTACAAAGCAGGAAGGGTACATTTCCCTGACATATGAGTAAACAAAGGCTCATAAATGTTAAGTGACTTGCCCAGGTCACCTTCTAGTAAGAAAAAAAGCTAGGTCAAGAACTTAAGACTTCTAACTCTTAGACTAATGAATGTTCTTTTCATGATGTCACACTTCCCTTTTCAAGTTCTCTGTACTGCCAGTTAAATGATACTCTTTGTATTGTTCACCAACACAAGGATTCAAATAAAGGCATCATTTTTTTCTTTATCCACTTGCCCTAAATTCTTCCTCTGATGACTAACCACATTGTGAAGGTGAGTCTGGATTTCTAAGTCTAGCTAGATCAACGAAGTATAAGCTCTGAGATGTTTACTAAGATGTACTAAGGTTTTGAGACCAATTTCAGTAATGGATTATGTATCTTTTGACTGAGGACCAGGCTAGCTAAGTGCAGAGAAGCTCATCATCAGATTGGCTGTGGAGTGATGCATTTTTTGACGATGACAACAACAGATGATAACAGTAAAAGAGAGGCTAAGGTCTGTGTCAGCAAAGGAAGTATTTATACCAATGAGATCATCAAGTCAGGCTAGATCTTGCCTAGTCTACAAACTACACACTATATGCAAGAAGTCCACCTTAAGAATTAACCATATTTTTAAAATATTATGCTCAATAGCTAGAGAACAGTTTTGTTGACAATAAATGCTAATTGGTACTGGTTGATAATGAGTTCTTTCGCACTACCAATGACTAATCAATTGCTGCTCAGGCATAGTAATGTGCTCTCCTAGTGGCCTGAAAGTACTAAGGTATTTCCCAACATGATCACAACAATGATCTGGGCAAGGATCTTTAATACCAATAATAGTACATTCAACAGCAAGAGCAACAAATACTTATGGAGCATCTAGCATGTTCAAGCAACTATGGTCTAAACAAAGATGAATAAGACATGAGAGTTTAATTCTGCTAATCAGTCATTAGCCTAAGATTTAGTAGCCTTAAGTAAAGTTTACTTTATTCATAAAAACACATTTAGAGGAAGAGGAGAAAGCATAGAATCAGTTTTGAAATTATCAATTATTTATTTCAAATAATCTCAGGAGGATTTTTTTAAAGGAAGGAGTTAATTTATTGGTAATGGTTAATTATACAATATCAAGCAAATGAAAAGCCTAAACTAAACTTCAAATAAACAACAAACATTATCATTTGCAAAATTTAAATGGATTACTGATTTACCCCTAATGAACAGAGGTGGTAGGGGAAGGCATATGAGGTAGATATAAGCCTGAACTTGTTGAGATCTACATTTTCCTTGCCTTCTAAGAGATTTTAGAAGATTACACTAGGAGTCAGAAAAACTGGATTTTAGTGTTTTAGCACTACTAGTAATTAAATATGTGACTTTGGGCAAGTCACTTAACTCTGGGCCTCAGTTTCTTCACCTATGAAATGAAAAGTTTGGACTAAATAATCTCTAAAGTTCCTACCAACTCTAACATTTTATGCTCTAATTTTAAGACTCAATCATAAAAAGCACAAGTCAGCACAGTAATTTTGACAGTCTTGCTGGTATGCATACTACAGCGATGAAAAAAAAAGTACAGGCCATATTATCCCAAAATAATAAATAAATTCTAATATCCTGAGCCAAGCATTCAATTGAGAAGATGTTTGTTTGCATCTGCAAAGTATGTTTCTTGGTGCTAATGTTTACCCACTCAAAAACTGATTTAATTCTCCATGTAGGGGAAACTAGTACTCCTTCAAATGGCCCTACTCTACTTCCTCCTCAGTGTTTATGAGAAAATATATTTATCTCTTGTCCTTATATGTTCCCATTAAACAGAAACTTTCTGGTGAATGAAACTACCTAAAAAGATACATTAGAATGAATTATGCATTATTCTGAAAGAAAAATCTACTACCAGTTAAGACTTAAACAATAATATGTATATATTGCTGTACAGTTTGTAAATCTTTTCCTTCATAACAGTAATGAGGAATACTTAATGTTAGCATTCTTATTTCCGTTTTACAGATAAATAAACTTAAACTAAGGGTGACTAATTGATTTGTACATTGTCAAAAAGCTAGCAAGTAGAAGAATTAAAGCTAAAATCAAAGACTTCTGACTACAAGGCCAGTGTTATTCAATTTAATTCAACTCAACTCAGTTAACATTACATAAAGAGAGTAACACAGAAGATAGGGTTGGCCTTGGGATGAGGAAAGCTTAGCCTAAGTCCTTCCTTTCACACATACTAGCAGTTTAACTTTAGTAAAACACAACTTCTTAATGCCTTAGGTAATATTCTAACATGAGTTGGCGATATACGTTAGCAAGTGGAGGAAATCTGCATACTGGAATTTCACTGAACTGATGAAATTACAGGTCTGCCTCAAAAAAATATTGCTATCTGTAAAAATCAGTTAAGTCTAATTCTCTATTATTTTTTAGGAATGTGCAAATCCAGGTAAATGGGGTTTCGTCGGTCAAATGAACTGTACAACACTTTAAGCAATATGACAGCAATTTGAAAATGTTCTTAATACTTTTGCCTTACAAATTCTTATATCTGAATTAGCATACTCTTCAAAAAAGGATCATATTTAAGTACAATAAGGATTAAATAATTCTAATTCATGCCCATTCCCTAGGGTCTTATTCTCTTAACATATCATAAAATATGACACATCTATAAGTGCTATTGTTCAGTCGTTTCAGTCATGTCCAACTTTTTGTGATCCCATTTGGGGTTTTCTTGGCAAAGGTATAGGAGAACCTTGCCATTTCTTTCTCCGGTTCATTTTACAGATGAGAAAACTGAGGCAAACAGGGTTAACTGACTTGCCCAGAGTCACACAGCTAGTATCTGAGTCCAGATTCGAATTCAGGAAAATGAATGTTCCTGGCTCTGGCTTTCTATCCACTGCACCACCTCTGCCTACTAACATAACTTACACGTTAATCTGAGATTACTTGGAAACTAATTCAAAAGGACTGACTAATGATGGGAATTTCAAGAACTATGGCAAGTTAATAGAGGAGAAAATTAAGTGGAAGTAAACCCTTTCAGAGCCTTTTATGTGAAACAAAAAATCACAACTGATTAAGTTACTTATAAGGACTAACCCTAGAGGCATGAATTGCTTAAATCATGAATACTGATGTTCTGTTACAATAAAGATACAGAAGAAATCACAGGTAAGGAGTTGTTAAATTTTTATAACATACCAGATGTCCATTCTTGATACTTCATCAAACAAAATAAGACAGAATAATGCTGCCACTTCAGTCACAACAGCAGAATCCTTTTGGAATATCAAGGCAACTGAAGAGTCAAAATGCAAAATTATCTTCTATCAGATATTTTAGTTATAACAGAATGCTTTACAAATACACATACATCTTTAAATCTGAAATGAAGGCACATACTATAAAAGTTATATAACTGATCAATTTTTTTGAAGTCAGGAAATGTGCAAATGAAAAAAAAGCATCACTATGGAACATATTAGTGTTTGAACCTTGATTTGACCACTCAAACTAGCTTATTTGCTATTCCACATATATGTAATTTCATCTCCTACTTCTCTACCTTTGTAAGGACACTCCCCCTATACTGAAATATTATCCTTCCTCATGAGCACCCCCTGAAATCCCTGACTCCTTCCAAGACTCAATTGAAGGACCAATCTAAACAAAATGATCTGCTCCTCCCCAGATGTCAGTATACTCCTTATTACCAAAACAAAAAAATGTAATATTTGCTCAGATTTATTTTTTGTATTTTTTAACTATATACATACCATGACTGTTTCATTTTTATATGTGTATTCCCAAGGCCTACTATAGCACCTACACATAGTAGGTACTCATTAAATGCTTGCCAAATGAATCCTACAGGCACACGAACAGCTTGAAAGATGGAAGGCACCTTAAAGGTTATTCAGTCTAACCCTCTTATTTTATAGAGGAGAAAACAGTCCCTGAAAAGTCAAGTACTTTGCCCAAGGTTACATTAATAGTAAGTGACAAGCAGTTCCAGGCAAATAGGAATAATTAACTTCAGTTTTTAATGGCGTATAATTACTCATCCATCATCAAGATTTTGGCAAATCAATTAAATTCTAAGTAAATTTTTTACTCTCTGAAATACTGCCTCATCTTCCCATTGAATACAAAGATTTTAGACACATATACACACATACACACACACACTCACACAATACTGATAACCAGTTTGTTTATTAGTCAGTAGCATCTAATCCTTCATTACCCCATTTGGGGTTTTCTTGGCAGAGACACTAAAGAGTCTTTCTCATTCAGATCATTTTACAGATTAGGAAATAAGGCAAACAGGGTCAAATGACTTGCCCAGAGTCACACAGCTATCAAGTATTTGAGGCCTGATTTGAACTCACAAAGATGAGTCTTCCTGACTCCAAGCCCAGCACTCTACCTACTGCACCATATAGCTGCCCCTCACTGATAACCAGACAGAGGCAATAAAACAAAAGGAGTGAATAGGTGTCACCTACATAGGACCAACATTTGGAATTGTGTGCTAGGGAAGAGAGGAGGAGGCTTCAAGATGAGAAAAATATCAAGCAGTATTCCCACACTGATAGAAAAATACACATATTTGAAGTCTTAAGGCCCAGGTTAAAAATCCTAATTCTACTACTTACTACCCTTGTAACACTGGGCAGTCACTTCATGTCTCTGGGTCTCAGTTTCTTCATTTGTAAAATTAGAGAGTTGGACTAAATATCCTCAAAGGATGTTTCCAGCTCTAAATCTATGATCCTATTATTTATATCTCAAAGCCCCAAAAATAAAAAGCAACATCTAGATCCCAAAAAGTCTATAGAGTTACTTAGACTTTTAGTTTTCCTATTTACCTAGCTGAATCTGAACCCAGTCACACTAGAAATGATTCCAGCAACAAGAAAGATGACCACTAAGTGTCTAATATGGAAATTTTAGGCTACATAAAAAGCAACTAAGGTCAACCCTAACATCCAAATTAGCAAAGGCCCACAAACCTAAAGTTTAAAAGAAATTTAATCAGGCATAAAGTAAATAAGTTACAAATGACCCAAAAATAAGAAAAACTTTAACATCTATATAATATCGCCACTACAGTGTTTCAGCTATTGTCATTAGGTAGTAATGTAATATAATTCCATAATATCTAATTTACTCATCACTGTGTAAAGGACTACTAAAAATGTCACAGTTTAGTCTCAATTTTCATGAACCTACATATTTCTGAACCTATTTGTAAGGAATGATTCCTTTTACCAAAAATATTTAGAAAGACCTAAGTCCTTTCTCCCTAAATGCCCAAAACATTAGAACTAAAGATTAATAAGATCTGAAACCACCTGTTTCAATTGAATTATATTTTATCCTTATAAAACACTTAGAAACTGATAAATCTATGAACATTAAGGTATCTGTCTAACCTAAACATCTCTTGTTTAGATGAGGAGGAAACAATATATTGACCTAATCTAGTAGGGAAAAGAAAATAATATAAAATGAAGGCTCATGAGGCAAGTAAATTGCCAGCTAACGATATCAGGCTAACCATTCAAAGGCAACTACATAGATTTCCTCCTTATGATAAATAATAAAAGCAGAAGCTATAGGACTCGCCAAGTACTTTATAAGGATTAATTAATCTCCACTGATGATTCTGAAAGGCATACAAACTCCCAATTTTACAGGTGGCAATATGTGAGACTACTGCTTGTCTAATGAGATAATAAGCCACCAGAGGATACAGGATCTGATGACAGAAACAAAACAAACAACAAATGCGGGTTACAGAAGAGACTGCAGTAACAGCAGGTGCAGTGGTGATTCTTTACATGCATGGACTCTACTTAAATATCAAAATACCAGATGGGGCGTGTACAAAGTGTCCTCCTGGGTTACAGCTTTTAACAGATCAAAGGTCAACACACTGAAAGTACTCAATAATGGATTAGAAGGAAAAAAAATTCATGAAGTAAATAAAATACGTCATTTCTAAAATGTACAGACATTTCTCAGGGCTTTTTAGAAAACCAGGCATTTTTCATTATTAGGAGTTCAAAGTTGCCCTAGTAGGTGTCAGATTTTTCTTTTTTAATATGGATATACATATATGTACACAAATATGTAGACAGTTTACATATGTATGTTAGTGTTTATGTGTATTATGTAAACATACATACACATGTAGATATATGTAAAAAGGAAAACAGTTGTTAAACTCCAAATAAATAAATTTATCTAACCAATAAGTAACATTACATTATTGATAACAGCTTTTAATCACCTCTGAATAACAGGAATAAGACAGAAGACTCCTGTGAAAGAGACAGACGTTTTACTGAATCAGCAGTCAGAAGTTTTCTTAAGATTGTAAGGCATGGTAAGATCATACATTCCATTTCCTAGTCAAGAACAAAAAACAAAGTAATTTTATTTTCATATATTCTAGTAAGAGTAAATAAACCATTTTAATATTATATAACATAGGCTTTTTTACCTATGAATTTCAACTATGAATCAAATTTAAATAAACTTTACTTAAGAATTATTTTTTAAATGAGGCCAATATAATTATTTATTGATTTCTATGTAGGTTTGCTCTCAGATTCAAAGCTAAATAATGGAGAACATTCATTTGCAGTTAGTAGTAAATCTGATTAATAAAATAATCACTCTCTAAAAAAAGTACAATTTTGTTGTGCTTTTATGGTGGGATTTTGGGGGGAGGAGGAATAAAGTTCAGAGACAGTGGTGGAGGGAAACTTACCTCACCATCTTTTCTAACACATTTATTTAAAACAAAAAATATATTATCAATTAAATCCATCTTGTTCACCACATTATGCATTCTGATATCTACAAAAGAAGGAAAATTATAAAAATTCAACAAGCTACAAAAAATGACAGAAAATCTAAAATAGTATTTTATTCATAATTTATTAAGTCACTAACTTCCCATTTAACCTTAATTTAATGTTATAAAGGTTTATTATAGCATTTTTCAAAGGAATAAAAGGTAAATTCCTCTTTTAAATATGCTTTGCTTATTTGAGTCCTTAAGGGAAAGATGTACAAGGTTTTAATATTTTTGGTAAGGGCAACTGAAATGTAAGACTAGTGAATAATATGAAAACACATTTTGTAGCTACTTAAAAATTAAGGTAAAGTTTAAATATCTAACCTAAAAATAACCTTCATATAGAACTGCTGAGTTCTTCAAAATTGTAAGTATTCCTATCATCATAAATTAACTATGTTTTTCAGAGAAAAGAAACAAATTTCAGGTTTGTTGTTTTTCCGATATATACTTTTGTTGTCTATTTGTTTCTACTTCTCATATAGTTCATCTATACATTGGGATATTATTTAAACCTTTTTCACAGTGCTATCCATACTCTTGCTATTCCTAGAAATCTTATTTCAGCTGAAGTCTCCTCACTTTATCATATCCAATTATTGCTTAATGACACAATTGGTAATAAGGATAATGTGGCTGAATGTCACAAAGATATACAAAATGTATTTTGTATTGCCATGTAGTAGACCAGTCTCACTCACTATTTTCACAAAATGACAGCTCTCTTTGTCCTCTAATTCCTGGCTTCTTTTTACAAAACTAACCAAAAGTTGCCATAAGTTGTAAATTGTAACTGAGGTGCTCTGAGTTCTAACCCAGGAATTAAGCCAGGTTCCAAAGTTTGGAATATGTCTACAGGATTCTTTACCTTTTCTGTGTCACTTTTGGACAGTCTCATGAAGTCTATGAGCCCATTCTCAGAAGAATGTTTTTCAACAAATAAATATGTAGGTTTATAAAGGAAACCAATTATGTTGAAGTACAGCTTTCAGAATATTAAAAAGAGTAAGTTCACAGACTCCAGGTGAAGAACACCTTATATAGATGAAGTATAAACTAGTGCCATAATTTCAATTTACTTCTTAACATGCCAAATCAAGTTTTTTATGGATTATATGGTATTGAACTGTAGCTCCCCACCACACACACACACACACACACACACACACACACACAAATCTTTTTTTATTCTTTTTATTCGTTTTGTTAAATACTTCCCAAGTACATGTGAAAAAATTTTAACAATCATTTTTTAAAATTCTGCGTTAGTTCTAAATTCTCTTCCTCCCTCACTCCCCTTCCTCATGAGGAGGCAAGCAATTTGATTTTGGTTACACATCAAGTCCTGTAAAATACACTTCCATTTTAGCCATGTTGTACAAAAAAACACAAACAAAACAAAATAATAAAGATAAAGAAAAATTTTCAAATATGCTTCATCTGCATTTAGAGTTCAGTAATTCTCTTTCGGGAGGTATACATCCATAAATCTAAATGCACACACCAGAATTCAGATTTTTGTCAAAATTTCAAAAAACATATATACAGAGGCATTGATTTGCCCACTGTTAGGCCACAGAGGAAAAACAGAAAACAAAAAGTCCAAAAAATCCAACAATTAGATAATTGACTCTTGAATAAGAAAAAACTTACACACTGAATATTAAAATAGATATGGTCAAAATATTTGTACAATGTCATGGCCTACTGCTAAAGCTAGAAATTTTAGTTCCTTTTAGATAGTGTATTTTGCAAGATGAAACAATATTTATTTTATATAGGAGATCTCTTCAACTAAAAAAAATATGTTGGCAATATTACCTCAGTTTTTCCTGACAGAATGTTCTAGTACTTTAATGAAGCATTAATAAGCATTGACTAGAAAATAGTGTGGTACAGTGGAAAGAGCACTGGCTCTGCAGCTCAAGGGCCTGGGTTCAAACCCTATCCCTGATGCTTACTACTTGTGTGACTTTAGTCAAGTAATTTAACTATTCTGGGCCTCAGTTGCCTCATATGTAAAGTGAGAGGGCTGGAGAAGGTGGCCTCTGAAGTCCCTCCCAGCTCTAGATCTATAATACAAATGAACAGATCAAGCTTTGGAATTTCAGTCACCTTTAGCTGCAGAAAGCAATTAATTTATAGCCGGGAATAGAATCTTCCTTAGAAACACTATAAATAATGATACTGACTTTTAACAGTACTGAAGAATTATTCTCTAGGGACAGGAGTAATATAAATGCAAAGTAATTAATAACACCTAATATGAAGGAAGGGAACATAAGGTTACATATTGATAATGCTTCAACTAAGCTAAAGAAAAAATATCTTACTAGCTGTCTCAAAATCAATTCATAAACATGTACAACATATCAACTACTATATTTCCTATCTGAATCTACTTAGGAATAGATGATTTGGTGAAATTTCTCACATATCACATGGCAAAATAGAAATCACATGTACCAGACAAGGTGACACAACACATGGTCTAGTATCAAAATGGCACTACAATTTTAGAAGAAAAAAGATTCATTAAATGATTTTTAGAAGTAGAAAGAATACTATTCCAGACAACAATAATATAAAACTAACCAGAGTTTCATATTCCCCAAGGTTTAGTTACCTTGAAAAATTATAGCTAATTGGTCTAATGCCGACTTCCTCAAAGGTAGGTCAACAACATCTGAAGTAAAAACTCCATATAATTTTTCAACAGCTTCCATCTAAGAACAAAAATGTATTTATATTTTTATACACATATAAAATTCTAAACTACAACTTTAATAATTACTCTGTAAGGAAAAATTTTTCAAAATCTACTTTTCTGCTGAGTCACTCAATTTCACATTTATTTTTATAGAGTACTAAATTACAGTGCCCTTATTATTAGAAAACATTAAATATCTTTGCATTTTTAAACTATATTGTACTAAATCATAGGACAATGGTTCTAACTTTTTGGCCCAAGACAAAAAGTTATGCTTCGTCCCTCTGCTTATCTTCTAAATGTCTACTTCATTTAGTGTAAATAACTGGCACATTATTGGCTAGAAAGTACTTTAAGCAACATTTCCTAAAGATTCTACTAATCAATTTTTAAATTCCACCTTAAAAATGCAAGTTATAGTAATATTCCTATTAACAAAAATAATATTACACCATCCTTTTTTTTTTCCATCAGAAACTTTAGAGGCAGAAATTATATAGGAATGTAGGGCATCAAGCCCTGACTTGTCCTCCCCAAAATAGTTGGAGGCTGCCTGGGCCCAGGAAGAGACCATGTACTGCCCTTTCTTACAACTCTTCCCCAGAGGATTAAACTGAGTTTACCTACAAAGTAGGCTTAGTGTGATTATAAGAATAATACCATATTTTTCCAAGTTTTTATAGAAAAAAATGGGTTAAAAGATTAGGAGGATATAGGAGGCCTAAAGGACTTACCACTGAGACAGAAAGGGAACAGAAAAGGGGAGACAAACTGCAAACTTGCAAATCTTTGTCCAAGATTTGCCCTCCTTACCCTAAATTGAAAACAGCATATAAAAGCTGAATTTACAGATATTTTTACATGTATCTTTGAATGCAGGAAACTCTAGTAAGTGCAATTTATTAGGATTTTTATGTCACTTAATTTTATTGAATTTTGTTTTATTTTGTTTCAAATAGCCTCCTTCCTTATAAGGAAGTTTAACTTTCAGAGGACAAATTAATGGAGATGTCACAATATTTTCTGACTTTTCAATACTAAGGTGATAGTAGAAAGATGCTTTTCCAGTAATAGCTACCACCACCACCATTACATGAGTATATATTTTTAAGCTTAATAATAACTCACTTTCCACGTACACCAAAAAATGTATAGTACATTTTCTGTGATAGCAAAGAACCAGAATTGAAGCAAATGTCCACTGATTGGGGAATGGCTAAATAAACTGTAGAGCATGAACATAATGGAATATCATTTTGCTGTAAGAAACAGTAAATATGCATACGGAGAAACACAAAAAAAACCTTGTATGAACTGATGCAAAATGAAGCAAAGCTATGAAAACAATATACACGATGACTATAACAACGTAAGTGGAAAAACCAACAACCACAAATCAGTTGTAACTAAATATAGTAAAATTATAAAGAACAAGCTTGATCCTAAATAAGTCAAGACTGGTCCTCTTCCTCTGTAATGGTAGGGAACCAATGATATGGAATTTTGCACATGATATCAGACATTTTAAATATTTTGATTGGTTTGTTGATTAATTTCCTCCTCCCTTTAAAAAAAAATCTTTGGTATATAAAGGATGGATCTATGGGATGGGAGAGGGCGGTCCAAATACAAGGGGAAATATGAATGATGTGGAAAAACAAAGGGTATCAATAAAAACCATATTCTTATAAGAAGTTTTTTAAAAACTCTAGAAATAACTCATATTATAATAGTCCTTTCTCAAAATGACCCTGTGATATTGGAATTGAAAGTCCTGCTATCCCTCTCTGAAGTTAAAGGAGATTAAATGTCACATGGCTTAACATACCTGGATATCATCTCCCACAATTACTTCATTTATTCCAGTCTCTGAGGAAGAGGTGACTTTTCTCCTAACCAAGGGCATTCTCTCATGATTCCTTCTCCCTCTTGTCTTTTCTAATACATTGTTCACTATTATCTTACTCACCCCATGATCTTCAGGTTTTTCCTGTCTATTAATTCCTATTGCCTATAAAAATATACAACTTTCCCTCATCATTAAAAAAAAATCCCTAAATCCCACCATCCCTGATTAGCTATAGATCTAGATCTTGCTTCCTTTTATAGTTAGTCTTTATGAAGGTCACCTACAGTGGTGTTTCCACTTCTCTACTACCAATTTAAATGGACTCTTTTCAACTCTCTTCATTCTTGACCTCTTTAACATTTGACACTGTTGATCACTCTCTAAATAGGCATTCTTCTAGGTTTTTGTGTCTTAATGTTCTCTCCTAGTTCTTCTGCTACCTATCTGACTGTTTCTTCTCATTCTCCTTTACTCTATCATCATCTATGATCAATGTCATACCTACTATGTATTAACTGTGGGTATACATCAAGATTCTGCTCTAGGTCCTCTTTTCTTCTCCATACTCTCTCACTTGGTAACCTTATGATCTCCAATATGTTTAATTATCATCTCTAGAAAGATGATTCTGTTTGTATGTGTGTGTTAATATATACACATGTAATGTATATATGTATATATAAGACCTAGAGATAGATACTGACATGTAAAGATATTTATAGAGATAGACAGATACGAGTTATCCAAACTTCTCTGTAATTATCAAGAGCACCTCCATCTTTCCAGTCACAAAGGTTCACACAATTACCGTCATGCTCAACTATTCATTCTCATCCATTCTCAAATATTGTTTCTATTTCCATAACATTTCTTGTCTTTGCCCTATTCTCTCCTAACTCCACTATACCATGCTGCCTTTAAGCATGGTTTATTAAACACTTATCTTACTGAGCTCTACCAGCTCTCCCAGGATCTCTTGGAGCAACAGGTTATACCAGCAAGATGGTTAGAAATACAGTCTATTACCACAGAACAAATTATCTTCTCTAAAAAGTTAATAAGCCTATGTAAATGTCAAACTCAAAATCTTGATCTCATTAGAACAATTCTCTATCCAAAATAATTAGCTGGTAAGAAATAAGAAATAATATGGAGTTAAAATGAAACCAAATATATTCAGTAATTTCAAAGGACAAAATTATACTCAATATATCTCATAAATATCAAAATAATTATCTCTTTACATGTTTAAACTAACTTTACAATGCTAAATCCTAATGGTTAAGTTCTTCCATTGAGTCTATTCACAAATATCTTAGATGAGCAGGTTAGTAGTGTAAATGGACCATGTATTTGGATTCTGGTTTTCAAATACTAATTTGAAAGAAAGCTAGCATGACATATCAAAGCACTGTCCATTCTACCAAAGTTATTAACATATCAGTATAATATGAAATGATGGACAGTGATTTACTATTCGTCATCCTTATAGAGTCCAAAAAGTGAAATGACATAAATGTGAAGGATTGACTAAGCATTTTAAAAAGTAATAGCCCACATGATAACACTATCTATGTGTAATATTGAAACATGAACACTATTATAAAACATGGCCACACAAAATATGTATATTGCAATTATAAATTAGTTATTTTATTTTTTGTATTCCTTTTCACTTGTTTTTACCTTAGTCTGAATGACACTGCTGTCATTACAGCAAATAAGCTTCTCGAATGAGGATCAGAATTCCCTCAGATTGTCTAGATTATAAGCTCTACATCTGAGTCATCTTAGTATCCCCAGCAGTCCCTAGCATACTGTCCACTGGCCTGAACTGCTAAATTCAAATCTGATTCAGTGGTCTCTAACCTATCTGCCAATAATTTACACAAAGCAGAAAGCACTGAAATACACATACTTGTGCTTTAAGGTATGGAATTCCAAGCAGAATGCAAGATAAAACATAGCCATGACATCCATTTATGACTTCATGCACACATGTTAGAGAGCCAACAAACTCATGTAAAAAGTAAAATACTATTGTCTATATTTTAAATACAGGAACTTAGAGTAGATAATAAGGGAAAATAAAGCTAGAATAAAAATACAACTAAGTCTTGATTTCCTGAAAGGGTAGGCAGTGACATGTTTGACCCATAACAGATAACCCAACAAGTACTTTCAGAATGCATTAGGTCACTTTTTCACATTTACCTTTCGAATTCTTATCTATTTAACGTAATATTAAGATTAATTTAAGCACACCAAATGATGACCCTTAGAAAGGAAATACAAAGTATGCTATTTCACTAGTCTGCATAACTTTCTTCCAACATACATAAACAAAGCTAACAATACAACATCAACAGATGCATCAAAATGATATGTGATTCACCTTAATAATTGGTTGTCTTGTGTCATCCAATTTGAGGTCAATAGTTTTTTCCACAATAAATAAGTTGGTTACTTTAGAGAGAAGATTAGCATCTAGGAAAGGACGCTTTGTGCTTCTCCCTTCTTCATTCATTAGTTGAAATGCTAAAAGCTTTAATGCCTTGTCTCGTACCCTAAGGACACAAAATATTATTATAAACATGTTTTCTGCACAAAATTATATATTAAACATACAATATCACAATTATAAAGGGTTATAACATATGCATAAAGGTAAGTGTTTATTTTCCAGATTATAGCATGCAGTTAAAAGAGCTTCAGTATATTTATCTTGAACAGGGACTATTAAATCACAACTGTGTCAGGTTTGTGGTTTCTATGACCCTTCTTATTATGCATATGAGGACATGTTTGCTTCTTAGGATTGTGTGATTACAAGTGCCATTCTTCCCCAGGTGAATGTAAATGAACTGATATTGCTTGCTAGGAAATATGTAGGTACATACAAACATTATACATAGCTACATTAATAATTAAGCCTTTCTCCTATTGTTAGGATCTTTGTGTATTAGAAATATATTGTCCCCTCCAACAGAGAATCTAAGTTAGCATTCTTATGTAAAATGCCAAGCAGAAAAAAGCCATAAGTGCCTCCATAAGGTCTTTGATGTTCACCTGACATACCAATCTAAGAACATCATTTCCAAGGAGGTACAGGCAAATTAAAACTGGCTGTCTAAGATTGCAGTTTTATTCTTCCTGCTTTCTTTTTTCATTTCACTCCTAAATCTAGCCAAGGTTTAGTCTTATTTCTCCAACTCTACAGATCAGGACCATAGAAATTAACATCTTAGTCAAGGTTAACAACTGAATTCATAGTAATTTGGAAATTAGGGGCCAAATGGATTTATACTCTATTCCCCTATATCACTCAAGCAAATGTTTGACCTACAAGTCTAGAGCATGAAAAATTAGACTAAGCCTACATGTTACATGAGAGTAAGATTATTTATAATTTATAGCATAATCTTAATATAATGTGATTCATCTGTTGCTCGGTCGTTTTTCAGTTATGTCCAACTCTTTGTGATCCCATTTGGGGTTTTCTTGGCAAAGATACTTGAGTGGTTTGCTACTTCTTTATGCAGCTCATTTTACAGATGAGTAACTGAGGCAAACAGGGTTAAGTGACTTGCCCAGTTCACAGAGCAAGCAGGCAAGCGTCTGAGGCCAGATTTGAACTCACCTAAATGAGTCTCCCTGATTCCAGACCCAGTACTCTTAACCACTGAGCCAACTAGCTGCCTGTGATTCAATTACACATATTTGGAATAGATTATGGATTAATCCATTTCTCCTCAAATATAAAATTGCATATTTTAAAGCCTAAGACAAAGTTAAAAACTCATTTTCCATAAAATCAGCTTAACCTGAACTTGAAGTCATGCTATTTCTTTGTGATCTCTGCTTCCTTTCCCAGACTTTTACTAATTTTGCCTAGAATCAAAATTATATTTAATGGACAAAATCTTCAAACTTCATTTTCTTTCTTTTCTATGAAAACCAGGATAATCTTTTCTTTTTTTTCCAATCCTGCAGTACCTCTCCTAGTCTTCATAATCCTTTAAAGATTATTTACAGTAGCCTGCCAATCACATCTGCCAGTTCTTTCAGTACATAATATGCAGTTTATCTGGAAAAGTTGAACTTACCAAGGCACAGCTGTATTTCCTGTCCCATCTAGCCACCTCGACTCCATTATTTTGTCCATATCTTTTAAAAATACACATTGGTTGATGTGTACTATACATCACTATCAGTAAATTCAAACAATTCACTTTTTTCTCCTTATCAGAACTGTTTCTCTTTGTGCTTTCAAAATTTTTTTTCAGAATTTCCATTCATAAATGGAACTTGCTTCTTATGATCTTAGCTAATCTTCCTCAGAACTCTTTGAAATCTGCTCTCCTAAAATCAAAGGTCCATATCAGAGTATTCCCAACTTTTCCCTTCTTCTCTATCACAAACTCCAAAATGGCATGGTCATTTCCTGCAAGGTTTCCACAATTTCTACCTTATTTGGTCAAAACCAGATGCAGAATACAATTTCCCATTACTGGTTTCTCCATATTTTTGAAGGTTGAACTTGAGAGCAAAGAAATCATAAACTACTATTTTTGGTTGAGTTCTGACAGGTGTTCAGATAATTGACACAACACTCGCTCCCCCATCAGTATTACACCATGCCTCCATCAGTATTACACCATGCCTCTGTTTCAGGCTTGTTCCTGACCTCATCTATCTCACTTTTCTCTCCAGACAATATGAAATATATTCCTATTACAATATCATAATTGTCATCCTTGGGACATGGTCCAATTTGCCAATGTTCTTCTTAAACTGAACTTGAACTTGCCCAGAGCTGAACATTCTAGTCCAGATGTGCCATGACCATAATATTTTTTTTTCAAATATGCATTCTCTGTGACAATCAGCTTCTGTAGCCTCCTATTTCACCTATCCCTTCTAGGTTCCTAAAATCTAAAATTTTATAGTGATGCTATCTGTGCATTCATCTCAAGTCAGCGATAAAAATGAATGTATAACCTTACATTAATCTTGCAGATGGATAATTAAATTGGACATAGAATTAAGCAGGAGGAGACTAAGCTAGATAGCATCCAAGAATCTATTTAACTCTTTTAATGATCCAAAATGCTCACTGCCACAAAAATCTATCTCCTCATCACCAATTTGTGAATCAGGGAAGAAACACCTTTGGAAGAAAAAAGATTACAAGTGACCCAAAGGTTAATGGAAAGATGTTTATTTCTAGGGTATAAGTTGGTTATAACATGTTACCAGTTATGACTTGCTTACACAACAGTAATATAAAATACAACATTTAAATAGAAGACTAGATGAATCATATAATCAGTATGAGAAATAACAAAGGGATGAAATATAACATTGATAAGCCTTTAATGGGATGCTTTCAAAGTATCTATATCAAATAAAATAATAAACACATAAATATAAAATTCTAAAACCATTAAAGCTTTATATAAATGCAATTTCTCATTATCCTCAGGTGTGCTTCTGTTTTCATTAATGTCTCTGGTGCTCAACAAAATAACTGTTTCTTGAAAAATAAACACAGTAATGCTATCAAGAATATAAAACAATGTATTTTTTAAAAAGACAGATGTAATTAAAGATAATAGGGAAATACATGTGAAACATGACCCACAAAATCATTAAAAGCAGTGTCATCTTATTATCAATGTTCTTCGCTAGATATAATGAAGCAAGATTTTCCTTTATTTTTCTTTGGCTCTTACTATAGTTAGAAACTATCTATATCCTTAAACTAATAAAGTCAGTTAATTCCATAAAGAGATTAACCAGACTTTGCTACAAATTTGCATTTTCTGTAGCTAAACAGCCTTACTTACGATTGCTTTTTCGATAGCAAGAGCCGAAATACAGACTTTAATCTGGAAGTTTCTGGGAGAGTCCCACCTCCGCCCTCAGGATTTGTTTCACTCAGAAGGAGGATACAGTTTCCCAAAGTGTCTTCTGTGTCTGCATAACCCTAAAACAATTTTAAAATAATATGGATTTTTATAGTTTAGAAATAGTCATAAAACCAAATTCTCCAAAACCTACTATAAAAAAATTTTTAATTATATTAATGTACACTGAAAATAAGAATTGATTTGCTTTTCAAATAGTTTATAAATCTGTACAGAATAATCTTGAATATTGTGGTGAAAAAAAAAGTAGACATTTTCATTTTCCCCTAACAACTCAAAAGATCTGGAAATCCTCACAAAATTTATGTTTAAAATATGCAAAATATACAAAAGCTGATTTTTTTTTGAAAGCAGATTGTAAACTGCTCATTTTGGGGGAAGTATCAAATTTCTAGTCTATCAGGTTATTACAGAACACTGGAAAAGGTACTTAAATCCTGAACACTAGTCATGAGGTTATTTTATACTATGCTTGCTATCATTCCTGTTGCCACAGTTAATCTAAGCAACATAGAGATGGTATGTTCTGATAACATGCAGAATTATATATGGCCACCTGAAGCAAAATCCATTCAATAAATTCTCTTTCAGTACATTAGGGTACTTTAGTGAATCTAGAAAACTAATGCACTTCTTCCTTAAGATATATTCACTATCTATTTGGATCCAAGATTGTTCTTGGATCAAACTAACACTTCTGACTTTCATCATTATCCAAAGAACAGAACCTTACAGGGTTAAAAAAATAATGTGAACTTAGAAAAGATGATATCAGGATTAGTTGAAGGAGCTCAGGATTGAGAAAACAGGCAAAAAATGACCAATGTCTTTAGATATTTCAAGGGTTTTCATCTGGAAGGAGGATTTGATTTATCTTGATTGGCCCCATAAATATAGTCTCATAGGAACTTACAGAAAGGCAGATTTTGGTTTAATGAAAGGAAGAATTTTCTGATTTAAAAAAAGGTGTGTAAAAAATGGAATGAAATGGACTGTCTTTTGAGGTAGAGAATGATTTAAGTACAGACTGAAATTCAGTTACGCTGGAGTACTGTAAAAGAGGATTTGAGGTCCCAGCTACAGAGGAGGCTAGGGTTGGTGGATCAATTTAGCTCGAGGGCTACGGATTCAGTAGGGCTGAAACCAATTGGGAGGCCCTGGTAGCAGGGACCCAGTCACAGAGATTTGCCAAGCAAGTCAAACCACCACCATCTCCCCTCAGATACCAATGGGGACAGCTCAGGGCCTTGAAACAGAGAGCCTTGAAAATAATGATGTGTTTCTCAAATCATCAAATTTGTTTCCAGCCCAACTCCTTCAGCCATCAGTGAATTGAGAATAAGGTGCAAGAAAAATGGAAAGGAGGGGATTCAAGGAAGCAAGTTATGAGTGGCTTTGAAAATCAAACAGAAGACTTCATATTTGATCCTAAAAATCAAAGACTCCTAGAAGGAACCACTGAAGTTTACTGAATGGGATAGAAGAGATTAGTAACAATATCAGACCTGTGCTTTGAGGAGACTACTGTGATAGTTGAGAGGAAGATGGCCTGGAGTAAAGAATTATGGCAGAGAGCCAACCAGAAGACTACTGCAATAGTCCAGACATGAGGTAGGTGATGAGGGCCTGCACAAAAATGGTGATAGTGTCAGAGGAAAGAAGAGGCCATATAGGAGACATGTTATGGAGGTAAAATTAACAGGCATTGGCAACAAACTGGATATGGGGGAAAGAAGGTGAGGAAGAGTGAGGTGTCAAGGCTGACACCTAGATTGTGAGCCAGGGGGACTGGGAGGATTGTGGTACCCTCAACAGTAATAGGAAAGTTAGGAACAGGAGAGAATTTGGAAGAAAAGATAATGAGTTCAGCTTTGGACATGTTGAGTTTAAGATGTCTACAGGATATCTAGTTTGAGATGTCCAAAAGGCAACTCAAGATGTAAGAGTGTAGGTGTTCCCCAAAGCTCTGTACTAGGCCGTCTTCTCTTTCTCCTTCTATTCTGTTTCGATGATTCTCAGATCTATTTGTCTAGTCCTAACCTTTCTCCTGACCTCCAGTCTTACATCTCTAACTGCCTATTTCAACTACCTTCCCCATAAACAAACTCAATATGTTCAAAACTAAATTTATAATCTTTTCCTCAAAACCCTGCCTCCTCTCTTCCAAACTTCCCTACTTTCCAGGGCATCACCAAACTTCCAATCAATGAGGCTTTCTTACTCTTTCATCCATCATATTCAATCTATAACCAACTCCTGTCATTTTCACCTTTACAATATCTCTTGTATACACACCCTTCTCAAGTGTGTATACCCTGGTGCAGGTTCTAATCACTTCATGCTTAGATCAATGCAATAACCTTCCACTTGGTCTCCTTGCCTTGAGTCTCTCCCCACTCCAGTCCATCTTCCATTCAGCTTTCAAATTAATCTTCCTAAAGTGAAGATTTGATCATCACACACACATCATTCATTAAACTCCAGTGGTTCTCTATCACCTCCAGGAACAAATGTAAAATTCTCTGGCATTCAAAACCCTTCACAACCTGGCCCCTCCTGCCTTTCCAGTTTTCTCACACTTAACTCCTTCTCACATATCCTCTGATCTAGTGACATTGACCTCCCTGCTATTCCTTGTATTCCATGCCTTTTCACTGGCTTGTCCTCCATGCCTATAAGGCCTTTTCACCTCCACCACTGGCTTCCTTGACTTCCTTCAAGACTTGGCTCAGCCCAAATCCTGGAGGAGGCCCTTCTCAGTCCTCCCACTGCTAGTGCCTTCCCTCTAAGATTACCTCCCATCTATACTATGTGTATCTTGGATGGTACATAACTATTTACGTGTTGTCTCTCCCCTTTAGAATAATAGCCCTTTAAAGGCACAAATGATGTTTTGCATTTCTTTGTATTCCCACTTTAACACAATGTCTTGCACTAGTAAGTGCTTAACAAGGAAAGGGAAAGAGAATAAACATTTACATGACAAATGTAGCCAGGTGCTGTGTTAAGCACTTTTTTATAAATATTATCTCATTTGAGCCTCACAACAACCCTGTGGGGTAGGTACTATTCATTACCCCCATTTTATAATTGAGGAACTAGAATCAAACAGTTAGTGGCTTGCCCAAGGTCAAATAACTATTAAGCATCTGAGGCCAGATTTGAACTCAGGTCTTCCTGCCTCCAGGCCCACCACACTAGGCACTGTACCATCAGATTTCTCTAAAAAATGATCTAATAGGAAGGGTAGAGGCAAGATGATAGAGTAAAGACAGGGATTGACCCGAGCCCTCCCAAATTCCTCTCTGAACAACATTAAAATAATGCCTCATAATGAATGTGGAGCAGCAGAACCAACAAAAGGACAGGGTGGAAAAAACTTTCTAGCCCAAAATAATTTAGAAGGTCTGCAGAAAAGGTCTACCTCACTGCGTGAGAATGGAGCACAGCCTAGTGCAGGCCATACCCTGGCAAGCCAGCAGGAGGTGTTGGGGTCAACTGAATCAACAACTGTGGTTTCTAGATCTAGAGCTCTAAGCCCATACAGCTTAGAGGGTTGGACAACTAGTCAGAAGGAAATTACAAGGGACCCTTTGCTGGCACTTGGTAGAGGCAAGGTTGTATTGCCCACATACAGTTACGGGTCATAGTCACAGGGCAAGGAGAAGCACTAGCAGGAACAGGGATACTGGTCACAGTTCCAGGACAGAAAAGAGTGGTTGTAGTCTTTCACAGATAACAGCATGGGCCAGAAGATCAGTGACCACACCTCCTTAAATCATATCACCTTAGAAAAACTGAAAATTTACAGATCCTCAGAATTATCTCTAAAAATAGCAGCACAAAAAAACCTGAAGCTTAAGATAGTGCCCTCTCTCAACCCTGGGAGCAGGACCAATTTTAACATCAAATTAAAAATCAAGAAATAGGCTGGAAAGAAAAAAAAGAACCTGACCACAGAAAGCTACTATAGTGACAGGAAAGATGAAAACACAAACTCAGAAGACAATAATGTCAAAACAGCTACATGAAAAGCCTCAACGAAAAATGTGAATTGATCGCAAACAAAAAAAAATTCCTGAAAGACTTCTAAAATAAGAGATAGAGGAAAAATGGGGGGGGCGGGTACAGAATGAGAGTGATGTAAGAAAATCATTTTTAAAAAGTCAACAGCTTGGTAAAGGAGGCATAAAAAAACTGACTTTCAAATACAAGACTCAAGTGAAGTATAAAAAAGTAACAGGAAGAGAAATCATAAGGGTTTTAAATAAGGTTAAACTGTTTACACTCTTATATGGAAAAATGATACATGTAATTTCTAAAACTTTATCATTATTAAGACAATTAGAAGGAATATGCAGGTATAAGTTGACTGTGATGGGATGATATCTAAAAAAACAAAATTAAGGGAGAAGCCTGTTGTAGGTTACAAAAGACTTTCAATACCAAATAGATTTTGTATTTGATCCTAGAGGTGACAGAGAGCCAGTGGAGTGTACTGAATAGGAGGGTGACATAATCTGACAAACACTTTGGGAAAATGACTTTGGTGGCGGAATGGAAGATGGGCTGGAATGGGGAGAGACTTGTGGCAGGCAGATTCACCAAATCAGGCTACTGCAAAAGTCTAGGTGTGGGATAATGAGGACCTGTATCAGGGTTGAACCAGTATCTTACTATGTGAATAACAAAGCACTAGCAGTATGAAAATAATGTTGTTGTTGTTTTTAAAGTATCATGTATTTAGCAGTTATTCTAAATTTACCAAATAACTTAATAAGAAGAGGCTATTTTAATAACAAATTATCAGGAATAAACAAGTATAAATTGATTAGAAAACTCTCGGCTGTGATATATCTTATGTTTAACAAACCATTTCTGTGGCTATTTTGTTTCCTTTAGGAAGTTATAGAAACAACTTCATTTATGCAATTCAGGCTCTCAGGAATTTTCCTCCTAATAAGGAAGATTCATAGGACACAATGTGTCACCAATACAACATGTTACTAGAGTACTTAATAAATATTACCTGACAATAATAAAAATTACAAATTAACTGTGAGTTAAAGTTTCTTTAAGAGGTATCATACTTACAAACATGGGGAAACTTGGCAAATCATTTACAGTACAGTAATATGCCCAATCCTGACACTAATTTTTATGAACTTAGGCTTAACCATTTATCAAATCTATATATTTCCTCCACAGGTCATTCAAAGTAAGTAAGTAATATTACTTCTATTAATGGAAGTATATGTTCCAATGGCAACATTTTGCTAAGTTTCTTAAGACAGAAATAACAATATGTAAGGCACAATAATGCATTCCATTGCATGGATCCTCCCCCTTGCACTTCCCTTAGTTTTCTAGGCCGGAAGGCAGACATATCCATCCTGTCACATAGAAACCACAGACTAGTAGGTCACAGATGGTGTCTCTCCATTGCCAACTGACTGAATTGTCTAACTCTTACACTGAATAAGAGAATTGATGACATAGTGGACAGAGTGCTGAACCTGGAATCAAGAAGACCTGGATCCAAATTCCATCTCAGACACTTACTAGCTAGGTAACCCTGGGCAAATCACCTAATTTTTTTAGCCTTAGTTTTCTCATCCGTAAAAAATGAATACTGGATTCAATAACCTCTAAGGTTCCTTCCAGCTCTAAGTCTATGAGTTTATGAGCTTATGATTTTATTAATTATTTAATTGGAGTAATTGATGTTAAAATCTTAAATGCCACCAAGCTTACTCTTTCACCTACCACCTGAATACATAAATCATGTACAAATTAGCTACTGTTGTTTAAGATTCTGCCAGAAACAAGATTTACTGGCACATTTCCTATTCTTAGACACCTTGACTTTTGGCCTTTTGAAAATTTCTAATATAATGTGACAGTTTTCCTGCATGAATGCTTTAAAAATCAATCATACTCAGGCCAAGATACCTCAAAAGCAGAAATGCACAAAGTACCTGTAGAATTGGAACAACAGGACAAAGAGCCTCAATAAACTTGTTCCAGGTCAATGTTGTCATAATCAATTGTCCCTGAAGCAAATACATCAGAATATTCTTGACAACAGAGTTCACCTGCTCAAAGACAAAGCATTCAATGAAAAAAGAGATAGAATACTGACAAGGTGAGCTAGATATATCCAGATAAGACCAATAAAGAAAATTCAAATATATAACAACATATCTAAAAAATTATTTTAATTTTGACAACATGGTATATTCTCACATAGCATTCTTATGTAAGTGTCTTCCCTTAGCTAATTCTATTCTTGATCTTTAAAGTCTGGAGGTTTTTCTTCACCCCTTTTTATGAAGGAATCAGTTCTCTTTAATAATCTAGTAAACCTATATCTTTTCTCTTCTGGATGAAAACTTTAAGAGGGAAAAAACAACTGACCTAAATTCTCAAGATTTTTACGTTATAATTGTCACATTCTCCAAATATTTCCCACCACTTCAGCAAAACATTTACTGAGCCTATTCAGAAGGCAGTTTCTTTTGAGCTTAAAATAAAATCACATTGGCTATTATTAGAAACTTAAGGTTTTTTCCTCCAATTCAATATCTGCAGAATAAAGGAATTCTTTTCAGTTTAGTGTTAATACATACCCCATCTTTGGATTCTTGAAGACCAAATGTGCACATTTCATATAGTACTTTTGGATGAAGTAGAAAATTAACATCATGAGAAACTGAATGTCCTGAGATTGCCACAGTGTTGATGCCTAAACAATGCTTTAAAAGAATTGTAAAATATTAAAAAGATAAGATTAATAACATTATACTTCAAGAGAATTTCCCACTTCTTTCTATTTATATTTTAAGAAGCCTAGGAATTTTTTGTTAGCTAAACAAGAAATTTTGATGAAAACTTCTTGTACAATTATTTGAAAGTTCAATATGACAGGAACAGGCCTCAGAAAACTGATCCAAAGCCACTAATTCACTGCTCATACAGTTATAATTTATATTAGTTTATAAGCACAAAGAAATAAAGGAACTGTAACTAAAGTTATTTTGCAAGTATTTTGCTTAAGAAATGAGATCAAAATAAAAATAAATAAAGCAAATTCACAATGTAATACAAATTCCACTGCCAATTTAGAGGCAGTGGCATAGTACATGGGGGCCAACTCAAATACAAAGAGGAGCCTCTAAACCATTCCTGTAATGATCCAATATGCAGGATACATATTTAGTTTTAAAATGGAGATGGACAGTATAGACTGCAATTGAACAAACGAGTTAGACTCAGAGTTGAACAAAGAAGAGCCGGCTCAATTGCTCTTAGGAATTTCCAGACCTCTTTTAATGATCCCACACTTCCTAGGAAAGCAAAGGTCCATTATTCTAATACCAACATTTTATGATCACTGTTATATGGCAACAAGTCAGGGAATAAGACTGCTTCCAAAAAATTAAGGAAATCATGGGCACGAAGGACAATGGGGAAAAGAATGCTGGGTATTAAAAACTTACAGCATATACAAGAAACTCCAAAGAACAGGATAAAAAATGCTTGTAAGGAACTGTATGATAGGAATAGAAAATGCACTGGTCACATGACCAAGTGCTGATCACTCGGCAAGGTGGAACACAGAGTGCTCCACTGGTACCCTGGAAATATCAAGAGAAACGATGGAGAACCTCCAACACATTGTGTGGAGCCTCTGAGGGGAACTTATAAGAGTACCAAAGACAAGAATTGGAAAGCATAGGCAATAACGGATGGATTACAATCTACATTGCTGCAAGGAATTTCCAAATTAATGATATCACAGATCAATTTGAGTACTATATATTAAATGTTATTAGTAATCTGTGCACAGTAATATGTATTTTCTAACACAAGGTATCATTACAAATCACTTTAAGGATCTACTATGTAACAAGCACTGCGGATACAAAGGCAAAATGAAACATGCTCCCTCAAGGAGCTTATATCCTACTAGAGATATAACACATACACACTTAAGTATATACAAAATAAATACAAGGCAGTTGCAGCAGGGGGAGGTACTAGCAGCTGAACGGATGAGAAAAGGTTTCTTACATGAAGTAGCATTTGAGCTGAATTTTGAAAAAAACTAGGGATTCTAAGTTATGGAGGAGTAGAAGAAGTACATTTCAAGCATGAGGACCAACAGTCTGTGCAAAGTCTCATGGAAAGGAGACAGAAGATCTTGTGAAGAAATGTCAAGGCCTATGTAGCTGCACCGTGAAGTATATGTGACTAGCCCAAAAAGGCAGGTTTGAAGTCAGTTTGTGTGGCACTGGTCTTGGCTCAGTTCTTAAATGTTACATGGGGGGAAAGTCATATATTCATAAGACTTCAGTGTTGGAAGGGATCTGAGAGGTCATCCACTACAATTTGTACCCGAGTGAAAATTCATTCTACAACGTAACTGAAAAGGGCTCATTCAGCTTTGAACTCTAGCAAGGAAGTACCCATTATCTTCCAGGTTAGCCCACTCCAATTTTAGATAATTTTATTTGCTAGGGAGTTTTTCCTTATGTCAACTCTAAATCTTCCTCTTTACATCTCTATCCACTGCTTCTAGCTATTCTTTCTGGGGCTAGCAAAGCAAATTTAAACTATACTCCACTTGATATTCTTTCACATATATTGAACCACAGCTATGAGGTATCCTTTCCCCCATAGCTTCTATCCTCCACTTCCTTCATATGGCATTATATCAAGGTCTTTGATCATCTGTGTTATCCTCCTCTGGAGTTTTTCTATTTTACTAATGTCTTTTCTAAAATGTTTTTCCCAAAAGGGAACACAATATTCCAGTTTGATCTGACTAAGACAGGGTATAATGGGGTTGTCGCCTTCATAGTAATGGACATTATGATCCATGAATACAGCCTAAAAATGAACCAGTTTTCTTGATTGCCATATCACAATATTGACTCATATTGAGTTTGAAATCCAGATAATTGCTACCTAGCCATACCTCCTTGTTGAAGTCTATTTCTAAACATAAGAATATATATTTATCCCTATTAAATTTCATTTTATTAGATTCAGTCCAACATTCTGGCTTGTCAAGATCTTTTTTAATCCTGCTCCCATCCAATATGTGAGCTCTCTCTCCCCTTTTTCTGTCATATGCAAATCTAATAAGCATGTCATCTACGCCCTTATCCAAATGACTAATAAAAATGCTAAATATCACAGGGCCAAAAACAGATCTCTGGCATAACTACCCTAGAGACATACTTACTAAATCACTTACCTTCTCCAGATTTTATTTTTCTTCCATGTAAAATGATGGGAATACATGATCTCTAAGCTTTCTTTCAGTTCTAACATTTTAGTTCTACAAATCTTTTTTAGTTCATGATTTTTATTTTACCTTCAGGGATCAACCAAAAAAATGACTTCTTAAAAAGCTGCTAAAAATGAAAGGTCAGCTAAAAGTAAATGACAAATTTTAAAAACATTTGTCTATAGTAATTTTTTTTTTGCCAGGTACAATAGGTACCACCTGGAGTTCAAAGGGAATTACTATTAAATAAGTTTAATTCAACTTAACTCAACAGACATTTATTGAACATCTATTGTTTACAGAGAATTGTACTGAGGATATAAAAGGAAAAAAAATAGTCCCAGACCTAAAGATGCTTATAGGGTATGGCACATACAGAGATAAGTAAATACAAAGGAAAGTTGAAGCAGTGGGTGGGAAGGTGAGGGACACAGGCCAGTAAGGCTTCACAGAAGAGGTGACACTGAGTTAAACTTTAAATAAAGATAAGGATTCTGAAAGGCAGAGATGAGAAAGGAGGAAATTCCAGGAAAGAGGATAGCCCGCAAAATTCACGGAAGCAGGGGCCAGTAATACAGCCCATTTAAGGTGTGGAGTGCATTAAGGTAAGGAATACCAAGAAAAATGGGATTACCTCAATGAAATGATGGATTGAGGCCAATCCTATCATTTTATTACACTAGATTATTTTCTTTATTAAAAAAAAAGATAAAACCAAGGTCAGAAGATTCAAACCTATAAAACTGAAGTAAATCAGTTTTGTAGAATTTTTTTCCTAAGTAATAGTAATGTCTAATTTAATACAATGGATCAAATATTTTACATAGAAAAAACTTTAATAAAGTGGTTTAACCATTAAATGTAAAATCACATTAATAAAATTCTTATACATTAACTGAATTAGTTCTTAAAATTCAAGTAAGTTTAAGAAATGCATTAAACCAATTTCACAAAGTCAAGAGAAAACAAACAAAATTAAATTAAAACCTCCCTGCTCACATGACTTCCACCATAGTTCAGGCACTCATCATTTACTCTCCTGGACTATGGTCTAGGAGAATCATCTCCTGTTTCCAGTGTCTCTCCTCTCCAATCCATCCTGCAGAGATCTAACAAAAAAAAAATCTTCCTAAAGCACAGATCTGACCATATCACTCCTCTCATTTAGAAGTCTTCACTGGATCTCTAATTGCCTACAATATTTCTTCTAAAATATAAACTGTTTAGCTTGGCATTTAAAATCCTCCAAAATCTGATTCCAAACCAATGTAAGATGAAAATTTCAATTGTTTTCCTTTTATTCTACATTCTAGACAAAATGGTCAATTAACTACTCCCTGAACTCAGTACTTGCTCTGCTAGCCCCAACACCATACGCATGCTATCTCAAGGTGCCAGAAATATATTCTCCCATTGGCTTCTGGACTTAAGAGGAAGCCTTGGATCCTTTGAAATGTAATAGTTGCTCTACTTAAGCTTTTTGAGTTTGTTTCCTTATCTGTAAAATAGCAATAATAATATTTAAAGTACCTACCTCTCAAGATTCTTGTGAGGCCCAAATGAGATAAAGAATAGAGACTACTTACAAATCTTAAAGTATTATACAAATATTAGGTATAATTATTAGAATCCTTAACAGTTTTCTAGGCTCACCTCAGGTACCCCCTCTTAAACAATGCCTTTCCTGATCCCCCAACTCATTTTACCCAATTCAAAGTCTTTTCTTTACTGGCGCACATGTTGTGTGCCCCTGTAGAATGTAATCTCTGAATCCCAAGTGGGCTAGCACAGTGCTATGCACACATTAGTCACAGTTAATAAACACTTAGTTCAAATGAATTTAATTAAGTTATGTATTAGTAAATAGCTTTTTTATTCTAAAAAATAAGTTTTCATTCCAACCTGAACAATTTCCAGGCAGCAGCGATAACTTTCAGCTTTCACAGGCAGCAAAGGATATGACAACAGATGTAGGAACACCTTTTGAACTTCTTCCTGTAGTAATGGGCTAGTCTGTGCAGATTTCCATCTAGAAGTAGTTGTTGGGATGAACTAATTAGTAGTGTACACAAAATACTGAGAATATTACAAAACAATCTCTTTAAGTCCAACTGCCACCTATGGAGCTAAGCAATGTCTGCCAGCATCACTGGAAAGGCTAGAGTATTACTGAAAAAAGAAAAAATGACTAAGAAAATGTTTGTAAAAGAAAGGAGAGTAGGAAAAAAAGGACAGAAAGATAGAGAAAGAGAGAGAGAGATAGAAAGAGAAAGAAAGGAAGAAAGAAAGAAAGAAAGAAGAAAGAAGAAGAGGAAGGAAGGAAGGAAGGAAGAAGGAAGGAAGGAAGGAAGGAAGGAAGGAAGAGGAAGAAAGAAAGAAAGAAAGAAAGAAAGAAAGAAAGAAAGAAAGAAAGAAAGAAAGAAAGAAAGAAAGAAAGAAAGAAAGAAAGAAAGAAAGAAAATCTAATAATTGCCTCTGGTACCACTTAATGATTCTTGTTATAGGCTGCCTACTCCTTTTGAGATACAAATATACAGATATAGCAAAAAGGCCTTGACAAGATGTATATTTTACAAACCATAAATAATATTAAACTAGATTGTATTAGATGAGTGACATAAAAGCTATCTATAGTCATATGAAAACATGCTCTAGATCACTACTGATTAAAGAAATGCAAATTAAAACAACTCTGAGGTACCACCTCACACCTATCAGATTAGTTAATATGACAGAAAAGGAAAATGATAAATGTTGGAGAAGATGTGGGAAAATTGGAACACTAATGCATTCTTGGTGGAGTTGTAAAATAATCCAATCATTCTGGAAAGCAATTTGGAACTACGCCCAAAGGGCTATAAAACTGCATACCCTTTGATCCAACAACATCAATACTAGGTCTGTAACCCAAAGAGATTACAAAAAGGGAAAAGATCCCCATGTACAAAAATATTTACAGCAGCTCTTTTTGTGATGCCAAAGAATTGAGGAGATGCCCATCAACTGGAAAATGACTGAACACATGGTGGTATATATTAATGTAATGAAATTCTATTGTGCTATAAGAAATGAGATGCAGGTAGATTTCAGAGAAACCTGGAAAGTCTTACATGAATTGATACTGAGTGAAGTGAGCAGAACCAGGAGGACATTGTACACAGTAACAATAACGTTGTGCAATAATCAATTATGATAGACTTAGCTCTTCTCAGCAATACAATGTCTAAGATAATTCCAAAAGACTCATGATGGAAAATGTTATCCACATCCAGAGAAAGAACTGTGAATCTGAATGCAGATCAAAGCATACTGTTTTCTCTTTTTTCCTTCTTACTCATTTCTCCCTTTTGTTCTGATTCTTCTTTCTCAAAATGATTAATGTGGAAATGTTTAATATGATTGTATATGTATATCTTATACCAGATTGCATGCCATACTGGGGAGGGAGGAAGGGAAAAAATTTGGAATTCAAAATCTTATAAAAGTAAATGCTGAAAACTATCTTTACATGTAATTGGAAAAAATAAAATACTAGTAAGTGGGGGGAAAAAAAAAGATAAGTGACCTAGGAGGGAAGATGTAAAGGATGATCTGACCTAGCTCAAAAAGCTTTCACATGACATTCCAAAAGATTTAGCTGAGTGGGAATGTCTTCACCACCCTAATTCACTTTAAAACTGTGATGCAACAAATTTAGAAGTATGATAGGGAACCAAAAAAAAGGCTGAAGAAAAAAAATCACAGCTTCCCACCTCCTTTATTCCATAAATACAATTATATAAAATTCTATAATTTAACCTATCCAATCCATTCAACTGACCCTTGAAGATTTACTGATCAGCTAATATGGACCTGGAAACAATTATCACTTGTTCTTGAAGAGATTCCAGGGTACAAAATCCACTGACTTCTTTAGTAATTAATTTATATCTGGTTCTATCTCCACATATCTGAAATAACCTTTTTGCTGTTGCAATGTAAATTAACTCCCGCTCTTTGTGCAGTAGAAATGGAAAACAGCTAGTAACCACTGTTAATTTAGCACCTTCTACCTTTTATTTTCTATGATAGATAAATCTTGGCTTTTTTTAGTCTTTCATCACATATAATCTCTTTCTAATCTCTTAATTGCTTTCACTGTTCTTTGGTGGATCTTCCCTAAGTTCTTCATAGATCTTTAATTCTATAGTCTTCATGTCTAAAACAAGTTATGGCTATAGTAAAGATACTATCCTCTTATATTCAATCAATGACAATTTATTCCAGATTTGTGATAAGTAATGTGAAGATTAAACTTAGAAAATGTGTATTTTTTTTCATTCTTAGTTTAGTACAGCTGAAAAATATACAAAATAAAAGCCATGGGAGTGACTTTATGGATTTCCAACCTGCCCAATTAATGGAAATATCCAAGTCCTGTATAAGAATGACCATCCAACCCTAAATAAAACAAGAAGTTATTGTCTTTGACCACTGCACGTAAGAAAGCTCAATATTCTTAATATGAATCCTTAATAATGCTTGTTATAGAATTAATGAATTTAGAGGCTGGGAACATGAGTACTGAAAAATACATATAATGTAGAACTTAGTTAATGCCTTGGTCAGCTTTACTAATTTTTCTTTCTTTTTTGTTCTTTGGCAAAATTAGTAGATCTCTAAAAGAAGGTAGAGAAGAGATATATTGGGAAATGAGTGATATAAAATTTTTTTTTGAAGTAAGGCACTAATACTTTAAGTTAGAGAGCATGTGACAATGTGTAATAACAGAGGCAATTTCCTCACTGGAAGTTAGTTCCCTACACCAAGAAAATTCTAGTCCAAAAATAACATATACATATATAAATATGATCTATTACTATTTCAGAAGAGCATTATGGAAAAATCTAAATCAGGGATTAGGCTGATAAATTATAAAGAATTGGAGAAATTCATTAAGGAAAACTCCTTGGAGGAGATGGCCTTGTACTACAGTTTTAAGGAAAATGAGTTACTTTTTTAAAATTCTGACTTGAAAACTTCCTTCAAGTAGTTGGAAAAACCTCTGCAGATATCATAAGGATTATGCTAGAATGCTCCCTATAATTTTCACATATCTGACTGGGTCACTTGGAGGATGTCCTACTATTGTCCCCTGCCTGAGATTATCCCCACATTTCACTTACATTCCCTGCTATGAGAGCCTGCCCTCTCTATGTTCAATTTTATAATTTCTAGTCTTTGCTTTGACAGAAAGAGAGGTCTTCACCTATAGTGAGGCCTTCTAGTTTCTGGGCACTGCCAGGAAGGTACAGCGGATCTCAACCAAACAAGAATCTCACTATGAAAGTTAGTCAAATCCAGGCCTTCAGATCACCCCACTGCCTTTAAGTGTTCACTGTAAATCCTAGCCTGCCTCTGGAGCAAATGTAGACCTTTAAGAGCACGGCTTGTTTCATTTTCTGTGGATGTTTAATGTGCATGATGTTTAATAAACATTTGTTGAATGGGAAAAAAATGGATATAAATGCACTTGAAACCATGTTTTTAGATACTTATCAAAACAAGTGGGAAGAAATTCAATCATAATTTTTAGCATGGGCTTCTGCCTATAGCTTTGAACATTTAAAGTTTCCTTTATGTTATATAGTAATTAATGTGGTAACATAGTTTAAGAGGGAGAAATCTTACAAAAAGACAAAATTCTTAAGATTAGAAAATATTGCCATCCTGACCCCTCTCCAGCCTAATAAGAAATATCAGACTCTGAACAAATAATTTTATCATACATAATGTAATCATTGTAAGAAGGGAATTATTACATGTTTGAACACAGACAGATGATCTTCTTTATTAATGGGAAGTGCTGATGATAAGAAAGGCTAAATATAGCTTGGTTTGCCATCTCCACTAACTCAAAGAGATTCTTCTCTCCCTGGAAAAGATGCAGAACGCAATAGGAAAATGTCAGATTCATGTATTATATAATCCTCAGCAGCCAACTGAACAGTTTCTAATAATTAGAACATTCTTAGACCCTGAGGTCATTACTCATTCTTTTCAATACACTTTTGCATAAGTACACTAAGCATTTCAACTCTATGGAACTAGAGTCAGAAAAATAAAAAAAAAATCATCACAAATGTCATATAATCTACCCAAGCACAGTGATAACTAAATTTAGAAATGCAATAGAGTTACCAGCGTCTATGGCTAATTCCTTTCTTTATTTTAAGTACTGCATTCCTGGATAGATTATAAACTCTTCAGGGATAATACAAATGTCTTCTACTCATTGTGTAGGCTCATAGAGCAGTGTTAGGAACATAATAATCACCCAATAAATAAATACCTGTTGGCAATTAACTGATCTATTTACTCACTAAATAAACATGTATTAAGAAGCTGTTATATAAGGCATCATGCCATAAAAGAATTATCAATAAATCAGTAAGCATTTATAGTGCCCACTATGTGTCAGGCATGGTGCTAGGTGCTATGGTTACAAGTACAAAGAATGCAATAGCCCCTGCCCTCAAAGATCTACGAGAGACTATGAAAATATCTAAAGAATAAACATTTAAACTTAGTCATGGTTAAAACCATGTCAGAGCATCATCTATACTCATAAAGTGGCAGTACCTAGTAAACATCCTAAATTGGGAGGGGAAACAGGTTGAAATGAGGTACAAGTAGAATCAAAATTCAAGTGATACATCCTCTGTGATCTTAAGTTTTTATGGATCCATCTTGGTATGTTTTCAGGTTAAAAGTCAAGTGAGATCAGTATTCCCAGTGACTAAATAAATGTCTTAGTTTTAGATTATTATCTTAGCAATTAAGAAGCACATTAACTCTTCTAGGTCATTAAGGTACCAGCCAGCAACCACATAGTGAATGGTCTCTAATGGGAGATACCACAGTACATAATCACTGTTGTGACAATGCACTCAACAGTATCATTTCTACTCTCAAAAAAGATGCTTTTCAAAGTTCCTAATTAGGGACCCTATGAAAATCTAGACCATGTAAGTTTGTAATAGTCACACACTAAGTTAACAAAACTTTGTCAATAAGCACTATCATTTCATTTAGTAACTACTGCTATTTATTTCAGATACGTGGAATTTTACTTTTTTCACTTTATCCTATTAATGTAATTTTAAAATTATACCTCCAACTGGCAACCTTTTGTCTTTCATCCTGGTTAAAAATTATAACTTAAGTTGTGTGAAGACTTTGTCAACAGGATTAACATTAGATGTAAAAGTCTTCTACCTCTTTCTCCATATCAGTCATGAAGTTACAGCTGCAATCAAGTGAATAAACCATCTTTGCAGTTCCCTTATAAATAGTGTAGTTTTCAGAATTCAGTTGTTCCAAATAGGCAATAACAGTCTCATGAATATTTGGATATTCCAAGGACAAAGGCATTTCCAGAGAAATATGGAACAATGCAGTCATCAAGCTTTCTGGTAAAAACTGGCTTGCCTGATGGAATTTAAAAGAATTAATTTTAAAGCATACACATTTGCATATATACATACATGCCCATATCAGCACAATACATAAAATAAAGGGGGAAAGAAAATGCAATATCAATTATAATTGCAGAAGAGATATTTAGTTTAAGGTTTAAAATGTCCCCATATTCTATCTGAAGAACCAATTTATAGTATCAAAATTCATGATCTATATAAAGGGTTAATCTGCATTACTGAATATAAAATTATTATAGGAAGGACATTGTTAAACCATCCAGAAGAAGGCACTCAGGATGTAGAGGAGCCTCAAGTTCATGCCAAATGAGGACTGGTTGAAGAAGTAGAGATGCTTAATCAGGAGAAGAAAAGAAAAGGGGTACTAACAGAGAACTGCTCTGAAATATTTGAAAGGCTATAAAGTTAAAGGGTAATAAGGCTTTACTTGGCCCTAGAGCAGAACTAGGAAGAATAGCTAGAAGTTTCAAAAAAAAAAAGCAAATTTAATCTTTCTATAAGGAAAAACTTCCTAAAAATGTGAATTATCCCAAAGTAGAGGAAAGTGAAGGTATTGAAGTAAAGTCCCAATCACCACTTGTTTGGTAAGCTGCAGAGAAGATTATTTTTTAAGGTTCAGGTTGGACCAAATGGCCAGTGAGGCCCTTGCCAACTCTGATTCAGTATGTTATATTTTTTTAAAGTGCTTCCAGTTTCCTAGTAAAATTCCAAGAATCAATCAGAGAAAGGAAAGATAATTTAAATTTTCAGAACAAAAGAACAAGTGACAAAGCTGCAGCTAAACTTTTAGCTTTAATGAGGGGGTTATTTTACTTCCTCATTTTATGGAAATCACAAAGTGTGAAATTTTTTTACTGCTTGAAAAACGAATTTCAAAAACTAAACTAGTTGAAAAAGTAAAAGCTTTTAATAAAAGAAAATGTGGGACATACACATTTTAAAAAGCACTAAGAATGGAATTTTTAAGCTAAAACTACAGATAAAAGACTCTTAGGAAAAGAATAGACACAGAAGCCCTTTTAAAACATTAGAAAAACCAAAGGAAACTTAATTTTTCAGTATCTGCAAAAAGGACTTTTATGGTCAAAATGAGGCCTCTTTTGGAAGAGAAACAGTCTCATTTGTCTCCTTTGATACCTATATCTACACAGTGGATATAACAGATTCAGAGAACCACGTAAATGAGGCCAAGGTCATGGGTTCAAATTCTTACTCTGGACAAATTAGTTTTCTTCTGTTCCATGACAGCAGATTGCATTCCAAACCCCAGTCAAGATTTTTGTGGGTTTTCTAAAGAGGAAACAAGCTATCTCCTTTAAAGTTGTTCTTCACTATCTATTCAGAACACAATTTAGTGAGCTAACAACAGACAGAGGGCAGCATAACCTCATATAACAAAAATCTAAGGGTTAAAATTTAAGCAACAGTGAAATTTTAGTTTTACCTAAGTTATCTTTAAAAATCCTATTATTTTGGATATCGGAAATAAGGAGAATGATGTATTACTAATAGTAAAGACGATAATTCAATAGCTTTTCTACACCTTGCATGAAATATTCTTTAATGCTACTTACTTCATCTAAAGTGGATATTTTCTAGGCAACCATTTGCTAATTTATTCAAAAGGATTCCCAAGGATACAAATACAGATACAAATTTTGGCTATTAAAAAGAAAACTTCCTAGGACTCAAAAAGCTTTGGCATTTCTCTACAATACTGTATAAATCCCTCTAGGGACTTCCAAAACTTAGTAATCAAATCAATTTATGAATATTATATTTTAGCCACTTTATGGATCATACGTTTAGTGTTGGAAGGTAAATCAAAGGCCTTCTGGTCCAATCCTCCCATTTTAGAATTGAGGAAACTAAGGTCAAGGTGGTTAAATAACTTTTCTAAGGTCACACAATCATAAGTATGAGAGACAGGAAAGGAATTCAGGTCCTCTGACTATAGAGCCAATACTCTTTCCACTACACGAAGTAGTGGAATCTATACTGACCTGAACAAAAACAGAGTACTTTATCCTTCCCTGTACAAAATGTCAAAAAGATATTTTTCATTCAAAATCTTGATATTATTCAATAAGCTACAAGTAAAAAAATGTTTCTTTCTTACCTTTTCTACTGGAAGAAGTGTTTGCAACAGTCTAATAGTAAAAAGTGAGATGCTGACAAAAGACATTTTATGGTGCACTAACATCACCATATCTGGATCTTCAGAATTGACACTGTTTTTGTGGTAGGAGATGGTTTCTCCAAGTGAATCCATGACTACAAACAGCTTTAGTTTCTAAAAACAGAACAAAAACAAAAAAGGATAAATACTGGTTGCAATTACATGGAAATAACATAGAGCCATTTTTCAGTAGTCAATGAAGAACAAAGTACCAAAAATTATTCCCCTGTGAAAAGGCTACCAAAATTTCATCTGAAAAGGTTAAATGATACCAAAAGATAGTATTGTTCCATGAAAGCCTAAAGAAGAAAATAGATCTTAACTTCATCTAAGATGTCAAGTCCCAACATAATTAGCTTATTATTAGCACCATCAAAACTTAATAAATTATAAACCTCCTGCTAGTCTATTATCACTCTAAGTTAGTACATTTTTATCTTTTATATATCTTATATACTAATCAATAATAATATACCTTGTATATATCAATAAGTATTTGCTGAATCTGCTATGTGTCCAGTAACTATGGGTGACAAAGGGCAAAATACAAAAGTATGCTTCTACATATTAAATACCCATTTAGTACCAAATACCAAAAGCAATCAAAGAATAATTGTCAAACTGAGGAAACTTGATAAAATTTTATATTCCTCTACTTAATGAGTTAGAAATTTTCCCAAGTGGAAACAAAAATATAGTACCTGAAAAAAGGTCAAGCTCCTTACAGAAAAAAAAAAAGTTATTTCGTTAGTTCCCAAGCAATACTACTCCTCTTAGTTTTCTATTACAAATGAATCAAAGGCACACTAAGGCACTGCTGGTAAAGCTGTGATTCTGTACAACCATTTTGGAAAGCAATTTCGAATTATGTGAATCAAGTGCCTAAAATGTCTATATCCTTTGACCCAGGGATCCAACTACTAGGTTTATACACCAAGGAGGCCATTGAGAAGAAGAAAGTGATCATACATACTAATATATAGGCAGAGACATACATAGATGGATGGATATAGAAATAGATAACAAAAGACTTTTTGTGATAGCAAAAAACTGCAAATAAAGGAGATGCCCTTTGAATGGTAAACAAACTGTGGTACATGAACATAATGGAATATCACTGCTCTATAAGAAATGACAAATACGATAAAGTCAAGAAGCAAGAAAAGAATTACATGAACTGATGCAGAGTGAAATAGGTAGGCCAAGAAAACAATATACCTAATAACTATAATGTAAATGGAAAACCACATAAAAGTTGCAAAATTACAAAGAAAAAGCATGTAAAGAAGAAATAAGAGAATATGTCCCCACCCTATTCCTTTGAAGAGGGAGGAAGGACGTGAATATGGTACATTAAATATATTTTTTAAACTTTTTTAATGTGTTCATCAATTTTGCTGGGGTTTTTTCATTTTTTGTTTTAAAAAAATTATTTGCTATATGGGATAACTCTCTAGGAGGCAAAAGGGATTCTGGGAAAAAATTTGGTGATGTAAAACAAAGAAATCAATAAAAATGTATTTAAAAAAAAGGAATCAAGAGTAGCAGCACCAAGTACAGATCAAAAACGTTCAGAAGATTAACCAAAATGTGGAATTTTCAGGAAAAAAAAACCAAAACTGTTTGCAATAGTGAGACATCCACCTTGAAAGGATCACAGTTTAAAGATTATACTTCATCATTCTATGATATACAAACAGATCACACTGTTAAAACTTTCTACAGATACAATAAGGTGGTATAGTTTAACATTATATATTAATAAGATATATAGAGAATGTAACAAACTCTAGAAATCATAGAAGAAAAGGATGGACAGAACATCAATGGAGCAAGAAACAAGTAATTTTTTTTAAAGTAATATTGGGGAAAAGAGAAGGAACAATGAAAAGATAGAACCACTGCTCAGTATGAAAGAGATAATGATAACTGATGCCTGAGAAAAGCAGAGTTGCTCAATTTTTACTTTGTTTTCTCTTCCAAGAAGAATGACCTTTATATGGGAGAAGAAAGTGTAAAAGCAGCTATTACAGGAGACAGTAATCAACTACTTAGCTGTCCTTGATGAGTTCAACTAATCTAATTCAGATGAACTACATTCTTGGGTATTGAAAGGACTGCCTGTTGTAGCTGATGAACTACTGCCAGTAATATCTAAAAAGACTATAGAAAATAGCACTGAAAAAAGAGCAAATGTTATCCCAACCTTTAAAAGCAAAAAAAACAGAAGGAAATCTGCCATCTATAGGCCAGTGAGTAGCTTTGATTCTTAGCAAAATTCTCAAACACATTTGCAAAGAAATGGTTGAGGAATATCCAGAAAGTAAAGACGTGATTACAAAGACTCAGAATGGCTTTATCAAGAAAATGTAGTATGTTAGTCTAACCTTATTTCCTATGTTTCCAGAATTACTAAAGTTATTGAATGGTCTGCCTCACGAGGCAATGGGTTTTCCTTCACTGAAAGTCATCAAACAGATGACTGCTATTGGGTAGGTTGTAGTGGAAAATCCATTTGAATTTGTTGAACTAAATGGCCACAGAAGTCCTTTCCAAAATTGAAACTCATGATTCCATGCCATTACTAAGAAAAAAACTGACCACTTTCCATTAGAAGAGAAAAAAAAATAAAAAATATGTCCACAAGTAAGAGGATAAAGCAGTTTTGATTCATTTAGCACAGAAAGCAAACATCTCTGCTTACCTTAATAACTCTTATAGTCATCAGTGTACAATGTCTTAAAGCAAATATTAAACATACACTATTTTCTGTTTAAGACACAGAAGCACATAATATATGGTTAAAGTTCTATAACAAAAATTTATAACACTTTGAAAATATGGCACTTCAGGAGGGAAAATTTAAATTATCTAGAAAATTTATTTATACGGAAAATCTCATTCTTCAATGGCAGTTCATTAGCAAGGTATTAAGGTAATCAGGGGAAAAAAAGTATTATATTACATTCACAGGAGGAAAAAAAGCTCTAGGCAAACCTAAATACTGTTGTAGTTGCCAATTCATGTTTCTCTAATTCATTTCAATGAAAGAATTTAGTAAATATCATTAGCTTTTGAATGACTGCTTAGTAAAAAAAAAATTTCAGTTCTTAGAATACATAATTCTTGGAAAATCTTTTGTACTATTTCTACTTATTTCAAGCAGTTTTATTTGACTTAATAATCCCAACTCATGAGCCAGAACTTAAGCAACAGATTTAACCTTCAAAATAAAAATAATTTGCTACATTCAAAAAGAACAGCAGCCAGAAGTTAAAAGTGAACCATTAATTTGCAGATTAAAGTCTTATGACCAAAAACTTTTAAGTTATTTTAATAAGTGATAATACATTCTTTTACTTCAAAGGAAAAATTCATTAAATGAAAATTTTTAATATAAGAAAAACTCCTAAGAATACTATATCATGCCTTTGATCTACTTCAAAAGTATTATACAAAAACTACACTGGGGCAAACACTGTTAGTTGCCCCAACTTTATAGATGAAGAAACTGAAGTATTTAGGCCTTAAAATACTACATTAATTATAAAATAATGTTAGAGGGCCTTAAATACCAGGATTGGGAGTATTTTATCCTATTGATAATGTGAAGCCCCTGAAAGATAATTGAGCAAAGATACAACAAGATCATGATAGGATTCAGATTGGGAAAATTACGCATGCAACTTTGTGGAGGATGAATGATCATGCTAGCAGATTTGTGAGGGACAGATTGAAGACAGGTTATAGGCAGGAGGAACAGTTACAAAAACTAATATACAGGCAAAAAAGGCTAAGTGCCTGAACTAATGGCTCTGCAAATATATAGGAAAGAGACATCTGACATACTGGAGAGAAAGAATCAATAGGATGTGAAGAAGTGAGGGATAGGTAAGAATCAATCAATTACCAAGCCTGTGTTAAGCGCCTCTTGATCCTAAGCCCTATGCTAGGTATCAGGGACACAAAGACAAAAGGGAACAATCCTAGCTCTCAAGGAACCCAAGAGGTTATAGAAAGATAGGTACATTAATACATTGTTCATGGACTTGTAAAATGGTACAACAATTTTGGAAAGCAATTTGGAATTATGTAAATAAAGAAACAAAAATTTCTGTACCCTTTGAACCAGAGACTCTAATACTAGGCTTATACACCAAAGAAATCATCAATAAGAAAAAAGTCTCCATGTACTCCAAAATATTTATTACAACATTTTTTTGTGATAGGTAAGAAGTGGAAGGGTTGCACAGTGGATAGAGCACCGCCCGGAGTCAGGAGGACCCAAGTTCAAATTTGGCCTCAGACACTTGACACTAGCTGTATGACCCTAGGCAAGTCACTTAACCCTAACTGCCTCACCAAAAAAAAAAAGAAAAGAAAAAAAAAGTGGAAACAAAGCAGATACCCATCAACTTGGGAATGGCTAAAGAAAATGTGGTACATGTGCTGTAAGAAATAGTGTGTAATGAATAAAGAGAAAGATAGAAATATCTCTATGAATCTATGATGCAGAGTGACATAAGTAGGGTCAAGAAAACAATATACACAGTAACTATAACAATGTAAATGGAAAGAACAATGATACACTAAAAAATCAAAAGTAAATTAACAAATTAAAAAGATCAATGGGACTCAAATGAAGAGATATGAGAAGACACCCCTAACCTATACCTTTGTGGAGATGGAAAGTTCACAGGTGTCACACCTTGCACATGTGTTTGGACTTTTTCAATGCATTGATCAGTTGTGCTGATTTTTTTTCCCATCTAAAAAAATACTATTTGTCATGTGGGATAGCTCTCATGTGGGATGGGAAATGGGGAGGAATCATGGGATGGTATGGTGATATAAAAAACAGAGAATATCAATTAAAGCTTATTTTTAAAAAGAATAATATGTAGACAGATATTTCGGTAGATTATGGGGGCAGAAACCACCTTAAAAAGAGTTGAAGAATAAATAGTGAGAAAGAAGACAGTGCAAACTGTATTTTCTAAATGGGCCCTAGATATAAGAGTGCAGCAGGGTCAGGGTCAGAGAGAGAGGTTTCTGTTAGGAGACTGTGAAATCCAACCACATTTGTAGGCAGAGTTGGTTGACTGAAATTGAAATAGATTATGTTGTTCTTACATCAAAAGAGTCATTCACAGAATCTCTGCAAAGTCCACTCATTCAATTATTAGAACAAGACCAAAGAGATTTTTCTTTCTTATACACAGAATATAAGCATAGTACATTTAAACATTATCACTAACACCCTGAAAATCTGTATTGTCAGAAACAGAGATCTAAAGGGCAATGGAAAAATATATGGTGAGCATAAGTAGTATCAGTATACTTCCAACAATGACATGAATACAAGAAATGACATAAAAGACATTAAGGATATGTACAACAGGAAAACAAGGCAGTATAAGCAAAGGATATCAAATGCACGGTCCTAATGTTTGCACCATTATCCACAGAACATTAAAAGACCCAGTAAAAAGCCTTTGGCTTACTATGATTCATTATGAAGTATTTATGTAAGAACAAAGACACAAGATCACCTGGGATGAAAAGGAATCAACGAGTTAAGATCTAGATTAATGAAAAAAATACATACACTAATAAGACTGTGAATCCTTAATGGTATTACTAATACCACATTACTGAAAGTTTTAATTCTTACCAAGTCTAAAGCAAAAAGGCTGTTGTCATCCCAGATATCTTCAGACAATGAATCTCTAATAAGTATCACAACTTCTGCAAGCAATTCTAAAACTTGCACTGTTATTTGTGTACTATCTGCAAATACAAATGGGGGAAAAAATGTTAATTTTAAAAAGATTCCATGAATTAGCTTGGTTAAATTTCAAAGAAAAGCTTCTTTCAAGCCAGTAAGAGTAAGGTACAGTAAGCTTGTAACTAGAAACAACAAAGGCCTATTTTCAACCTAGAAATGCTAGAAAACTCATGTTGTTGTTTGTCCTTCATTTTCAGAGGACTAATGACATCACAGGGTGAAGTCTTGACTTGCATGTGAATTGGATTTAAGTGAGGCAGAGTTATGCAAAGTCTCAGCCTCACTCTTCTCTTCCACAATCATCGAAGTCCAGTGGCAAGACAAAAATCAAGATGACTGGCAATGGCCTGGGAGGCAGTGGATGATGGTGGTGTTTTCAATGTCTGACCAAACTAGTGCTCTACAGAGCCCATTTTGGCTGCCTTCATGGCCATTGGAACAAACTGTTCTTTTCCACCCATTTTGCCAGGGGAAGTCTTCAAATGCTTGTAAGAGACATCCTCCTGACTCACTGACAGGTTTGAGGCCCATCAGTTACCTTTAACCTGGTTTAGCCCATCTGCCAAGATGTTTTATTGGGGTGTGGCCACTGCAAATGCTATAGCTTCTTCGAGCCACAGGTGAGAGTTGAGTGAGAGATAGACACTAAAAGTGGATAAGCAGCCCTGAAAAGGCTACCCTCATAGTCTTGTCATGTAGTCTGTTGTGAACATAAATTTCTTTCCCCAGAATTTAGAATACAAGTTTCTCAAATTTCAAAAGAAGCCTTCTTAACAAATACAATTCTCCTTATGAAAAAAAAGATAAAGAAGAAGTATTACAACAAGTCAACTCAGGTAGAAAGAGGGACTCTTTTCAGATTGGTTCAACTACAGGTTGAGGTCCATAACAGGGAGTTTTGATCAAATCTACTCTCAGTACTAATACTTTAAAAGATAAAAAAAAATGTACAATTTAACAGAAATGGCCTTGATGTTTTTGTGTTTTAATATACACAAGAGGAGATTAGGTTTACTCTAAATTTCAATTCGATTATACCTCCTTCAATGAATCCTTCCTAAACTATTCCTGTTGGAAACTGTCTCTTCCTGCTAAAGCACATATTGACTGGCACCATTCATCCTAGTCTATGATCATTAACTGTCATTCTTACTTTTATCTTTGTTTACTAGCTTAAGTTTTCAGAACTAATAAAAAAAAAGGAAAAGGAAAGAGACATTATCAATTAATAACACTAAGATTTTAGTTCTGATCCTATAAACTTAGTTCTCATTTTACTAACACTTGCAGTGCAAAGAATCAGATGTTAATAAACATATATTCAAGTCAGATGCTATACAATGTATAATTATATTTCTCCAGAAAAATATGCCCAACATCAGTGAAAATATCCTAAATATTTCCCACTACACTCAGATAGACTAATTCAGATTTCAGGACAACCCATTTTTATACCCTAGGTCTGAGAAAGCACAAGAAGCTTTCAATTAAGAAAACTGATAGACTTATATAATGGTTAAATTAATTTAGTCCTTCAAAGGATTTGTACTAATCATGAGCATTTCCCATGCAAGGATTTCAATTAATTAAGTCTAGGACTGGCCTACGGACTTAGATTACAGCCAAATAGGGGCTGGTATACCAGATATGAGAACCTATTCTAAAGGAGGAATATAATCTTAGATCAGTACCAGAATAAAGTTATCCTCAACCTACACTTAAGGCAGAATTACATAGTGGAAAAAATGCAATAGACTGTGAGGGAACAAAATAATAAAGCTGGTACCAGAAACTAAGTATGTGACATTGGACATGTCGCTTAACCCACCGTATTCTGTTTTTCATCTGTAAAATAACTAAAATACATGATCTTTGAAGTGTCTTTGAGCTATAGAATTCCATTTTAATAAAGGATAATAAATAATATATTTATAAATAAATAACTAAAATACACGTGTGTGCATATGTATAATTCATATTCCAAACATGTCTAATATCCTACTAAATGCAAAAAAGCAGATTTCTAGCTAATAAAAGTAAAATAAGCTAGTACATAAAAGGTCTCTGTAACTTCAAAATGGGGAGACTTATAATGAATCATTTTATAAGTCACTCTTATTAAGCAACATTATTTTATAAATCACTCTAAGAAACACTCACAAATTATGCTGGATCCTAACAAAAAAGAGGGGCAACAGAAATTTTAGAAAATTAATTTACCAAGAAATACCAGGACAATTAATTAATTTGGCTTTTTGCATCAAATTAAAAGGTCAGTAGGAAAAGTATAACATATAAAACTATTTTAAAACTATAAAACTATAAAAATAAGAATTGAAATCATCAACCAAGAAAAATACTACACACTGGCAAACAATTACTATTCATGATGCTAAAGTTAAAAACTTTCATTAAATATGTTCTTAACATTAATATAATTCTCATCCCTAGTAGCAGAGTATTAATAATTAGTCACATAAGTAGTATTATGGGCAAAAAAAATCTTTTCTTTCTTTTTTTTTTTAAGCTAAGGAAGTATGGTTTTCCAAAAAGAAAAAAGTAAAATAAAGATTTAAAGTATAAACAGACTGCAATTTTCTAAAACATAGACCCTTATTCCACTTCTGAAAAGAATTCCTTAAACACTTATATATATGTGAAATATTTTAAATTCTCCCAATATGAATTTTAAAGAATATAAAGTAATTTAAATTCATCTTGTATGTATGTCTTGACAGGTTTGTGAACCACAGAATACAGTTTGTTTTTTTTTTGAGAAAAGCAATGCTGCTTTCCAAGCTTTTGTGCCTTACTACTTACTCTAGAGAAAGAATGAATAATCAGAATATCGCAATTGTTTTCTAACAAAATACAACTGTATGATAAAAAAAGAAAAAATTAGGAGTCCTGTTAAAATAAACAGGTGAACAATTGAATAAAAACAGAAAACCTCTATGAGAAATAGTCAAAACATATTTCCAATATGTGACTAAATGGAGAAATAAGAAATATTAATAACTAAATGGAATTTTCCCCCTAAAAATACACTTTCAAGTTGATTTCAATACGACAATTTCCCATTAAATATTAATCATGGCAACAAGAAAAAATTAATTAAAAATTATTCATATGGGATATTTTTATGTAAAAGTATGGTAAATAACCATGATTAGACATTCTTTAATATTTAAATCAAGTGCTATTTATATGCATAAACCTGTTAATCAGGAAATTGTCACTGATTACACAACATTAATAAATAACACTTACAAAGTTCAACATTAAATATAATAGAAATCATCTCTAAAATCCAGCCTTTAAATTAAGGTACCAATTTGAAAAGGTTCAATTTTAATAGGTTTAATTTAGAATCATAAATCCTAACAGCTGTTTACATAAACAAGTAGACTCCTTTGAAACCTCATCCAACAGGGAAGAAAGGGGATACAAACTCATTACGAAAACAAACTAAACTGGGAATGACATTACAGATAAGATCTAAACTTGCTAACAACTTTGCACAGTTTGGGCAGGGACAGAGCAAAAAGAAAGAATATTTGCTTGAAGTGAAAAACTCTCCAAAAAATCCCTGAAAAACCAACATTCTTCTTTTTCAGGCTGACCATCTTCTCTCTGATTTATTCAGGTTGCCCTCCACTTTCAGTGATTCTGTTTAAAGTAGGCATGAAGACAGACTAAAGGGTAACATGGTAGAGTAAAAAAGCACTGGCTTCAAGTCAAGGGAGATTCAAGTTTAAATCTTGGCTCTGATACTTACTACCTGTGGACCACGGACCTTTACTAATTCTCAGTTTTCTTATCTGTGAAACAGACTTACATCATACATGTCACAATGAAGTTGTCCCTTCAAAACTTGAAAGCACCAAATGCACATGAGCTACTGCTACTACTACTACTACTACTACTACTACTACTACTACTACTACTACTACTACTACTACTACTACTACTACTACTACAGGCTCTCCTTGGCAATCACATTGGAAGAGCCCAGTAACATGGCATTCTTTATAGCTACCTGTATTTTTTGCCCAATCTCTATTTTCTAACTTCTGCCAGATGACCAAGGAAAACACATAATGTTAAGCAGTCTGAATGCCCTATGTGGTTGTTTTAAAAAGGAAAGAAAAGATGCAAGACTTCTGGAAAACACCCCAAATTCTAATATAAAATGACCCCAAGAAGTAACTAATTCAAAATAACTCACTTGTTCTTAAGAGAGGGACTGCTGATTCCAGAACAGAGATGCAGAACTGGGGAAGACTAAGTTGCTGGAATTGTAGCTCCAATGTATCCTCAATTTCTAGCTCTTGAAGATCAGTCTGTACCATATCCAAAGGTGAATGGATGGAAGGTCTAGGAACTGTACTACTTTCACTGTAGAACCAACAATAAACACCAAAAATGAACTTCAGCAATTCAGTTGGTAAATATTTATTAAGTGCCTATTATAAGGCATTGTCTTAGGCACTAGAAATTCAAAGATAAAATAAGATACAGTCTCCTGTTGCAATCTAATAGAGTCTATAAAACAATGTAGCTATAATAAAAGGAAGGAAATGATCAAATGACCAATGTAAAGAGGAGACTGAGGACTATTAATAGTTGGAGGAGAGAGATATTCCTTGCAGTTAGTGGGCACTATTGGTGGTGGGAGTGAGGATCAGAGAGGGCTTCATAGGAGGAGGCACCTGAATTTACCTTTGAAGAAAGGGAAGGCTTTCAACACATGACTCTGTGGGGGAGACTATTCCATGCATGGATACAGAAGAAGGTAAGACAAGAAAGAAGGACAGTGAGTAACCTAGCATGGCTAGAATAGAATACAAGAAGGGGAATCATATAAAGGTTAGAAAAGTAAAAATTGAGCTAGATCATGAGGGCCCCTGAATGCTAGGGAAAAATTTACACCCAATTTGGAAGGCAGAGGAAGTCACCAAAAGTTTTTGAACAGGAGTGTCATGATCAAGGTGGTCCATTAGAAAAACCCAGAAAGTGATGAAAGATGGACTGGAAAGAAGACAAACTAGGACCAAAAAAAAAACAAAAAAAACAGTTAAAAGTCCATTATAATGAACCAGGCCAGAGCAATATGGTTCCGAACTAAGGTGGCAGAGGAGTGAAAATAAGGAAATAGGTGGGAAATACTGCAAAAATTCCTCTCAGTAAAGGAATGAGGATCTACTACTGGAGAATGTTGTATACATAGTCAGATACTATAACTGGGTTCAGTGTTTTTGCTTAACTACTTTTCTTTGTTACAATTTGAAGGGGCACACAAAGGGGATATATTCTATAAATAACCACGATATAAAAGAGACACTCATGAATAAAACTTATTTTTTTTAAAGTAGAAGGGAGGACACAGATATAGGGGGACATCTAGTGACATAAAAAAAACAAAAAGAGATGAATAAAAATGCGTTTTTTAAAATGCCCTGAAAGTATAACTGACAGAACTTGATAATCAACTGCAGATGACAGAATGAAGGAGAAGGAAGGCCCAAGTTATGAATCTGAGTAACTAAGACACTTGTGATGCTATAGTTTCTGGTTCATGATCAGTTTTAAGCATGTTCAGTTTGAAGTGCCAGTCAGACATCTGGATGGATATATACAGTAGGCAAATGGAAATATGAAACCATATCTGTGGAGAGAATCTGGAGATAGAAATATATGCTTGTTCCTCAGAAGAGATTTACTACATATTTATAATTTTGCTTATAGGAAGTTTCATATTGCCCACATTTAGATTTCTTCTTGCCAAAATCCTAAGCAAATTAAGTAGTGGATCCCTAAACAAATACCTGATTAAATTCTACTAAAAGTGGCTCAAAATTATAACTGAAGCAAAAAAATTAATTTGTATTTTGTTCTTCCAATAGATTTGGAACCATGTTACACATTTCTGAAGCAATAAGAAATTCTATCATTCATCACATGACTCAATTCTATAGAAAAACAAACCAACAGATCTACAGCACAGTCCTGAAATTAAGTTAGAAATTTCAGAAGAGATGAGTCATGGAGCAACCTAGGGCAGTGGACAGAGCACCACCCTGGAGTCAGAAGATCTGAGTTCAAATCTGGCCTCAGATGCTTAGTATCTATGTGACCTGTTGAAATCACTTAACCCATTGTCAAAAAATAAATAAATAAATAGATAAGGCATATAATCTGGTAGTCTTTCAGTGATTCTTACAAAATGTTTCCAATATCTATTTATCTTCTTTCTCATGACCTCAAATTTTTTTTTCATTTGAACTTGTCCAACTCTATCTGGAAAAGAATGTTAACAAAGGAAAAGAGCAGAGATCTAATTTAATTAATATACTTAATACAAAATGAATTTTAATAAGTCTTACAAAATGCAACATTCAAAAGAAGTCAGTAAGCTCTGCACATTAAAGTAATACTTAATGGGATAGGCCTTTCTCACAACAGAAAGAAGCCTTAGGATACCACGTTTGCCTGGTGGAAGAGAAAATATCAATAAACATTCAACAAGGAATTCACAACAAGGAAAACCCCTCCTCCCTCCCCACATACAAAAAGATGTTAGAAGAATAAAAAGAGGGAAAAAAATACCTAATTGAAATTTTCTGTTTCATAGGGAAAAAAAATCCACATCCCTGGTTGATGACCATAATGATCATCTGATATACTGTAATGACTATACGAGGATAGGATATAATCTATATAGAAGGGATAAGGACTGGACCTGTTTCACTGGTATAAGGAACTTCCAGATGAGGAAATTCCTCCTACCAATGCAGTTCAGCACCTTCTCACGGCATAGAGAGCTGCCTGGAACATAAGAGGTTAAGTGATTTGTCAAGGATCACAAACAGTCAGTATGTATCACAGGCAGGACTTGAATCCAGGTCTTTATGTCTCTTGGCCTACTCTCTATCCATTATGCCATGCTGTCTCCCATATACAAAGATAAACATAAACCATTTTCAAAATGCTTCTGGACTAAGGATAAAGCATATATCAACACTTACCACTGCATATCCAGACTAAGTTTATTTTTAAACACATTCAACATAGGAAAAATCTAAAGTTAAATGAAAAGTAAATCAAGGAGCTAATTCACTTTTTAAACATTTTTGATTTATGATAGAATTACAAAGGATTCTTTAGATAATATAGTTCTTTATACATTTAAAATGTTGGCATTTACAAAAAAATTTAAGACACATAATGTTTAAAGCTAAGTCTACATGTATATACTGCTTCAAAGAGAAGAAATGCTTCTTTCCTAATACAGAAACAGAAACAGAGATGCAATGAGAAGTAGTGGTCAGAACGTTGCTCTTATAATTAAGAAATCTAGGATTCAAGTCCCATCTCAGACATTTCCTAACTACATCACCATCAGTAAATCACTTAACCCCCCCACATGCTTCAGCTTACTTTCTAGGACTTATCAACCAGGTCCAGAAGAGTTATAACCAGCTTTGGTGAAGGAAGTTCCCACATCAGAAACTTCCTACACCAGAATGAAAGCTTCTTGCAAGTAAGGATTGTTTTTTTCATTCTTTGTACTTGTTTCCTTAGTGCCTATACTGTCTAGCACACAGCAGGTACTTCATAAATATTTATTGACTGGCTGATAAAAATCACAGATCCTTCATATAATCCCTTTTTGATATAAACAACAACAACAACAAAAAAAACCCAACAGAGATATTCTAACTGTTAAGGTAATTTCACTAATCCATCCACTTTCATTACTTTCACCTGGAAGATACTGTATCCCAATCCTGGCCATCTCCTCTGGGACGCAAGCCTATGTGTCCAACTACTGAAGGTCGAGGGCTACTGCTTCCCGGGGAAGTATTCTGGGAATGATGGGTACCTCTTGTTTCACGGCTATAGGACAAGGAAGAATTCTGGGAAACTGTGTCTAAGAGAATAAAAAATAAGAAATTCATCAATAATTTATGAATTAGCCAAAAGCATTAGAAGTTTTTACATACAATTCTTCCAAAGACCTTTTGTAATTTTAAAACCCTAGGTTTGTGCCTATCGTATGCAGTCGTAAGCTGAGGCAACAGGATGTGGTACAACGAGCACTGGACTTAGAATACACAGAAAACTAAATTCAAATGTCAAGCCCAACACTTAACCAGTTGTGTGACCATGGGCAAGTGAGTTGACCTCTAAGCATCAACTTCTTCATCTGTAAACGAGCCTGTGCTACCTACAGCACCAACCTCAAAGGGCTATTGAGAGGAAAAATAAGTAATGCACTTTGTAAACCTGAAATAAAGCATTATGAAAATGTCAGCTATTACATAAATGTAAGATTTGGAAGCTGGAAAGGACCTAAGAAAGAAACTGATGCCCAGCTGAGTTACAATGCCAATGTCACAAATACAAGTATTAAGTATCAGGGCAGAGATTAAAATTCAGGCCCTCAGATTCTAAATCTACCATATCATGATACCTCTATTTATTTGGCATAGCTTTACAGTTATGCCTGGCAGAGAAATAATTTTCATATCGAATGCCTTAAAATGAGTATTTGAAACTTCCCAGTCAATATAATTCACTTTTAACATTAACCAAGTAGGCTCCCACAGTACGGCGCAAAAAATCATTCAGAGTTATCTGCTAGCTAGGTCTTCCTAAAGGGGTACTAGGTACTCAGAAATTCCTAGCTATCAATCAGTCATTTACTCTTAGTGGTATTAATAGTACATATCAGAACTACAAATCAAAGACTACGTAAGTCTTCTGAGTTGTCTGAAAAAGCATCTTTCAAGTGGCTTTTCCATTTAGTAAATTCTTCCGATTATTTATAATAATGCAACAACTGTGGTTGCCTAAATTTCCAAGTATAACAGCATCATTCAGAAATCTCAGTGAAAAAGCAAATTATCTGTGCAATGTTATGACAAAGTACCACCAATTTATTATCATATTCCGCTGTCAACTAATATTGCAAGATTTTTATAACTCAGAAATCACAAGTTGCAAATACTACTTTGATATTCTAATAACAGTTATTCTATTTTATCACTAGATGGTGCTTCTTTCTGAGCAGATTAGCATAAATAGAATTTGGCCCTTGGCTAAAGTTCCTCTCAGGTGTAAGCACATATGCATTTTTTTTCTAAAGCTGTACTCACATTCTCTTAGCCAAACCAAAGCCTTCATTTATACAAAGTATACACGCAACTATTTATGCAGCAATACTATACCAAAACACAATCAGAGCAATATTTGATATTAACAAAATGCTTCCCCTCAACTCCTCACAGGAATCTTGGAGATAATTTAGTACAACACTGTCATTTCATAGAAGTGTTAGAGAAGGCGCAGAATGGTGACAGTATTTGCTCTAAGTCACAAAATAAGTATACTCTATAAAGGTAATTGATATTTCATCAGAAACCATGAATTTCTTCAATAATGCTCTATAGTAGATTTCTACACTTGGCAATCTCTACTCTGCTTTCTCCTACTATGATTCCTAATCTTCTTTTGAAGCCGTCGTTAAGGACCACTAGTTTCTACTGTTACTCAAGTAATTATCACCTACTTGCTCCAATTGCTATAATCATTAACAACCAGGGGATATCTTCCTATTAGTATGTCCTGTCTCAAATCAAGATGAACTTATTAAGCTGACTAAAAATATAATTGACTTAAGGTTTCTTCCTTCCCACTTAATATTTTCTGGTCTGTGCAGTAAATTTTTTAGCCAAGGCTAAGGTAACACTAGCTCCTAGGAACACTGTTGTTTAAGAAACCTCCAAACTTGTTCTGCAAAACCTTAAAGGATTTGACATTGTGTCAAAAATAAATGAATGCTTCTTGAAATGAATATCAACATTAATTACATATAATTTTTTTTACATGTTGAAATCAATTTTTTCCTGCGATAGCATCTTTGAAATCATAACAGAAAGTCATTGAGAAAAAAGTTAGTATAAAACTATTCAATATGCTCTCAAAAGCAGTCAGTTCATCCTTCAGCAGAGAAAGGAACCTTAAAGGCAAATGACTCTTTAAAAAAAAAAAGGCATCGATAAAACTCTTTTAAAGTATACTGGGCCAAATGGCCTCTAAAATCCTTCTAAAACCTAAAAACCTAAAATTCCACAACATAAATCCAGGTAAAGCCACAAACTTCTTACTTTTGATTCAGCTGTATTAATTTTTTCACACTACTAAGCATTTAATATACTACAAAAAAAAAAAACAAATAAAAGTTTGGTGAGCAAGAAAATGAAAATGAACATTTTATTCCCTTTTCACCAACAATATTAAGCCATTGTTTCATCAGCATTAAACCTTGAACTAATCACAAAATTAATATCAAGTAGATGAAAACATAAGAAATACAAAGATGATAACAGTAACCAGAAATATAATTATGGCCAATAGCTCCCAAGAACACTTTAGTTACATTATTATCATCAGTATGAGAACGGAAAAATGTAAATACTTGGAGAAAAAATAGCTGGAAATAGTTCTATTACGTATATGCAGTCTGTACTTTTTAAAAATAAGAATATGTGGGGAAGAGAATGGGTTTTGTACTGTTAAGTTATACAAGCTCTATTCTATACCATTATACACTGTAGATTTTTTCCATTGTAGTTGTACATACAGCCAGAGTCTAATGAAAAAAAATAAAAATAAAAAGACCTTGTTTAAAGGAGAAAAATCCTGGATCTCTGTGAAAGTTAAGTCTGTTTCTCAAATACACGCACAACTGTTGCAGACATGACACTGCTTTTAATGCTAAACGTGGCTGCTCATCTCTTCCAAATGCCAGATTCAACAGAGATAACAGATTCTGAAATAAATAACAATAAAAATTATTATAGGAACAATATATCTGATTTTCTGCAAATAATTACAGAAGCTAAATGTGATTAGATTTTCTTGGGTTAAGGACCCTTCATCAAAAAGAATAAATAAATTTATAAATATTATAAAGGAACATGAACCAAAAGGCCAAAAATTATTTAGCATAGAAATATTATTCTAGCTCACATTTAGATAGTAGTTTACAGCCCACAAAGTGCTATCCTCATATCATATCTGTAAGACAGGTAATACAAGTATTATTATCTCTCATTCAACAAATGAGAAAGTTAAAGCTCAGAGACATTAAGGGCCTTGCATAAAGTAACATGGTTAGCCATCAGCAGAGGTGACGTTTGATTCTAGGTCTTCTGAATTCAATCCAATACTGTTTCCACTCCACCAGGCTACAACAGTGAAACTGAATCAGAAATAAGAGAAGAATTGAAGAAAAAGAGCCAAAGCTTGCTAACAGTGAAATCCATGTTTAAAAAAAAAAAAGGACTAGGAAGGAAAAAACTGAAGGTTCCCCAATATAGAATTTTTCAATTAACAGAATAAAGTCTTTATCTTCTAAGGAATTATTAACCTTTTCACCATCTCTAATTCTACATTATTTAATCAACCTGGCTTTCAGAAATTGAAAGAGTCCACTATCAATTCACCTTCCATTGCCTTCACCTACCAATACTGAAAAATTGAACATGAAGTGTTTCATTTCATTTTAATCCCAGGGAATGTATTATATATGACCTTTCAACCCCATAACTCTGATCATGCAGTATTAACTGATTATTTCCAAAACTGAATGTTATAGCATTTCTGGATGCACCTGAAGATGTGCCATGGGTTGTATGGGCCATAATTCCCTGCCCAAGGTCCCTAACCCTTCAAGATATGGTAGAAGCAATTTAAAAGGGCAATTCAATTCAAAAAGTATTTATTAAGGTCCTACTAAATACACTGGGCAACTAGGTAGCTCAGTGGATAGAGCAATGGGCTTGGAAACAGAAGACTCATCTTCATGAGTTCAAATCTAGCCTCAGATTCTTAACCAGCTGTGTGATCCTGGGCAAGTCACTTAACCCTGTTTGCCTCAGTTTCTCATCTATAAAATGAGCTGGAGAAGAAAATGGCAAACCACTCCAATAACATTGCTAAGAAAATCCAAAATAGAGTCACAAAGAGTCGAACACAACGGAAATGACTCAACAACAATAACAGGGGTTGCAAACAAAAAGTAGAAAAACAGCGCTTGGCCCCAAGGAGCTCATACTGCAAGAAGCAACATAAAAATATGTAAGTAAAGACAAGGAATATGAGGAGAGAGTGCACTAAAACCTAAATCCCAAGGATTCCCATGGAAGGTGGCACATGAATTGTATCTTGAAGAATGCTAAGGTTTGAGAAAAGAAGGAATACATTCCAGGAGTGGAATTTATTGTATATCCAGACTATACAAAAAGCCAAGATATAACACCAAGTTCAAGGAACAGAAAGTCTAGTTTGGCTAGAATATAGACTATGTCAAGGGTGGTCATTTGAGGTAAGTTTAGGAGAGGTAGGTTGAAGTCAGATTGTGAAGAGCAACCTGAGGATTCTGTATTTCATTCTAAAGGCAATAGAGAGCCACTGAACTTCACTGAGTAAAGGAATGACATGGTCAGAATTGTGCTTTAAGAATATTATTTGGTCAGGTGAGTGAAGAGCAGTTTGGAGAGGGGCAGCGCTGAAAGCAAGAAGGTTACTGCAACACTCCAAGCAGGAAGTGAGCGCCTAAACAAGAATGCCACACATGTAAGTATGAGAAAGGAACAGGTGGCAGGACGAATGCTGTAGAGGTAGACTACTGCCCTTCTGCCCAAATTTTACAAGGCCCAAGATCCCCTCTCTCCCATCCATATATGGTAAATTTAAGGAATTCAAACCACATTCTACATGGCAGCTACGAACTGAGCTGCTTCCAACAATGAGGTAGCCATTAACCAATTTTTCAAAATGTATAACCTTGGCAAATGTAAAATATAAAAATTTTGGCATATTATTACTATCATCATCATTATTATTATTATTATAAAATTCTCTTCAGAGATTCCCACTTTGCTTTTGTCTTATTGATAAATACTAATTTAAAATACTAATTTTACCAAATATTTTAGCAAATATAAAGATATTACTAAATATCCTTACCTGAATAATCTTTGGCCGATGAAGGAAAATCTCAGGAGGAAAATCCTGCATGATAACATCTTCCAACAGTTCACATGTATTCCAGACTAAAGTGAAGTTACTACTTCTTAAAGAACTAAAACAAATCAAGGTATTATTTAGACAAACAATCTACTTGCACATTAAAGATCAATATACTTTAACAACTCTATTAGAGGATGCATTTCAACCACATACTTCATTATTAGAAATTTCATTATCAGAGGTAGAAATATTTCAAGAGGCATAGGAAGGAACATGTTCCATGAAAGTGATTCTTTCCATGCCATACCTCAGTTAGGATCCTTTCCTTCTCTATCCACTCCAAGTTGGGCACATAACAGCTCCCCTCCCTCTTGGTCTTACAGAAGGTACTAGGTACCTTTGAGGACTTTGTCCTATCCTGCAACTTAGGGCCAAAACCTTTCAGTCACCTCTGGTGACCAAACCATGAGAGTTCTATGAGTATATGCTTCCAACAATGAGGTAGCCATTAACCAATTTTTCAAAATGTATAACGTTGGCATATGTAAAATATAAAAATTTTGGCATATTATTACTATCATCATCATCATCATTATTATTATTATTAAAATTCTCTTCAGAGATTCCCACTTTGCTTTTGTCTTATAGATAAATACTAATTTAAAATACAAATTTTACCAAATATTTTAGCAAATATAAAGATATTACTAAATGGTATCCTCAAAACACCTGTCTCCTTCTTATCTGTAGTATCATCTAATCATCACTTTACTCATGGATGGCACTATACAAATGAGGCAGTCTTCACCTTCCATATGGTTTATATTTCAGGCCAGACAACACTAGCATGAACAAAATACCATACCACAAGCTAGCTGCCACTAGTTGGCAGGCAAGCCAGTCATGACAATGCAGTAAGTCACCCCAAGGGAGAGACAGGAGGTAGCTTGAGCAAGGAGGCCCTAAGACCCAAGATCTCTTTCCTTACTCCCCCTTTCCACCCAGGTGGCTGCCTAAGGACTCTGTGTCCAAAAGACTCATGTGTAGCAGGCTCTGGCACCACCCCCACTGCCATCCTTTCAGGGAAAGACACCAATGGAAACACAGGCCTGGTAGCTCCCAATGCCAGCACTGTAACCCTCACACTTCTTCAGCAGCCATTGCTACTTAATATCAAAAATGAAGCTACTCCCAACTACTGTGCTTGGTGCTCTCAAATGGCTCAACGTAAGAAAAAAAAATAATAAGGAATAGGAGGGTAAGTGGACAGGATAAGGTAATAGGGATGGGTAAAAATTATGATTTTTATGATAAACTATGATTTCCCTTTGCCTCTTCAGATCTTAATTTTTCTTTATTTTCTCACTAAAGATCTTCTAGGAGTGGGGATAAAGACAAAGTATAGAGAAAAATAACTGATTTTTTTGTTCTCTTTGATAACTTGGGAAGCGAAAAGGCATTTAAGCGGCTTTTAACTCCTCTTCTAGGAAGTAGACTTGCCTCCACTCTGAGCATAGAACAGGTGGCAGTCATTTGTCCATGGAAGATATTCAAATACCTTACTCTCTGTTCAGGTCACTGAAAGTTTTTCCCTATTCACCTCCTTATTTGTTCAAAGTGAAATCCTCAGTTTTTGTCATGTTTTTCTAGTAGCTCTCTGCAGAAAGGCTACCAAATACAGTTGGCAGTCTAGTTTGGCTGGAAGTGAAGTCATGTGAAATAAGATTAGAAAGAAATGTGGAGAGCCTTGAATGCCTGGCTAAGTTTATGTCTTCTCCAAGATATATCTACAAGAGAAAACAGAGAAACACTGAAGATTTCTGGAAAGAGGAACACAGAAGAGACTGGCCAGTGGGAAGACCAAATCAGAGACTTTTATAAATCACTCAGACTAATTTAAGATCATTCACAATATAGGCCTGCACCATTTTTTTGGATATAGCTTAATAACAATGAGACTAAGATTAGAAGTTTCATCCCTGCAGAGGCTCTTTCACAGCCACAAAATTCAGCTCTACTCTAAACACATCATCTGATGCATACAATTTACTACAAGAGAAATCTGTTAGAAGTGAGGCTGTATCACTACTACTATTAATATAATTCAAAATATAAGTCAATGGTTGTATCTACATAAATAAAAAGCTAGCTTAAAAAAAAGTACCAACATACTGGCTAAGAAATAGAGTGGCAGACCAGTGGAACAGGTTAAGTATGCAAGACACAGTAGTCAATGACTACAGTAATCTATTATTTGATAAACCCAAAGACCCCAGCTTCTGGGATAAGAACTCACTCTTTGACAAAAACTGCTGGGAAAACTGGAAAAGAGTATGGCAGAAAGTAGGCACAGATCAAAATCTGACACCATATACCAAAATAAAAAGTCAAAATGGGTTCATGATTTAGATATAAAGGCTGATACTGTAAGCAAACTAGGACAGCAAGGAATAGTTTACCTATCAGATTTATGGAGAACAGAAGAACTCATGGCCAAACAGGAGATGGAGAACATTACGAAAAGCAAAATGGATAACTTTGATTACATTAAATTGAAAAGTTTTTGCACAAACAAAGCCAATGCAACCAAGATTAGAAGGAAAGTAGAAAATTGGGAAAGTATTTTTATAACCAGTCTCTCTGATAAGGGCCTCATTTCTAAAATACATAGAGAATTAAGTCAAATTCATAAGAATACAAGTCATTCCCCAATTGATAAATGGTCAAAGGAGATGAACAGGCAGTTCTCAGATGAAGAAATTAAAGCCATCTATAGTAATATGAAAAAATGCTCTAAATCACTATTGATTAGAGAAATGCAAATCAAAACAACTCTGAAGTACCACATCACACCTATCAGATTGGCCAACATGACAAAACAGGAAAATGATAAATGTTGGAGAAGATGTGGGAAAATTGGAACACTAATACATTGTTGGTAGAGTTGAAAAAAATGATCCAACCATTTTGGAGAGCAATTTGGAATTATGCCCAAAGGGCTATAAAAATGTGCATACCCTTTGATCCAGCAATAGCACTTCTAGGGCTACATCCCAAAGAGATCATACAAATGGGAAAAGGATTCACATGTTCAAAAATATTTATAGCAGCTCTTTTTGTGGTGGCAAAGAATTGGAAATTGAGAGGATGCCCATCAATTGGGCAATGGCTGAACAAGATGTGATATATGAATGTAAGGAAATACTATTGTGCTATAAGAAATGATGAACATGCTAACTTCAGAAAAACCTGGAAAGACTTGTATGGTCTGATGCTGAGTGAAGTGAGCAGAACCAGGAAAACGTTTTACAGAATAACAGCTACATTGTGAGATGACTAATATTGATAAATTTAACCCTTCTCAGCAATACAAGGATATAAGACATCTCCAAAGGCCTCGTGACGAAAAATGCTATCCACAAAGACGAAAGAACTATGGAGTCTGAATGCAGATCGAAGCATACTATTTGCTATTTTTTTTTCTTCTGCTGTGTTTTGTTTCCTCTTTCTGGTGGTTCCTCCTATTGGTTCTAATTCTTCCTTACAACATGACTAATGTGAAAATATGTTTAATAGGAATGTATATGTATAGCCTATATCAGACTGCATGCCATCTAGGGGAGGGAGGTGAAGAGAGAGAAGGAGAAAAATTTAAAACTCAAAAGCTTATGGAAGTGATTGCTGATAATTCAAAATTAATAAATTAAAATAATAAATAATGAAATGAAAATAATAAAAATAAATCAATAAAAATTAAAATGAATGAAATGATTAAATAATAATAATTAAATAAAATTTTAAGGTTTTTTGAAAATTAAAAATTAATTGACTGATTAGAATTAATAAAAATTTTTAAAAAATTTTAAAGCACCAACAAATAAAACTCAATTACAAAATCTATTTAAATTTTTTTTTGTCATTGGATAGCTTCCTTGAGGCTTATTTCAAGTAAGTCTGTATTAATTTTACTCAGTCTAGAGCCAATGACAACTTCATTTTGGAAAGTAATTCAAAGCATTTCAACATAAAATGAGTATAGACATTTACATAACTAATCAGTCCTAGAAAATATATAAGCCTTTGGCTGCCAAGGCAATATGCATTATTCCTACCCAGGTAACATATATTATATAAGGGTCTCTTGGCATATAAGTCCATATGACAAAAATTTGGTGAATATAAGCTGACTTCTTTTATTCACTTCACTGAGCGTAAGCACAGTTTAAAAATTAATAAGCTATTATATGGGACACTGAACAGTACCATCTGAAATAACAATTTAAACATTTCAGCTACTATACCTTTCATTAGAGGAAAGAACGTGTCTATCTGTGACAGTAAGCAGCAACCAAGGAAATGTGGAAAACTTCAAACATTTCACAGTCTGATTTACTGTTAATGAAATAGCAAAACATGTAATTATTATCACAGAATCACAGAATTTGGGTATTGCAAGCATTCTCAGAGGCTATCTACTTTCACCCATATTCAAAAGGTATCCCCACCATAATATACACAAAAAAATGGGGATCTAGCCTCTACTTGAAGGAGAACTATATTCATAGTATTCTCCTGATCTGCTAGCTTAGTAAGCCTGTCAAAAAAGAAAATAAGATTAGCCTGGCACAGCCTGTTCTTAACGAAGTCACACTGGCTTTCTGTCAGCACTGTTTCCTTTTCTAGACGTTCACAATAGAGCTATTTTTACAATCATCAAACTTCAGAACTTCCCTCCCTCATTAACAACAAAATGACAAGTAAAACAAGATTTCCATCATAAGTTCCATCTTACATCACAGGCACAACAAAAACACCTATGACTGAAGTCAAGCAAATATTTCATAAGACTTAATGACAGCAGAGTTTGATGGCAAGGTCTCCTAGAATGGCAATGTTTCCCACAGCTTATTTTATATTACCTATATACATTACCATATTCATAGGGATCTTTTTCCTAACCAAAGATACAGTTACATAGTATTAAATAGGTTACAGAAGCAAATGTGATAAGAAACATTCATCATGAACTAAGTTGGATAATCATCTTAGTTTCCATTGAAATTTCCATTTTGTCTGCCACCTCTCAACCTCACTGAGAAGTAATTTAACTGATATTGTTGTTGTTGAATCATTTCTCTGTGATCCCATTTGGGCTTTTCTTGGCAAATACATTGGAGTACTTTGCCATTTCCTTCTCCAGATTATTTTATAGATCAGGAAGTAAGGCACAGAGGAGTAACTAACTTGCCCAGGATCACACAGCTTGTAAGTGTCTGAGGCGAGATTTGAACTCAGGTCCTCCTGACTCCAGGGCCAGCACTCTATCCCGTGCCACCTAGCTATCCCTTAACTGATAAGAGAGTCAATTCTATAGGAACAGAAAGAAGGTTGGTTTGGCCAGATTGCAGAACGTGGAAGAGGGAGTAATTATCAAGTGGAGATCATCCCAACTTTACATATTAACAATAACAGACATATCATTCAATTAAATTAAATTAAGAAAAGTTCATTTTAAAATATTCATGATAGTATTACATGTTAAAGATTAAAGTTAAAGGGAAAAAAATTAAACAAGATGATGATCGTAGTTACAGATTCAGCCTTAGAACTCACATTAGAATGTCACTTTTCAATTAGATCATAGCAGTTAGCAGGAAGTTCAACAATACCAAAGATAAGTAAAACCTATAGAATTCACAAATGGTATTTTTCAAATGGTTCTTTATCACTCCAGAAGTTAAAGTAGCAGCACTGAAACAGTCTCTCCATATTTCCTTTCAAATGGCAAAGGCCATTGTGCAAATAAGGACAATGGCTGGGCAAAAATTTCAACAAGTTAAAGAACAGAGTTAATAGAGACAAGTACTCTTAGAACAAAAAGGAAAAGAAGCTTATCTCTGAAGTATGATCAAAGAATAAGGAGCTTTGGTATTATTTCTTTTAAATAAAAGGGAAAAAGTGGGAATTTTAGCTTACATACCGAGCTCATAAGGATTTTATTAATAATTAGGTAAAACTATAAAACATTAAACTAAAGAACTCTTTTAAGACAGCATTTTAACAATGTCAGACTCATTTTATGTGCTATTTTGCCAAACTGTTTTTTTTTCCTCCTCTTTTTCATTCTTTGTTACAAAGGAAAGCTTTCTGAGAAGGGGAGGGAGTAGAGATATTGGGAAACATAGATGACAAAAACAAGAGATATCAATAAAGATTTTAGTATTTTCTTCAACTCAGCTTTGAAATAAAATCCAGAAATTGAAAGATCTCTAACATTTTCATGAGCCCCACTCAAAGGCAAATCTTTACCCTTTCTGACATCCACACCTCCTCAATTGTTCCCTATATCACTATATCATTCAGTTCAGTGACTAATTACTAAAGACCTGCCTGCCTTATTCTGTGGACTAATGATACAAAACATGATGTCCACAGCACTTACTGAGACTCCATTGTGTCATCTCAAAGACAAAGTTAAAGTAAAACCTAACAAAAATTTTAGACAGATGAGAAATACATCAAGTTTTTAAAATAAACTATATTATATATAATAAGCACATAAGTCTGTTTAATTAAAAAAATTAAAAATCTTATCTACACCTCTAGAAATCCATGACTCTCTACTAGTTATTCTCTGTCCTCACTTAGCTTTCACTCTATTCTCTCTAATGGATAAGTAGGTTTATGTGCTTCCTGGGGCAGCCAAGGAAAAGTTTCCAAAGTGGAAATGCTTTAAATGCCCTCAAAATGCAAGCCCATAAGCAAACAGATATATCTTCAACTGATTTTCTGGCTGGTATATTTACTTGCCTCAACTGAAAGAATGTGGCCTCTGCATAATCTAAATTTTGCATTAGGCACTGTAACATTCATAACAATAACAAATTTACACAAAAGAGGAAACTTAAATTTAACAGAGAATACAGAAATGATCATCATAAATATACATACGCAGTGATCCTGAATAGCCTTCAGTCTGTGGGAGATTATTTATGTCCTGAGGAAAATATCCAGGTCTAATTTCATTTTCTTCTGGTAAAGCTGTAGAGAAAAAAAAATTATCAAAATTGTATCGGCTTGCTCTCTCTTCTTCGCTCCATGATAATAAAATTTACAATTCATAATTACTATCTTAGTTTTTACAAGCTTTTTACTCCCTCCCAACAAAAGTGTAAAAGGGCATTGTTTAGTGTTGCTCTCATCTGTAACAAGTGTACTATTCCCTAGAGAAAAAGTTACCAAATCCTACATTAGATAGGTATACTTTTTAAATTCCATCAATTTCAACCTAAAAAGTTCCTCCTCCAAACCATCAGCCCATTATTTTTCTATTAGACAAGTTCGATTATTTTAATTAATTTAATTATTTTAAATTAATTAAATTATTTTAATTAATTATATTTTTATTCAATTATTTAATTAATCATTTATTTATTATTTTAATTAATTTAATTAATTTAAACCTTTGGATTGACACAATGGACTAGTTGAAGGTTTTGTTTCCAGGATCTTTATTTCACCTTCTCACTTTGGATTTATCCAATCAATCAATAAAGATTTATTAATAAGGGCCAGGCACTAAAGTGGGCATTGGGAATATAAATACAAAAAAAATGAAACAATCCCTGCTCACAACAGGCTTACATTCTAATGGGGAGAACAACATGTATACACATAAGTATATATAGAATATACACATAATAAATATAAAATTAGGACTAGCTAGTCACAGAAGGAGATCCCTCATTAGAAAAGAGTTGAACCTACCACTATATTAAACACGCAAGGGTGCTTCATCAAGAGGACTACTTTTCTTTGTAGAAAGTCAATTTTTTTTTTAACCCATCAACAGGTAGCTTTAGGAAAATGAGATTTTTAAAGCAATAGATCTTATTAATTTCAGATTACCAGTTTTTGGTCCACATACAAATGGCTTGGTTTGGAAAAATGTAGAACGATGATACAAGGAAGAACCATCTGAAGGAAGAATAAATAGGCCATCCATAATACCATCAATTTCAGCCTGCAAATCTGGATCCACATTAGGACGAAGCATGGAGAAGAACTCATATGCACCAATATCAAACAAATGTTGGACTGCTGATGGATGCTAAAATGAAAAGAAAACAGTCTTTTGAGAACAGCTATAAACAAAAACTACATTTCATGCAGGCAAAGATAAAACTTTGGCCATCATCTCCATATCCTCCTCAAAGAAATCTTAAAATCTAGCCCTGGAACAACCCTGGTCTCTGCTAGGCCATCATATCACTTCTCAGTCATCAGCTCCTAAACATAATACCTAACACATAGGACCCCCCTCTTCAGCTTCCAGCCTCCATTATGTATCGTATTCTGCCACTTTAATGTAAATTCAGTGAGGGCAGTGATGTTCTTGTTCCTTTATATTTGTATCCCTAACATTTAACACAATGTCTGGCACATAATTAGTACTTAGATAAATCCTTTATGCATTTTATCTGTCTAACCTCAATCTTCCAATTTTATTTTTTCACTACTTTTCTACTACTATTCCCCAAAGGAATCAAAAGATTATGACTTACAGAATGTTTTCAGAAATACATATAACAAAATATCTGATAACTACCAGGAAAAAAAGCTCAACAACATGATTCTCTAAAAGCACACAGAAACACAAGTTGACAGGAACATAGCCTGGCTCCCTTCTTTCAAGAGCCATCTAGTTTTGAGTGATTCATGGTCTCCCAGAGCAGCTATTCCACAGCTCTCCAGGTATTTCTCAGGACCCCCGTATCACCACAGGAAGTCTCCCTGGCCTCCTTGATCAGCTGTTCTATCCAGCTCCAGGCCCTCTCTCAGACTCCCTGAATCAACAGGAGCCACACACTACTGCCTGACCCCTGGGATAATTTAATTTCCAGGCTCATACTCCATGGACGATAATATCATATCTGAAATCATTCTTCAATGTTTTAAGATACTGTCAACCCATCACTCCCTCTCCATCCTACTGATTCTGTATTCCCAGTGACAGACTCCTAATAAAGCTGCCCACAGTCCCAATATTCTAACTTCCTTATGGGCCTCAGTAGTCAGCAGGCATATCCTGATTTAACTACACAATCTGGCCTTAACCACACCACTGCCCCATAGGCATCACTGAACAGCAGGCCTACTATCCCTAGCTAACCACTGCCCCCCTCACCCCACTCAATATCCTAACTTCCTCATATATGCCTCACTGGAACAGAAGGCATGTCCATGAACTCATGCCCCACTAGAATAGCAGGCACGTCCATGTGATGGAATCCCATCACTGCCTCTAGCTAGCCACTGCCCTCAGACCCTTTCCTCACATTTCTCATAGAAACTTCAGGTGTGTCCATGGACTCAACCACAACCATATCCATCTAATCTCTGACAGGACCACAACAGCCAGCCAATCAAACGAGGCAGTGGTCCTCTACTGGAAGATACAGCAAGTATGGCTATTGCGGCTCCCCCCAAAGCTTTGTTTCTTGGAGCCTGAAAACTGAGAACACCAAACCATTTGTAAGGGCCACTGGATTACCGAGGACAGTTTGGCAGTCTGGACACTGTAGAAATTGGATCTTGAGCCTGTTGGAAATCTAGATGTCATGGATAACCCTTGATTTCCCGATTTGGATATGGCTGTGGACTCATTAAGTGTTTTTGTCCCTTTATGGCAGGTCTTTGTGTAACCTTTTTAAAAAATCAACGATTACCACTACTGGGTTGCCTGCAGCATTCCGAGATCTTGAGATTTTGTTCATGGCATTCGCCAGTAAGATCTCCATCTTGAAACACGTCTTCTTGATTGCTTCCTCCTGTTTGTGTGAAGTATTTTGTGTTTGTTGTGGCTAAGCCACTCAGGTCTACCAGGTAACTACTACCCCCTTTTGAAGTATCCTGGGATTGTACCTGGAAATTGGGATTTAGGAAAAGCATTGTTTATGGCACAATGCTTAATGCTTCTTAGAAATGAGAAATCTTTGAGCTCTTCTGTACACAGCTTTCTATTCCCTGTGACTAAGAATCTTCCTAATAAATCCATACCAACATAAAAAAAAAGACCTCATATAGTAAGTGAACTCTATGCTGTGCTTTGAATAAAGTTAAAGATTCTGTGACATAGGGATGAAAAGGGAACAATTTTCCACTATACAAAGCAGAATATAAGCTCCTTAAGAGCATGAGCTGTTTTGTTTTTGTCTCTAAATCTCTAACACAGAGCCTTGAAAATAGCAGGTACTTAATACATTTAATGAACTGAACTTAATCAATGTCCAACTATCTCAGTTTCCCTTAATCTTCACTATTCAAAAATACATAGTACTGGTCACAAAGGAAAACATATGTTCTACTGCAAGCATCATCATTTTTACATATGCTTCCTCCTCATATAATTACTTCAAGAAGTCGGAACAATCCTTACACTGATGCAAATCACAAGCAAATCACTATACTTAGTGAATGACCCTCACTGTTTGCTATAGTCAAAAAAGAAAAATCACTACTCAGTGGTCAACCTTCTATTGATGTGCCTCTGCAAATTCATTTAGCCCAGTCCTCCAAACATACACAATTTATCCACACCCCACACCATCCCATCTCCAACTCTAATCTAAACTCTTCAAAGGTTTGTAGGAATTGTATTATTTTTCATCTTTGTATTCCCAACCAATTCTAATGACTTATCACAGAACAGGGGCAACACTCCTCTTTTTTTTCATCTTTCAATGCCCAACTTAATTCAAAGCCTCATCATGACATAGAAGCGACCATGAGTTTTAGAATGATATGTCAAAAGACCACAAGCACTGGAGCTTATGCCATCTGGAAACACTTCAAATATGCCTGGTGAGAAGCCATGTTCAATTCTATGTTGTTGTTGTTAGTAACTGACTCCTTGTAACCCCATTTGAGATTTTCTTGACAAAGCTACTGAAGTGGTTTGACATTTCCTTCTCCAGTTCATTTTACATATGAGAAAACTGAAGCAAACAGGGTTAAGTAACCTGCCCAGGGTCACACAGCTAGCAAGTGCCTACGGCCAAATTTGAACTCAGGTCTTCCTGACTCCAAGCCCAGCACTCTATCCACTTTGCCACCTAGCTGCCCTATGCAATGAGACCAAGCCTAATTATCAGAAATTCATTCTCAGAATGGCTACAAATAATGAATTTTTCTCCAAGGTCCACCCATCCACTAAAGTCACAGAATGACTGCAACACACACAAGGGGAGAAAGGCAGCACAGTATACTACACTGGGCATTGGACTTGGAGTCAAGAAGACTTAGGTTCAAATCCTGCCTCAGACATGACTAACTCTATGACCCAGGATAAGTTACTTAAAGTCTCTGGGCCTGTTTCTTCATCTGTAAAATAAGAGACTGGCCTCGATGTTTAAGATCACCTTCTGGCTCAAAATCTGTAATCCTATGAGCTTACCCACACCTCCAAAATCAAAGATAAACCAAAAGATTTAGAGTTGGGGCTTTAAATGTCTTCTTGCCCAGATGAGCAAACTGGGGCCCAAAGTATTAAGTGTCTTGCCCAGAGTCTCACAAGTAGTAACTGGCTAAGTTGGGATTCAAACTCTGATCCTATGACTCCAAGTCCAGCATTCTTTTCACTGTAACATCATCCCTGAAGAAGTGTCCCCAGAGCCTAAGGTATTGCCTTGCACATATCCTTTCATAAATGTGTGTTGCTACTGAATTAAATCATTTGATGATATTCTTTCACATTCCAAAATGATCTTACCTTAACCAAATTGCTGAGTAGGTTCAGAACCTCTTCCTTCATGGGAACGGTGGGGAAATTGAACCATTCCAGCAAATAAATAAAAAGAAGTTTCTCTCGCACGAGCTCAACACAAGAAATCAAATTGTGTTCCACCTTGCACAGAATACTCTTGAGCGCCCTCTCCCTTATCTCTGCCAGAGGATGACCTGTCAAGGAATGACAACAACAAACCTCATTCAAGAATCCAACACAGGGAGTCCCCAGAAGCCTTAGTGGGGTTTCAAGCTTCTGGGCACTAAGACCTCCGAACACCCTGCACAAGTTCTCAGGCGGCACTTTTTTTTGGGGGGGGGGGAAGGGCCGGGCTGGGGAGGGTTTGACATGAAGCGTCTTTTAAGAAGTCGATCACAACTAGCAGCTCGGCTTCCTAGGGTTCGAACAAGCTGTTTACCCCAAAGCCAGCTCTGTGCGACTCAGAGTAGTTCCAGAGCGTCTGGACAAGGGGGCTCGGGCCTCAGGAGGGAACGAAACAGGGGAGAGGGGAGCAGTCTGGGGTGAAGGGGACCGAGGAGGAGGTAGGGTATGGCCCTGGGATGCTTGGGGGCTCGCCAGAAGGTTACCCAGTTTCCTGATCAGCCCCAACAAAGCCATGTCGTGCCTCCCGAAACTCGCAGCCACAGCCTCGGCCAGCTCAGCATTCAACCTCCGCGCCACCGCGTCCGTCCGGCCGCAATTGTTGTCCCCGCGGAAACCGCGCCGCCCCCGGTGTCGGAATCAGCTCCTGGAAAAGGAACGAGCGCCGAAGATCCCGAGCCAGGCTCTGGAAGGACGCTTGGCGTAGTTACTAAGAAGCAAAACAATGTTGTACAGGAGAAGGAAGGGTAAGAAAAGTGCAGAAGGAAGGAACCCCTTTCAGCCGCGATGCACTTCGGGAGTTGTAGTCTTTTTCTGAACACGTCTCTCTGCGTCCTGATTGGCCGAGAAACTATGCGGCATATGGTTCAGGACTCGCCGCTTTCTCTTAGAAACTGTTGTGTCTTGGGCGGTTCTTTGCAGACGAACGCGGGTTCTTTGGCGGGGTTGAGAATTGGGGCGGAGCTTGAGGTCCCGCCTCCTGCAGCTCTGCCCCTTTGCTCTCGCTGTTGGTCTTGAGCGAAACAGAGGGCCCCCTCCTGGGTTGTGGCTAGAAACTAGAGGAATATTTAATATTTGAAGTAGCACCAAGGTTAAACATTGCTTCTGAATCCCATTAGCTAAGTGAAATCATTACAGGAGAGATCCCTTGCCATAGAAAGTTCAGAAGGGAAGCAGGAGCTTACTGGCAATAGGGGAAAAAAAGCAAAGTATTAATGAAAGCCCACTTAAAAAGAAAAAGGAAAGAAAAATGCATAATGATTGGGGTATGGCTAAAAAAAAAACCCTCTGGCATAATATGAATACTGTATTGTAAATGGTCAATACACGAGTGTATAAGATGTGTTAAGTAAAAAAAAAATTCGAGGGTATGCACTCTCTGTAGTACATCTAGAATTACTATGTCAACTGTGATTGAAAGAAGTAATGAAATACTTTAATGTTCATTTGTTCCTTTGTAAAGTTGCTTAAACTGATTGAAATTGTAAAAATTTTAAAGAACTTTATTTTTTTATTTTTATTTTTTTATTTTATTTTTATTTTTAGAACTTTATTCAGTTGTATAATTTGAAGAAAATGCTTAAAATAGGCAAGGGTAACTGATTAGAAGCCTTAGCATTGGTGGCACTTAGAAGTGGAAGAGACCTTAGAGGAAACCTAATCCAATAGCCTTATTTTATATATGAGGAATTTGAACCCAAATATAGTAAATTACTTAGAGAGATAATAAGCAGGGGAGCTGGTCTTTGAATCTAGAGTTCTTTTCACTAAAGGATGACTCTGGTTATCTGTCTTCTGCTGTAAATGTTGTCCAAACTCCCAAACAGCCTCTAGAAATGCCTTATGCTCTCAGAGTCCTTCATCAAGGCAGGGAAGGGGAGCCTAAATAAAAGAAAACATTTTACAGTTGAAGAAAGACTCTCAACAATAAAAGTCTGACATAAGAAACAAAAGCAAGTTCAATGTGGAAGAATAAGACAAGCTATTTCAAGAAACTACAATGTAAGCACAGGAAACTGCTTGCTAAATCAGATTTTTAAAAGATATACAGAAAATGATGGCAGCAAGGTCAAATAACTAAAAATTAACCAAAAAGAGTGGAACTAATGTGTAAGGATATCACCAGGAGCATAAAAGCTCAGAATAAGCTGAGGTTGACGATGAATTCTAAGAACAAGGAATTTTTTTATTAATGTTAGAAGCAAGGAATGAAAAGGCAACTGCCCAGAGTAGATATAATGATAATAAATGACAGAGAAAACAGAACTCTGTTGATACTTTGCTTACATATTCTATAACAAAGAGAACAATCTTCAGACTGGGAGGAATGCAGCAAAAGTGGTTTCCAGGGTGCTGAAAGCCAAGATAAATGAGGACATGCTAAGAGAATACCTACCACCTCAATAAATTTGTCACCAAACCCAAATAATTTTTTTAAATTGTAGATTTGCTTGCTGTTAACACAGTGGATCACTATCTTTAGTAAGTCATGCAGAAGGGAAAAGGAGTTATATGACTAAAAATAGGCAAGTTTTCCAAATTTCAGAAAGAACAAATCATAGATCCTCTAAACAATAGGCTGGAAACCTTGACTTCAATACACAGAAAATTGTTAGAATATATTATTAAAAGGATGGTTTGAAAATATTTTTAAAATGAAATAACAGTTACCAAAATCTAATATGGGTCATCAAAAACAGTTTGTACCAGATTAGTATCATTTTCTTTCTTAACAAGTTTACTGAACTGATATCACAGAAATGTATAAACTCAATACGTGAATTTCAATAAGATGTCTGACAAAATCTTTCAAGATATTCTTGTAGACAAGATGTAAAGATGTGATAATGGAATTAAATTAATAAGAATTGGAGTTAGAATAGGAGAGATGACAATAGAGTTAGGTTGATGTGGAACTGTCTGAAAGACCAGATGGAGATACTAATGGATAGATGTCACTATGGAGAAGTATCTCAAGTGGAGTTCTACAGCCATTTAGGTGCTATGCTATTCAGTATTTTTGGTCATTGATTTGAATGAAAGTGTAGCAATGCCTCTGGGCTACAATCTTAAAGAGTAACTACTACTCTTACAGGTTCAAGATATACTCTTTAGATCCTTAATCATATTAGTATAGCTCAAAAGTCCCCACCAGTATGTTTTCCACTAACAATCAAGACAGTAAGCCCAATGAACTCTTAACAAAAGTTATTTATTGAGATGGTAGGATGAAAACAGTAGATACAAATCATTCTGCCCCATAACTTGGGACTCCTTCACCCACTAATATACATAGAGGAGACAGTAGGTTCAGATAGAGCACAAAGATAGTTGGTCATATGTTAAAGAACATGTGGTCAAGATTAGTTATCTGACTCCTTCAGATAACCCCTAGCAAGCAGGGTAGATAAAACTCAGGGCCTAGAGTCAGAGCCTGAATTCAAATCCAACCTCAGACACTTACTAACTGCATGACCCGGGCAAGTCACCTAATCTCTGTTTACCTTAGTTTCCCCAAATGTAAAATGGAAATAATAGCACCTACCTTGTAGGATAGTTGTGAGGATCAAATGAAAGATTCAAAAAAAGTACTTAGCCCAGTGTCTAGCACATATAAATGCTTCATAAATATATAAATGCTTTTTCTATTCCCCTCTGGTACTGCTAGTCTTTGGAAGGCCTTCCTTTTCATGTGGAGATCTCACAATGCTTCCCCAGGGCAAAAATTTCTTCTGGATAGTTTACTGGATGGGGCTCTGAGAGTCTGCAGAGAGCTCAATTCTAAATTTCCAGGGCTAGCCCTTTCTTGATGCTGTATCAGGCACAATCATTTGTTGCCAGAAGTCCTATTCCTTGAAACAGCTCTTGTTCTAGACTGACTGCCTCACTGTATCTCTGTCTGTAGAGTATTCCCTCAACTATTCCTCAAACTTTCTTAAACTGACTCACCAAATGCAGGATTGGAGCCTCCCTTTGTGCAAGTACCAAGAGGTAAAGAGCTAAGTTCTTTGCCAACTATTTGCCCCTGGCATATTCAACTTGTGACTGTCCCCAGAACTTGAAATCCCAAAGGTTCTTTTTGTAGTGGCAAAGAATTTAAAATTGAGGGGATGCCCTGTAATTGGGGAATGGCTAAAAAAGTTGTGGTATATGATTGTGATGAAATAACTATTGTGGTATAAGAAATGATGAGCAGGCAGATTTCAAAAAAACATGGACTTATGTGAACTGATGCAAAGTGAAGTGAGCAGAACCAGGAAAACATTGAACACAGTACCAGCAATACTATATGATGATCAACTCTGAATGACTTAGCTAGTCTCTGCAATACAATAGTCCAAGACAATTCCAAAAGACTCATGAAAAAAAATACTATCCACCTCCAGAGAAAGAACTGATGGAGTCTGAATGCAGATTGAAGCATACTATTTTTCAGTTTCTGTATTTTCGTGTGGTTTTTTTTTCCTTTGGGTGTGTGTCTTCTTTCACAACATGACTAATATGGTAATATGTTTTGCATGATCAAACATGTATAACCTGTATTTAATGGCTTACTGTCTCAGGAGGGGGGGAGATGAGGAGGGAGAGAGAAAAAAATGAATATTAAAATGAATGTTAAAAATTGTCTTTATGTACAAATGGGAAAAAAATATGTGTGTGTATGTATGTGTATATATGTGTGTATATATGTATATATATATATATATATATATATATATGTATTGTGTATATGTGTATACATATATATTCCTGTAATGGCCTGTCATTGTTTAATTAATGATAGTTGCACCCTTTTGCCAGTCAGAGAAAGGTGTCCCCAATTTATAAAGAGACAATGATGTCTTCATCATTATGAATGTTCACTCCCCCCCTCATATTTACAAAGTGATTGAAGGAATGCTTATCACATTTTAAACCAACATAATAATTAATGATTGTATTGTGCTTTGGAATTTGAAAAGTGCTTTTGTATACATTATATCATTTGAATTCACAACAATCTCCTAAGACAGTTACTACAGTTATTATTATTCCCATTTTACCATTGCAGTAACTCAGGAACACAAGCAATTTAAGTGTCAAAAGGATTTTAACTCAGGTTGGCCTGCCTCCCAGACCAGCACTATATTCATTATTCTACATTGCCTCTCTATCTCTGCTTCTATATCACTAGGAGGGAAGATAAAATTTGCACCTCCATTTTTTTTTTACAAACTAGAGCTTTAGAGTGAGTCTAATGAAATGAAATTTAATGGAGATAAATGTAAAGTTTGTCTTTAAAACATGAAAAATTTTCATGAAAAATATAGGGTTCAGTATATTACAAGGTTCAAATGAATCAGCAAAGTGATATGACCCCCTAAAATGCTTTCCAACTTAGGTTCTCAGAGGCATGGCAGCCAAAATAACTAATATAATCTTCCTTTAATGATTTGGATTTAATGATTCCTCCCCCACTCCACAGAGGAGTGAAGCAGCTTGAAGGAGCTTGACCCTTGCACCAGAGAAGTCCACCTATGGATTCAAGAAAGAGCTTCTAGTAACCATGAGTTGTGAGTTTACCCTTTGGCTACATGTATTTTCTACTAGATGTGTAACCCTGTGTGACATGTCCTGTACTATGTTACTGTTGTTCAGTCCTTTTCTGGTCATGTCCAACTCTTCATGACCCCTTCTTGGGTTTTCTTGGCAAAGATACTGGAGTGGTTTGTCCTTTCCTTCTCTAGCTCTTTTATAGATGAGGAAACTGAGGCAAACAGGGCTAAATGATTTGC